CGTGGATAAAAAAAAAAAAAACGGCTGAGCGGACCGGTCCGTTCTGTCCCAATTTTGAGTCTCCGAGTCAGGGCTACGGGCAGTCTACGATGGCCTCGTTTTGGTAAGGGCGGGTATACTACTGTACCATTCTTTCAGGTATTGGAGGTGGGCTCCGGCTTTCAGTCTTCTTGCTTTGGCTGGTCTACTGCATCAGTGCATCTTGATGTCATTGTCTCCGCTCCCGAGTCGGAATACAAAATACTCTAGGGCTATATCCTCCCTGCCTTTGGGGGCTCTTCATCATCAGACGGCTCGAGCGCAACTGTGAGGCGAGGTGTGTACCACAGCAGAATGCAAACATCATTCGAGCCCTGGCCCGCGTCGCATGCTTCTGCAGCTCTGCTTCTGCCTCATGATCCATGATCCATTCCAAGCATTTATGGATTGGGTTGGAGCGGGATGTTTGATCCAGCATCTACCAGATCGTATCTGCAATGCATCACTATCATACCACCTTGTCGGTAGATAGGTTTGACATCCCGACTGGGGACGAGCGCCACGCTCATATCTCGTATAGCGCAAAGCAAGGATCAGCCAAGTCCAGCGACACGGAGAATTTTCGGCCGCGGACTTGGATGCGTGCCGAATACGAACCCAGATCGAAGCATTAATAGCACAGCCTCGTATAGCAAGGAAATCGTGTGATCGCCTGGGGTGGGGATCATTAACCTTCTGATCGTGGCGATGCAGACGGTGAAGGATATTTACCAAGCAAGTGCTACGAGCGGGTTGGACTGCGCATCGTGCGTACGGATCTCTGCTAGATGCTATGCTGAGCGCCTCTATTGCGTATTCAGGGCCAGCATTTCCTACGTCCGGATGACGCGAGGCTTGTCTGCGCCGCTTGTTCTTACTAAAGGCATGCAGTAGGCAGTGTGCACATTGTCATACCTGAAAGCAGGGCGCTACCACCCCGGCCCCCGGTCCCAGCCTCTCGGCTCTAGGATACCTTCCTCTTCCAGGAAATCTATCCCCGCCACATAGCACCGCACAGGGCACGCCTAAGCTAGATTCCGGCGAAGAACAAGGATATTTGGCCGAGCGGCGAAATCATGCTTCAACTTGGCTTGCTACTGGACGGATGCGAAAACATGCTTTTTACTCGGGGTTGCAATCTGCATGCGGTCATCTTGCACGGCATTGCATTACATGCTGGGATGTGTATACTGTCCCCGTCTTGATTGCCACATGATTGCCACATGATTGTCCGGGTGATCGTTGGGAAAGCAGTGGCGTTTTATGGGAGAGTTACGTGAATATGATATTGATATCCGTCGATCATAGCTTGGTATTGAATCGAGGTACATGCGCCCTGACGATTTTTATCAGGGTCTTTGCTGTATGATACATAATTTGGTACACCAAGTCCAGAATACCCTTACTCCAGGATTCCAGGAGAATAAATCCATCTAACAGCGCCTTGCGCGCTTCGATGGGCCAAGGTCAAGGTGCAGGATGCGACTCGCCAAAGAGCGCTTCCCCGCAGAAGCCAAAGCAGAAGCCCCGCAGCCTACGCATTCAATAAAGTAGGCATTCTTGGGTGAATAGCCGAGGGCCTGAGACGGCGGGTTTTCTCCGACGAACTTTGTGCGACTCCAGTCAAGACAGGTCTCGCAATAGGCGCGTGGGCACTTTAGACAGCTGAAGAGCAGTCTGCCTGCTTCGCTTGCGGTCTTCCCGCAGTCGTGACAGTAGTGATGGGGGCATATTATGTTTTTGCCCTTCTTATTGTAATCCATATCCTCCTTGTCGAGGCAGCCAGGATGATAAGACCTGGTGCAGGTATCACACGCTGTCGGAGCTCGGCTGTGGCATAGGAAGCACGTCTGGGACAGTTAGAGTTGACTCAAGCGACAAGGTCTGATGTACTCACAGCTTCGTTGACCTTGCGGGCCCTGTCCTCAGTTATTTTCTTCGGAAATGTCGGACTGACGGGGCTCGATGCGATTGCCATTTCCATGCTCTCTTTGGACACGTCCCATTCTCCTACCGTGACAACACGAGACTTTCCAATTCGGCGCGATGCTTTGGAGACGTCGAGGATGGTTTCCTCATAGACAGAGAACCTCTTGAAGCTCGTTTCAACCCTTTCGCCGTTAAATATATTCGTCCTGACTCTTTCCGCACGTCCAAGCCATGCTTTTTTCTCCGCAAGCGACATCTCCTGGACGCTGACTTCATCCAGGGCACAAGAAGACATGACGGACTCAAAGTCGGAATTGGCGAGGTCTGTCGCATCGAATGAGCCCGGCACGATTGACCTGCCAGGCATCAAAGAGATCTCTTCCTCGGTAGTCTCCTCCAGGTCGATAGGGTTTGAGATGTCGTTACCCAGATCCCCCATGACCTTGTCTGCCAAGTAGGCCTTCTTATCCAAGCGCCGGCGCATCTGGTCTTCCACGGTTCCCTTGGAGTGGATTCTGAATATCTGGACGGGCTGCGTCTGGCCGATTCGATGCACTCTCGACTCAGCCTGCCGCATGACTTGCGGATTCCAGTCGTCGTCGAGGAAGACCACGGTCGAAGAGCTGACCAGGTTGAGGCCTTCTCCGCCGGCGCGAATTGACAGGAGGAACACCATGCATTGCGGATCATTCTGGAACAGGAATACCGAAAGATTCCTCCACGCGGAGGATGTGCTGCCGTCTAGTCGGACATGCTTAAAGGGAGCATGCGCTTTCTCCACCTCCAGGAGGTCCTCGCACAGGTTGAGTGTTTGATCGAATCCTGAAAAAATGATGACTTTCTTCTTCTCCGTAACTACAAATTTGTGGATTATCTTCTGGACAAGGATGAATTTGCCCGATGCCTCGATGACGTGCCGGCCGATGTGGTACTGTTCTGGGACAGCGTCGGCCAGGAGATAAGGGTGGATGGAGCACTATAATGTTAGCAAACGCCCCAGCTGGTCATCGTGGCCGTCTTACTTTGCGCAGTTCCATCAGCGTGTTGGTCGTTATGCGACTTCTCTTCCTGGCATCGGCTGCCACATTTTTCTCCCATACATCTGTCGTCTGCACGGCGCTATCCGACTCTGGAGCGACGCCGAGTTGGGACTCGCTCTGTGGGGTGCTGTCGCCTAGCAAGATCGATCTCTCCACGCCAGTGAGTATTCTGATATACCATGCGAGTTGCAGCTCGGTAAGCGGCACGGAGAGCACAGTCTCTTTCTTCGGAGGTATATTGAGGTCGATCTGGGAATCGTTCTTGGTACGGCGTAGCATAATAATTCTCAGGAAGCGGGTAACGTGACTGAGGAAGCCACTATCAAACTTCCCATCTCTGAGGGAAAAAGCGTCTTCGAAGAGTTGAGCCGTAGCCGGCAAGAAGAGATCCGGGTACAACCAATGCAAGATAGACCACAGTTCCGTGAGGTCGTTCTGGATAGGAGTGCTAGAAGGCAGACTGTTAGCTGATATAACTCCAATGAGTTGGGACTGGTGCTGACCCAGTGAGCACAAGCTTAAACTCTGACCGGAGCCTGTATATCCCTTGCGTTCTCTTAGCCTGGCTGTTTTTGATACGATGGCCTTCGTCGAGAACCACGTGTGCCCAGACGGTCTTCTGGAAGAACCACAAGTCACTGCAAAGCGTCTCGTATGTCGTCACAACAATGTCCACGGGCTGGCTCTCTTGCTGTCGAAAAAGCCTGCGAAGCTTTTCTCTCTCCTCGCTGCTCCCGTAATACGACATTGGCCTGAACCCCGTTGTCCACCTGGAGATCTCGGTCATCCAAGTCTTGAGAACGCTCAAAGGGCAGACGACCAAAAACTTCTTGCCTCCTTCTTCGTTCTCTTTGACGTACTGGAAAAGGGACAGGGCCTGGAGGGTTTTGCCAAGGCCCATGTCGTCTGCGAGTATACCTCCAATCCCGTTGTTTCGCCAGTATATCATCCGCGAAAGCCCCTCCAATTGGTATGGCTTCAACGTGGCACGAATCCTGAGCATATCATGTGTTAGCTAGCGGGCAATGCAACTAATCCAGGCACGTTGTTTACCCTTTCGGCTGGGAATGCAATAGCTTGTAGGGTGTGATAGGACCATGGGCAGAACCTGCCAAGCGAGACAGATTCTCAGGAGTGTGCTCATTCCCGAGAAGGAGACGTATTGTTTTTATTATGGACACGAAGAAGGTGTTTCTCGCTGTCTCAATGTCGGGGCACTTGCCCCCATTGCGCTGGGCTGTTCTATCAGCGCGGGGGCGCTGGGTCCGAGTAGGTGAGGAGTCAGAGATGTAGATAAGCTCTGGACGATGGTTCAGGCTCGTTCCTAGAAGGGATTCTTAGCTTGCCTTTGCATAAGGCGGCGGTATACCGTACCACTACTCCCAGGCGTTGTGATGGCTGACGCTGCCGACCACGGCGGAGTTGTTGGCGGAGTTTGTACCGACGACCTTGGAGTACTTGGAGCGGAGGAGAGTGAATCGTCATCGCTGAGGATATACTGTAGAGCCATGTTGCCGTCAAGTTTGGAGTGTTCTGCTGATGGCTTTCGAGATACAAAGGATGACTGGGGAGAAAGAAGACCAGGAAAGAATGAAGTGATTAGAAGGTGCAAGAAGTCCATCTTGTATACAACACATTAGGAGGACTGAAACACCTTGTTGGCCAAATGTGTTGCCCCAAGTAAGGCTCCAGAGGTGAACAGACACCCATAGATGGCGACCATGAAACATGCTGAGAGACAGGAGTACAAAAGAGGAGGTAAATGGAAAGCCAAGAAGACATGCATCACTCAGCCAAGTATGTGAGAGGATTCACTCAGTATGAACACTATGGGGATGAGCAACATGACAGACCATAAACGGAAAGGAAAAAAGAACCTGGGGAACCCTCTCAGCTCACATGCAGGACATTCTCCACTCAGCAGAGCCCAGGGTACAAGCAAGACCTTCAAAGCTCTGGTCAAAGCTATCTTGACAGTTACATGTAAGATGTAAGTACATGCTGCACAGTGGGCTACACTTTTAACCTCCTACTCAGCATTTCCGTCCCGGCTGACTTGTCGTATCCAATACCAGGTACATCCACCCTCCTACCCAGGGCACGACGGATAATCCAGTCTTTGCTCTTGATAGCCTCTTCCACTACACCATCTTCCAAGTCTGGAATACGCGAAGATCCCTCCAAACGCCGCAGTGGGACGTCATCCTCTGGCCTTGAGAAATAGACCAGACTATACCGAGTGAGGTCCGCTTGCTCGCCCGGAGGAGAAACGACACGGTGGATATTCGAACGAAGGAGTCCATTCGTGAACTTCACCATAGCATCTCCTAGATTGACAATTGCGTGTCCCGGCAGCGGTCTCACATACTGCCACTCTGCGTCTGGACCTGGGGGAAGAACTTGGAGTCCTCCCAGGCGGTTGAAGAGAATGGTTACGCTTCCAAAATCCGTATGCTCGCCGAGAGCAGTACGCCGGTCATCGGCAGGCTGTGGAGGCGCCTTGACGAAGCGTACTTGATCGCCACTTACAGCGTGAAGACGGTGGAGATCGGCCAAGGCCGACTCTGGAAGACCCAAGCTTGCGTTGAGGGAATTGAGGATAAGCGTGACAATGGAATGGGAGCATTTGATGAACGAGTCGAAAACATGTCGATTCCTCTTCAGGATGTCTGGAGCTGGTAGTGGCTCTGATATGGCCATGATGTCGTCTTTGGATACCTAGAATGTCTTAGTGAGTATAGCCACGAAGTGTAAGCAAGGAAGCCAACGTTATAGAACTCATTCCTATCCAGATTCCCCTGTCGGTCGACGACCGCAGCACCCTGTGCCTTGTACCCGAAGTAAGACTTCTGAGCACTGAAGTCATACTTCTTTTTCTCTTCTAGTGGAAGCTGAAACAAGCCAACTCCTATATCAAACAACTTGTCTGCATCTTCCAGGATATGGCTCAGCGTGTCTGCATCGCGCATATCGAGGTAGAAGAAGCCGATCTCCTCGCTCGCTTCGACTAGTTTCTGCTTCTCTGCTTTGTCCCCGGCAAGCAGAGCCTTTAAGGAGAGGCGGAATAGAGGAGCAGTAGGTACATTGTCCGGGAATGGTGGGATTCCGGGGAAATGGTCCGTTTGACCTTCCATAGTTGATTGTTCCTTTGGATTGTTCGCGTCTGGAGGCTCTGCTAGTACGTAGTTAAAGGACCCAGCTCTCAATATATATTTTGTGTTGCCGAGATGCGGGGAAACCCTCAAAGCCGAGGGAACTACTTAATGCTTGAATTATCGCCGATCACCCAGCCATAGCTCTCGGATTAGTCGTACAGCAAGTAGAGCTTCAATCGAGCTTGTAGTGCCAGTCATTGGAGGCCACGAAAGGGCAGGTGGTGTCAAATCATAATGATCCATCCTGCAGTGTGGATGTCAACCTGATGAAGCTATACATTGCGCACTTTGTTGCACGGTATCAATAATGAGAGAATTCATCCTTTGCCATGTACCAAAAGGCACAAAGAATTTAAACCAGTTGTGTCTCCGCGCAAACCGAGGCATGGGCAATTTTCTCTGACCCAGCTGCAGCGGAGATAACGCGGAGATAAAACATCCCCCAGTTTTGCAAATTCCGCCGCGGCTCGAGCTCAATCCTGACCACCAAAAGCAACATACAACATCCTTATCGGGGAACGCTCAACCTATAATCAGCGAGAAACAAACCGGCGCGAAGAGTCAGCCAACTGAATATGTCCTCAAAAACCCACATCGCGCAAGCCCTCCTGGCGCGCGCGCACTCCCCCGACACAGCGGAAACCCTCTTCACAGAACGCATCAAACAAAAACCGCTCTACCTCCGTCCAACATCCCCTACACCGGCCGACAACCGCTCTCGCCGGCGCCTCCACCGCCTCCGCAAGAAAGAATACTTCATCCGCCATCAGAAACCGAAGCCGCTTTCCGCGCGCGAGAAACGCGAGTCGGGGGTATACAAGTTGCTGAAGGAGGAGTGCAAATATGAGATCTTCAAAGGCCTGAATCAGATGTGGGTGGCGTATATGCTGGAAATACTGGATTTGGGACCTGGGGGTGGTGGGTGGAGGGTGCAGCAGCAGCAGCAGCAGCAGCAGGAAAAGAGGCAGGAGAACGGGCAGGAGAAGCCGCGGAAGCTGGTGTCGGCCCTTGCGCACGGGAGTAAACTTGTCAGTGCGGACTTCCACGGCGCGGAGATGGAGGTCGTTAGGAGTCGGTGTCCCGGGAGAGTTGGGCTGAAGGGGATAGTGGTTCGAGATACGAAGTTCACGTTTGTGGTTGTTACGGAGAAGGATGAGATGAAAAGTGAGATTTTTTCTTATGATTTTCGCGTGGGTTGATCTTAATGCTAACAAATGGCCTATAGCTATTCCTAAGGAGCAGACTGTTTTTCGGTTCTGTGTACCGTTGCCTGATACCAAGGGCGCAGCGGAAAAGCCGAGCTCTGAAGAGGATGGCGAGGGAGACGAAGAAAGCAGGAACCTGGTCTTCGAGCTTCATGGCAGCCAGTTCCAAAATCGGCCCGTGGACAGAGCCAACAAGAAGTTCAAGTGGCGCAATGTGGACTATCTCTGAAATGGGTTACTAGCTTCCAAGGCCATGAGCTACATGCGAGCTTGGTTGGCCGCTCAAGATTTGTCCGTCCGACACAAACGCGTCGTTTATTTACTGAGGAGCAAGCTCGCTCAACACAGCTGTTCGCACACGGGCCCAGTTGGCTCAGTCATCGCATCGCGTCAGCCGATGTTCAGCGACTGTAACCGACATACATACATTAGGCACGTTCGGTCGTGTCATGCTAGGCGCCGGTTGTGAGATGCAAGGCAAACCCTCAGCAACCGTTACTCTACGAGACCAGTGCCGAATCTGCGGGAGTACTAAGATGAAGAAGAATGTTGCATTTGTTTGTCTCATTCGTGGTCCTCTGACGCGCTGGCGCGCTTCTGGTTTCTGAAACCCTAGCCAGCAATGAAGCCACAAAACCAAGATACGGTGCTATGCTTCTGATGAATACAAATGAGACAAGGCAATGACCTTTCAGCGCCCATTGTGGAATATTTGTGCATAGTACTTGGTGGAGCAATGCTGTAATCCCGGGAAGGCTCCTTCAGCACGAACCCATCTCGGGAGCGTGTTTTCAGAGCAGGAGTAGTCGAGCTCCTAGTGGCTCAAAAAACTATTGGGGACACAAGTACCTTTCCGTTTCGGCCTGCGTGATACCGACAAGTAGATGGTGTATGACATTTGCCGCAGGAGGATCACATCCCTGCCCATTCAATGCTGAAAGCTCTCACGTTCGAGCCTGCGACACCAGAATCGTCGCGGCTCTTGTCAGCTCCTCCGATAAGGAAACCCTTTTTGACGCCCGTGCCGAGACGACCTCCGCTGATAATCGTCATCAAGTCCAGTTGTTCGTCCCATTCAGCTGCAACCGCGAGGAAGTGGGAATGGAACCGCAACGGATCACCTGGATAGGCCATGTACTGGCAGCCAAATCGAAGGCCAGGGGATAGGAAGTAGCCCTTGGAGTGAAGGTGAGCGAAGAGAGGATACGAAGATGGCACTTCAGGAAGCGGGAGATGATGCTCGGCAGGTGGTTGCTGAGGAAGAAGAGGGTGGGATATAGCTGGGGTGATTCCCATGGCATCCGAGGCGCCCAGGACTGAAGAACGCCTGGATGATACGTGACTAGGAGAGGTAGAAGGTTGGCGATCATCAAATAGAAAGACGGAATCTTCGCCAGAGGGAGCAGCGGAAGTATCCTGCTTTTCCTCCGCCTTCTTCGCCTTCGCAGCAGCTTTCTCATTCTTCTTCTTCAAATATTCTTCTCTTAGCCGCTCTTTCCGGCGAATTTGGAGTTGCTTGGACTCGAGACCTTGCGATTCTAGCTCTTTGAGATACTTCTTGCGGTCTTCCTCCATGAGAGACTTCATGCCCTGCTTCTGGAAGTTGACCTCGTCTACAATGCAACCTACGCCCTTCTCCACTAGGAGCCTTGCTTCTTCCGGCATCAACTCCAACGGTAGGCCCGTGAAGACATTCTGCTGTGGTACTTGCGGTAGGGTTCCGGCCAGGACACCGCAAATGTGGTGTTCACGTCTCAAGAACGTAGCCGCGTCGACCGAGAAGACAAAGTAGTTACCCGCGATATACGAGATCGGGATTGGAAGGTCTGGGCTGGAGTTCATCTTGGGCGATCAATGATTGAAATTCACTACTGCGATAGACACAGGTTAGCGCATCGCTCGCCAAAAGTATGATAAATCAATTGGCAGTAAACAGATCAAGTCATTCTCAATACGTTTCTCAATCATGTTGTGCTCTTTAATGAGATTATATAACGAGCTTCAGGGGATTGACAGATTATAGTATATATATAATCATTTGATCGTTTGCGCGAGAAAATGCTTCGAACTTACCTTTAAGAACGAATGATTATGACAACGAAAGTCACTCCAGGATTCGGCCAGCAAATCCAAATATCGTCGAGAGTATCTCGCCTCAGTCTTGTGTGAAAGGACGGACAAGAAGTGAGGAAGAAAATTGGTGGGACTCAATTTAAACACAAAATTCCAGTGGGGATTTGGCGCTTTCCCCGATCGGGAGAGCTCGCTCCGGTCGCCTGGCGAGACCTAAACCACCTTTCCCTCTTGTCTAACCGCAGATCCAGATCGAGCGCCAGAGTCCCAGACTGTCGGACAGCACAGCCCCATTGCCGCATTGTCGATTCACGATGAATTTCTTCTTGCTGCTGTTCCTAGTATTCTTTACACCTCTGATCCTATTCATAGGTTGCTAGCCGCTTCTCCCCTATATTGGCATAGCTGACATTTCAAAGCATGGCTTGCTTTCTCTTCCTGTTTAGGGGATCGGACTCGCTCACGGTTCAGTAGGTCTGGGAGGCCGGGGTTTGGCGCCTACGGGAGGGACTACCTTCGTACGATGGTTAATACTGGACCCGCCATGTCCGAGCAAATTGAACTGGACAACATGCTGGTAGAATCCGATCATGAAGAATGATGGGAACGTCCGCATTCCCTTGCATAAAGTCCACCTCACGCCCCTAGAACTCGAGGTCCTCCTTCTTAGGCATCTTATCTGACCGTGCCTGGCTCTGCGCTTCTTGGTCCCCGTCGGCGGGTGGTAAGCTGAACGGTTTGATTTCGAACTTGCGCCTGCTGAGGGTAAACGCCCAGTCCTGTCCAATATTTTGATCGCTCCCGCCGCCACGTTCGTGCAAGACCGGAAGCTTATGCGTCTTAAGCATTCCCTGCGGAGGTTCCTCGTGAGATGTGGCAGCTCCGGATGTCGAGAGGGCATCTGATGAATGCGGGAAAGGACAGAGCTCGATAACGCCATCGCTTAGTATTTCCATCCATCGAACAAGACCAGAAGATCGCGGGAAGAGGGAAAGTGGGATGGTCATCATGGCGGTTACGCGAGACGTCGGCGAGCTCGCTAGAGCCCTCAGAGAGTGGAGAAACGGCAGCACATTTTCAGGCTGGCCGACTTCTGGTGGGTATAACGTGGGGTTGAGGAAGGAAGGGATAACGATGCGGTGGGTTATATGCGGAGGACTGGATGCGATGATAGCTTGGAGTTTCTTCTGGATCGAGACAAGCAAGGGCTCGTTCGTTGGCACGATGGGTATATATGTGATGTTGCCTATGGAGGGATGCGTGAGGCGCTTAGTGAGGTCGAACGCATGACAAAATGCTGGTTTCGCTAAGCTATCGTCCATAGACGATGGACTCGAATCGCCCAAAGTCACTGCGGGGGCTTGAACGGTCAGCTTCTGAATACTCCGGATGGGCTGTCCTCAGTAGCCTACCTCTTGCACCAGCAACTCCCGCTCCAAACTCTCCAAGACGCTCATACCTCCACGCAATCTTCATGCGCTCGCCTTTCCGCTTATCTGATTTTTCATCGGCAGCTTCTGCAGGCCCAATCAAGCCGGGAAGTGTTCGACCCCATTGTTGGGGCATCCCAATGACGTGAACTTTCTGGTCTTGCACAACACCTTCAGCCGAATAATACCGAAGCAATGCGCCTGCAAAATCCGTAGTTCCATTTTCCTCTATTAGAAGAGTTTTGCCAATAGGAAGTCCACCGTGACCTGCCAGAAGGTTGTCAAGCGAGGGAGAGCCGGTTGAGGTAGTTGGCCGTCCGTCGTCGGGGGACGGACGCACGCCAGGCGTTGCGGTAGGCGATGAGACGGCTCGTTCTGGTTGCGGCTGCGATGCTGAAGTAGCGGCAGGCGTACGATCGGCGCCTGTTGACAAGCCTATATTCCTCTTGCGAAAGGACATTTTGCATACGATCGAGAGTAGAATCACTTTTTTGAAGATTTGCGGCGGGGCAGCTTCCGGCAATAAAAACGGCGGCGGTCAACCCCAAGCAGAAAAAAGATCTCCCCGTCGCAACCGCTACAGCTTGACAACCATCCGGAGTACCGTCGTTTGTTCAATATACTAGAAGCTTAGCGCCTCACTACTATCCGCAACAATGTCCGACCCTTTACTCTTCGAAGATACCTTCACGATCACCGGTATCAACCAAGAAAAATATGACCGCGTCTCCCGCCTCACTTGCACTTCATCCGACTCCCTTACCACATTCACCCTGGACATCAACTCCGAGCTGTACCCATGCGCTACCGGAGAGTCACTCTCTATGGCGATCGCCTCCACTCTTTCTCTAGACGGCAAGGAGGATGGCGGTGCGAAGACCGGCTGGAGGGAGGTCGGAATGGGTGAGCAGACACTCGCGAATGATTACGACTATGTCTGCCACGGAAAGGTTTACCGCTTTGAGGAGGCGTCAGATGCCCCTGGGAACATGTAAGCTGAGCTATATGGACTGATCAGACAGCGAATACTAATATTCATGCTACAGGGCGGCCTTTGTTTCCTTCGGCGGTCTGTTGCTCTACCTCGAAGGTCCTTACAAGAAGCTCGCGCCCCTTCGGATCGACTATGTATACCTTCTCCTCAAAAAATAAGGGAAAGTATCTCGTATGTGTGGAACATCGGGGGTTCTCCGGCTCAGATTGGAAAGGCGCCCTGGGGTAAGGGCGCAAACTGTCAGGGCCAGTCGACTAAGGCATCGTGGATGCCGAGCATGACGCGTTCCTATAGGAACCGGCTATGTACTAGCCACTCATCAACATCGCAGTGATGATGCCGCGATGAGTGGAGAAACCGCGTGGTCGCATGGCTCGCGTAAACCACCGGAAAAGTCCGCGTTTCTACCCATCAAATTGATTTTATTGCAGCGTTGGCGTTATTTGGAATCGGGTCTATCGAATAGAGTATATCAAAATGTACCTGAAAACAGTCACGAATATATGGTCTCTATTTCGCATATGACACCGTCGGGAACTCCAACCGACGATGGATTCTCGTGATGATTTGTAGAAAATCCTTCTCGTTCTCGGACGTCAAGATACCATGGCGAAGGAAGAAATCAATCAATACAACAGCACAGTTCGGTTTGAACTCTCTGTTAGCCAATGCCTTCTTCGTCTCGTCAACCGTGAGCAGACAGAACTCCTCAACCTCAGTGTCGTTTGGCTTGGGAACAACAGTCGCAGGCAGCTTGATATCAAAGACGTACTCCACCTCCGGCTGCACGAGATCCGTCTCGCCACCGGCGCGGCTATCCCGCATATAAGTATATGACACACAGCCAGCCGCGGTAGAATTGGCCCTGACGACGTCCTCAGGAAGGGACGCCTCCTCCATAGCCTCGCGGACAAGACACTCAAAAGGCTTTTCTCCGGTGCTCATTCCACCGGCGACTGTGTTATCCAGCATACTAGGATACGTCTGCTTCGTCTTTGATCGGCGTGGAATCCAAAGCTTTAGCCCGTATTCGTCCTCAACATAAGCAGTAGCATGGATGCCGTACGAAACGATGCCAAAGAGCGGACTCGCGCAGCGTTCCATCTCAAGCAGAAATTCGCCGTCTGGGCCATAGACAGGATACAATTCATTGCGCCATCCACGCAACACGGCAAAAAGGTCCTTCTTGACTGCGTTTTCGAGCAGCTGGGCTAGAGCCAGGTTTCGCTCTGCTGGAGTAGGGCCAGCGGTCAATGTGACCGTGCGGTTTGTGGGATCGATGGACCAGGATTCTGTGGGCCAGTCGAATCGATCCACGACTTCGTTCACGATGTACCCCAGGACCGAGTCGCAGCCTTTGACTCTGAAGGAATGGTACTTTTTCATATGAGTTGCATAGGCTGCGGGGTCATCTTGATGATAGGGAAATCTATATCTTATTAGCAGTGGTCATGTTAGGCGGGGTGAGAAGCAGAGGCCAAACCTATCGCATTCTCCGACCAGCCCAAGGTTAGATACGGCCATTTTGATGTCGCTGAGGGATTTCCGATCAAGTACTGTAGTAAAGTAGGGATTGGTTGATAGTCTCCTTGTGAGATAGGCTCCCATTGATTTTCCCGCCCGTTACAGCGGCGTCCCGTCCATTCCGAATCGGGAATAACCTAATCATCCCCGGCCCCTCGGTTCAGGGTCTCGCTTGGCAGTACCTACAGAGGTCTCCCGTACAACAAGTCTTTGAACGGGCCATGTCGGTCATGATGCAGCCATCGCCTGAGGCACTTCAATAAGATGCGCTACCTTATTTATCTTATATTGCTGGCCTTTGCCAGGGCAGAAGTCGCCTAGGTCATCAATGCATCCACCAGTATCGCGGTTTTTGGTCTTCCAGCAACAGTTCTCCAAATCCATTGAGATTTGCGGGATGATAACTCGGTCTAATATCTAGCGAGTGAGCTAGGGTATACAACAATTCACCGATCACCATATTTGCCGGACACTACAGCAAACATCAGATCGATGTCATCTACGGCACGAGCTTGCCCGAGAGCATTTAGACCAAGGCAGACCGGCGGCCGTTTGATGTCTAGGCAATCATGCCAATTCTCCCGATCCATGCCAGCAGCATGTTTCTTGGGGGGTATCAATTCAGAGCGGAGACACTTTACCTATGGTAAATGTCTATACTCGATGTGGCTGCGCTCTATGACTGGTGGAAGAAAATTCTATCGATCATGATGGTCTGTATCTGCTCTAGTAGGTCGTGTCGTCGTATTGGGCTTCGTGAGCGAGACTGCATTCTTGACAATATAAAGGACGGATTCGCTCCTGGATGATGACATGTTCTGGTGATATCGCGGTTCTGCTACAGCTTCCTCAACATGCTTGTTCATTCCTGGACAAGATTTGCTTTCGCGCTTGTCCCATTCCTGTGTTCGACTCACGCTGAAACGGCGGCAACATGGCCCGTCCGAGACACCGAGCTCGGTGACAAGACAGTGCAATGGGACCACTACAGCCTAATATACAATGGCGAAAGGCTGTTCTCTTTCGGCGGAGAGTTCCACCCATTCCGCTTACCGGCCCCAGAGATGTGGGTGGCGTCATGGAGAAGATCAAGGCAATGGGAATGAATACGGTGTCGTTCTACAGTCACTGGGGCTACCACGCGCCGACAAACGATACGCTTGATTTCGAAACCGGGGCTCACGACATCGGAAGGATATATGAAATTGCGAAAAACCTAGGCCTTTTCGTCCACGCCCGACCCGGTCCTTACATCAACGCGGAGACCAGTGCTGGTGGGATGCCGCTCTGGCTCACTACTGGAGAGTATGGTGCCCTACGCGACAATGCTACTGTTTTTACAGGTGCATGGAGGCCGTACATGTCCAAGGTCGAAGAGATCACGGCACCTTTTCAGGTGACCAACAATGGCACCGTGATACTGTACCAGATCGAAAACGAGTTTCCTAACCAATGGAGCAATGTGGAGGAGAAGATTCCAAGACCCGTCCCAATCGCGTATATGGAGACTCTTTTTGAGAACGCCCAGTCAAACGGCATAGTTGTTCCCTTGACACACAATATGCCTAATCGCCAAGCTAAGGCATGGTCTATTGACTATGACACAGCTGGGGCTCGAGGGAATGTCCATATCTATGGTCTTGATAATTATGTGAGTGCGGAAGTCGGCCATGGGGTAAACTTGCTGATATCAAAAGCCAACCTGCTGGTCTTGTATTCCGAGTGACTGCAGTACATCCAACCCGTCTTTTACCTTGATGGATTACACGGCCCACTTCAATGAGGTATCCCCAAAGCAGCCGTCCATGATGCCCGAGTTTCAAGGAGGTGCTCTGAACCCTTGGGATGGACCGGCAGAAGGATGCGAAGCAAAAACAGATGAATCTTTTGTCAACTTCTATTACCGAGACAACGTCGCTCAGAGGGTCACTATTCTCGGCCTCTATATGATTCATGGAGGTACCAACTGGGGTTGGATAGGTGCACCATTCGTACCTACAAGCTACGGATATAGCGCTGCCATCGCCGAAAACCGGACAATCGGCTCAAAATACTATGAGATCAAGAGCCTTGCCTTGTTCACCAGAGCGGCAAAGGACTTGACCAAAACCGATATCGTGGGAAATAGTACATCGTACACCGACAACGAGGCGATCACAACCATCGAACTTAGAAACCCAGATACGGACGCCGGGTTCTATGCTATCCGACACACGGATCCCACAAGTAGCGATGAACAATCTTTGCGACTGTCAGTTCGGACATCAGCAGGCAACTTTACAGTGCCAATAGTGTCCGGGAATGACAAGATGTCTCTCAATGGCCACGTAGCAAAGATACTCGTGACTGATTTCAACTATGGCCGGATGAACCTGGTTTACTCAACGGCTGAGGTACTGACTTATGGCATCTTTGATTCCCAGCCGATCTTGGTGCTCTGGGTATTCAATGGTGAAGGCGGAGAGTTCTTCATCGAGGGCGCAACATCAGGTAAAGTAGTGGGTGGGGATGCTTCAAAGGTCCAGTTCGTCAAGCCAGAGAAGGGCTTGATTGCCAATTTCAAGGACCAAACAGGTATGACTGTGGTCACTACGAACGAGGGTGCTCGTGTGCTCCTGATGGACCGCGACACAGCGCATCTTTTCTGGGTCCCGGCGCTCACGACTGACCCGACTGTGCCAGTTGATCAAGTTGGTAAGTCCGGCCTTGTAAATTTGTAATATTAGCAATCTAACAACCGGGAAGCTTTTGTCCAGGGCCCTCACCTAGTGAGAGGAGCACAGCTCGAAGGGAGTGTCATCTCAATACGGGGCGACTCAAATGAGACCAAAAGAATTGAAGTCTTCGCAGCCAAGCAAGCGAAAACGATAAGATGGAACGGAAAGAGGCTGAAAACTCAAAGGACTAATTGGGGCAGCCTTACGGCGGAGATTGGCGGCCCTGAGGTGTTTGAGACCCCAAAGCTAGGAACTTGGCGAGTGCAGGACAGCCTAATCGAGCGCCACACCAACTACTCTGATTCAGGCCTGGCTTGGGTGGACGCAGACGACATGGAGACTTCAAGCCAATATGACGACGCCACAAAACCATATCTGTACAGCAATCAATATGGCTTCCACAACGGCGTGCACCTATGGAGGGGCTATTTTAACGGAACTGCTGATGTGGTGTATCTTGAGGTTCAAGGCGGCATTGCTCATGGCTGGACAGCCTGGTTGAACGGTAAATTCATCGGCTCCTTTTTAGGAGATCTCAGCTCGTCAACCGGTGCCAAGGAGTTTTCATTTCCAAATGAAACCGTGAGTGACAAACAAAATGTTCTTCTCGTTATGCAGGACATTACTGGTCATGACCAGGGGTCTGGCTCTTTGAATATACGCGGTATTGTCAATGCCACTTTGCTGAACAGCGAATCTGGGTTTAGCTCGTGGAAGGTTGCCGGAACAGCGGGAGGCGCAACTGGAAGCTTCCTTGACCCAGTCCGGACGCACTATAACGAAGGTGGACTGAGGGCTGAGCGCCTAGGGTGGCATCTCCCAGGCTTCGATGATTCACGCTGGCCCAAGAAGTCCCCTGGCGATGGGTTCACAGGAGCAGGAGTCAGGTTCTACCGCACGCATCTTCCATTGGACACCCCAGCTGGCCATGACGTCGCGCTGAGCGTGAAGCTCAACTTCGACAGCGACGAAACCTCAAACAGTTTTCGGGGGTATATTTATATCAACGGTTACCAGTACGGCAGGTACTACCCATACCTGAACGACGCCATGAATACTTTCCCTGCGCCTCCCGGTGTCTGGAACTATAATGGCGATAACGTTATCGGCCTTGCGATCTGGAACCAGGAGGAAAAGGAGGTCAAGTGTGACCTGGAAGTCAAGGTTGAGTATGTGCTCGCATCGTCGCTCGACGTCAAATTTGACGGGACGTACTTGCGCCCAGGATGGGATGAGAAGCGGCTTCTGTATACTTAGGCCAGTAGTATAAGACGGGCTGTCATACGGAGTATGGCGCACCAATAGCCTACCATACAAGCTACATGATGGCACGCACTATTCTCCATGTGAAACCCTTGGCCCGAGGTCTGAAAATGGAGAAAGGCCCGGTTTATTGGCAATCATAGTCTGACGGATGGCTAGGCGTTGACCATCGAAGTCATCTGCTGTTAGGGCTCTTGGCCGGACTGACTCAGTGGGCATGACCCTGCTTCACATGCGATCGCTTCCCTTAGATCGACCATAATACTGCACAATCTGCGAGTGCATCACACTCCCATCGCAAAGATCAGCAGGCCTAACGTTCTCTGTACCCGAGCCCCGGACCGCGGGTGTGCTGTCCTGCTCAAACGAACCCACGAGCCTCATATATACATGGCCACATATCCCCTAGTCCCACCGGCCCAGTTCAACCCTACTACTCCCTTGAAACAACCCTAACCTGAGATCAAAAATGTCTATTACCACCAACAAAAAGGGCAACCGTATAATCTACCACTACTGGGACTACTCCTTTGAATGGACGCCCCAGCACCTGCCCGGCAGCGAACTGAACCCCTGGATCAGAACCTGCGATACGCTTGCCGACGAAGCAAACGAAGTCTTAGACAGCCTACCCGCGCCAGCAGACGACCCGTCAAAGCGAGACCGATACGCCCTGCTACGGGACAACCATACCAGCGATCCGAAGCTCGAAGAGCTCTGGAACCAGATCAACGCTGTACCCGAATGGGTAGACTGGGACCAGATTCAGCGCGGGCAGGATATCTTCTGGCGGTACCTGGTGCCGGTTACAAATGCGGTAGGCACCCCATTGCCTCCAGCTGGATGTTCCAGGCAAGATGCTAAGATCTGATTGCTCCAGTTGACATTCGTAAGCCTCCTAGGCGGAATGTACGTACCCAACTCCCCATGCCATCACCAAAACACAAACCCTAACAAACTACTATACAGGGGCGCAATCCGCGTCGGCGAAATTCTCACCCGCACCGGCGGCTTCAGCGCAAAAGTCGTCCGCCGGCGCCTCCTCGAAACAGTACAGCACACAATCCAAGTAAACAAGAGCGCTGCGTCCCTTCAACCAGGCGGGGAGGGCCATCTAGCGTCCGTCCGCGTCCGGCTCTTACACTCCGCTGTGCGCCGCAAGATCATGGCCCTCGTTGAACAGGACCCATCGTACTACGACGCAGAGCGCTACGGTATCCCCATCAACGACCTCGACTCATTCGCGACGATCAATACATTCAGCAGCACGGTGATTTGGCTTGGACTGCCGCGGCAGGGGATATATCTATCGGCGCAGGAAGAAGAAGATTACATTGCGGTTTGGAGGCTGGTGGCGTGGTACATGGGTGCTCCGACGGCGCCATTCGAGAACGCGGCGAAGGCAAAGGCTGTGAGTGAGTCGTTGCTAGTGAATGAGTTTGAGCCAACGGAGACGGGGCGTATTCTTGCGCGAAATATCGCGGTTGGGCTTGAGAATACGGCGCCGATCTATGCGAGCTTGGAGTATATGGATGCGTTGACGAGGCTGCTTAATGGGGATCAGTTGGCTGATGAGCTACGTATTCCGAGGACGGGGGCGTGGCATAGGGTGCTGATGTGGGGGTATTGCTTTTGGGTGCGGGTGCAGAGTAAGATGATACCGGTGATTCCGGCTGTGGATAGGTATTTTATTGAGGTATGTACCTAACACTGCTACAGCTCCTGGCATGGAACAGATGGTGCTAATGAACATTGGATAGAACCGCAAGGAGATGTTCTGGAAACACCTCATGGACGAGAGAGAAGGGCTTGGGAAAGAAACGGTGTTTGATTTCAAATACATCCCAACGCTGAAGAGGCGAACAAGGCTCGGGGAAAGGAAAAGATATTTCTTCAAGAAGCCTGGCGTGGAGATTCTTTCGTATCTGGGGCTCCTCTCAGCGTTTACTGCAGCTGCTGGGCTGAGCATGGCGGTTTATTTCATACTGACAAGAGCGTTTCCTGGAACTCGGGTTATGCTGCCTAGTTTTCTGCCGGCTCTGAGGAATCGATTGGTCGAGTTGCCGGTTGGGACAGGGACTGCATAGGATCTTGTCAAGAGTATGCGAGGTAGATTTTCGATGTGAAGGAATAGGAGGACTATTTCATAATAAGGTCAGTGATTATAGAGGATGTCCACCGGAAGTAGGTATATACCTGTATGTCCAGCAACTCTATTTGGAACACAAAGCACAGTCAGTTCGTGTACTCGGCCAGGTCCAGTCCACTAGGCGACGATGCCTCGAAGCGAGCCCTAAAGGCATTATCTTCATTACAGTCGTGGTATTCGAACAAGTCGCTCGAGCTTTCCTCCTCACGCTCGCAACGCCTCATCCACAACCGGGCTTGAAAATTCCTAACCTCGCGGGCTCTGGCAAGTTGTATCCCGACGTAGGGGGCCTCTGGTGCCTGGACGTGGAACTGGTGCTTGTACATGTGTCTCATGAATGCGCCCAGTAGCACGGATCTACACTCCGAGTCGCAGTTCTGTGTAATGGGTATAGTGTCCGAAAGCAGACAGTCTCTCTGCTCATACATCTCGCTGACAGCTCGACTGATGGCCTCGATCCTCTTATCGTTCATAGCATCTGTACTAGAGTCAGTTCAGTATTCCTAGGCAAAGGTCCATGTAACAAGGCTCACCTATTACCGTAACTGGCAGGGGTAGACCAAGTGACGAAATGATAGACTCGCTATATTCCATTATAGCACGCGAATAGTTGGTAAAGGTAAGTGAGTGACGGAAGAAATAGGCAATCCAAAGCCCCAACATCAACTCCCGGGGGTCTGATGTGCATGGCTTCTTAGGGAGACACGGAGCCCATAAACTGCCGAAAAATCGCACGAAATCGCAGCTGTAGTAGTCCGCTATAACCGCGATTTGTGCCATCTGCTCTACGGTCACTTTCTTAGGAATCCCCAAGCGTTGGCAATGCAGGATGTTGAGGACGATTAGCAAGGCGTCCACGTCCCAGCTGCCGACATCGATTACTACCGAGCCTTTTTCTTTGTACTCCTTGGCCTCTTTGAAGTCGCCCCAAAGCATCTTCTCGAAGACCGGGGAAACGAGAGTGAGGTGTCTCTCCGAGACTTGGATCTGGACGTCTGGAGCTGCCTCGTCGGCGTCCTTTTCGGATTGCTGGGTCTGAACTTCTGTTGTCTGGGTGTTACCATCGCCCTCGGCGTCTTTCTCGGTTTCGGACTCCAACGCAGGAGATTCTTCGTCGTTGGTGCTTCCATTCCCCCAACTATCATTATTCCCAACGTCTCTCTCAGTACTGTTTTCATGGTTCGTTCTTGTTGGATCCGAGGTCGCCGGGTCTGAGGAAGTGCTGCAAAGAACTGGGGGGAACCACGCGGCGAATGGGGCGTTGGGCTTGTGGACGACGAGGATGACCTTGCCGCGAGGGTCAAGCACATAATCTGGCTGCATGTTTAATCTTGAGAGAAGAAGAGCCGTGGATGTTGGGACAAGGAGATTTGTTGGAAAGAGAAAAAGAGGGGAAGTGTTAGATGTGTTATGAGCTTTGCAGGAGCGGTCTTCTCCAGGTCATCCTCACTAATTTACCCCTTACATTGCCATGGTATGATTCAGCAGAAGAAATGTCTCAGCCTGAGTTAGTTTGCTGAAATGCCCTTTGTTGTACGGTATTCCAGCTTAACGACGGGCTGAGTCCCACGTCCCTCTCTCTGGCATAGTACTGACTCGTGCATTTAATGAGAGCGATTGATCCTGTCCAAGGTACCCTAGGTAGAAATCGTAGGAGCCTTAAATAGGATATGGCCCGGTCAGATCCACTGGTCAGTGCTGCTTTAGAACTCATGCAAACTTGATCTATTATTCTATGCCCTGTTAGTATGACACTACCTAGTGGGATCATACAGGCTTCGTGGTTTTCCTTAATTCATGACAATGTGTTCTTGATTCAGTTTATCCAGAGGTACAACTCCAATTCAACATAGATTCGGCCAGCCTTTATGGTGATGAGGAATTAAAACTCACTCCCCCCCGTGCCTTCCAACTGGACCTGTGTTGAGCATTGCCGGTCTCCCCGGCCAAACTGAGCGTGTTTGTTTGCGAACTGAGTGTATCACGATGAACTTGCCTCAGAGCTTCCCACTGTCGCTGCCGTTCAGCCTCATCACGCCTCGCTGCTGCCTGTTGGTCTTCCGGGAGAGCGCGGATTTCGTCACGGATCTTGTCTTGTCTTGCGAGCTCTCTTTGGGTCATTTCAGACCCGGACGCACAAGCTGTCGAGTACGTGAAAATCGCAGCGAATTGTCTTGCCACCGACACTCCATGAGGCATCTCGAACAACACCGCTAGTCCAGGCCGTGCTCCCATCTGTAAATTTAACTTCGAGCAAGTCGTCGAGGCTTCCATCAATGTTGAATCTGTGTCTCCTAGCGTATGCGCTAGACACAAGCACCACGTCCGACCTTGTATCAGGGAGCGCCGCAGTTGAATTGCCGTTGAGATATCCCGACAAACGCCGACTCTTGCTGCCAAGGAGGTGTAATTTGAGCCATCTTGATAGAGTAATCAGCTCAAATACGACCCGATTCCTGAACTTAGTCAGGGTTTCTGTGATTCTTAGGAATGGACTCCCACGAAGCCCATAAACTGCCAAAAAAGCGCACATTATCGCAGTTGTAGTAGTCCGATATAACCGCGATTTTTGCTGTCTGCACCACATGGAGGGTTGAGAAGAGACTTTGTTTAGAATTGCTGCTTAGCCCAGATTCTCGTGGCCAAGTATTCGAGATTGTCAACGTCGATTTCGACATCTCTTTCTCGCGGGACAGAAGGAGGTCTGAGAAATAACCTTTGAAATTGGACCACCAACGGAGCCCCACGAACGATAATCCTATTATTGGCTGTTCTCCTTATGACAACCTGTTGCCGTTGGTTGCCGTGGTTATTGACAGTGATTTCCCACCTTTCAATGGTGATTCTGGGCTCATTACGAGCGATTTGGAGAGTTATGATTGTTTTCACGTCACCCTCTGCCGCCCTTAGCCAATAACGCACATCTGACTGAAGCTTAGACTGGGCCTCGCTGAAAGCAACTTCAAGGACTAGAGTTGGCCATTTGTCTTCTCGGTCCCGGGGTAGTCTGGTTGGCTGCCACGCCCTGTCGGGCTCCTCTGCGCCAATGTTCGCAAAATGCGTAGCAGCGCCTATGTTTTCGAGCGAGCGCTGCATCCCTATTTTGATCACCTCCTCCCAGAATATATTATCGAAAACACTTGTTGCGGCTTCGTGTGCCTTTGACTTCATGGTTCTGACGAGAAGGAGCTTTAGTGTTCTGTCGTAGGCACACCAACGAGAGAAAGGTTCTTCCGTGGCTTCAAGGAACGCAGAGGCAAAAACCTTCTCATTCACGTTGCCGACAAGGAACCACTCAGTAAAATTGGCGTCAGCATGAAATGCGTGGTTGAAGTCATTTTCAAAGCCCTCTCGGTCGCGGTAGGGGTAATGTTGGAATACAGAAGGCGTCAGATTGCCCAGGAAACCACGACCGGCATCTTCGACGATTGCCATTGTGTCTGGAACTGACTCTGTATCAACGGACGTCATGTTGGATGCCAGAGATATCAAACAGCAAGCACAGTTCTTGGGGTCTCTTAAAGCCTCGTCTGGGAGCAGTTGCTCTGGAGGTTACCAGCTGGGTAAATCTAAGCTTGCCTAATTATGACATCAGTATTCGTGGCGCCACGGTCACCCTCCGTATCTCACTCCGCAGATCTTCTTTTGGCGCTTCATGCCCTGCTTGTTGTTGCCAGGGTACCTTTGCTCAGCGAGATGAGCACGATTTCCCCGGCCAGCGTGCCTACTCGCAAGGAAGGCTTTGCCGACGTGCAAGATGGATAACACTCGACCGCGACACCGAGACCTTCATCTACCACAGGCTCAATGAGCTCTCTGCTCCGAACCTCCTCTATCTTCAGTGCGAGCTACTAGCTCTCGAAAGAAAACTGGAAAAGTTGGATATGAACGACGCCCCCAGCGATGACGTGGAATTGAAAGATGAAGTCAGCACGTGGGAGACGGTCATCGAACGACACCAGAATGGCAATCAGGAAGCGCAACCGCGCATTCAGTTGATTGCAGATCTGCGTTCCGAGTTCAATGAATACCGTCTGTCGCATCCTGGAGCCAAGGGCTACAGTCATACCTTGTGTGCTAACAATTGACCGCAGATGAGGCACTCTTACTGCAGAGCGAGATTGCAAAGCTGAAACGCCCAAACAAGCGCGTGATTGAAGCACTCCAACACTGGTTCAAGAAACAGTATCCTGTGCTTGGTAGAATCGCGAAGCAAGCTTTGAACGACTCGGATGATCTGGTGGCCCTCAATACCCTACCAGAAGGTGATTATCTATCATGGTTCCTAAGGCGACACTGGCCAGCTACAGTGGACCATCCCGCTCTGTTCAGAGCTCATAAAGCAAAACAACCTTGCTAAGGCCCCATAGGAGGAGCTCTCTCGCGACGGCCTCTATCGCATCGGACGGTTCAAAGAAGCGTCCATAACGATAGCAGTCGCCATCATTAGCATTCTAGTGGCTTCGTTCTTTTTAGTTGGCTCTATAGTTGGACTATACTTTGCAGCGAACGATGCCCTTAAGCTCGGTCTGGTGGCTGGCTTCACGGCCTTGTTTGCCCTAAGCGTGGGCTTGATGACGAATGCGCGGAGAGCAGAGATATTTGCGCCCACTGCAGCGTAAGCTACCTCTGGCGTTAAGACCGCAAAGAGACCCAGCTAATGGCTTCACAGATACGCAGCTGTGCGTGTTGTATTTGTGGGTGGGAACATATCGAACTCGGGCGATGGGTCGAGAGATTGAGTTTTGGCCGCGGTCAAATAGAGGTGTTTCTGAAACTCCCAAGAAATTCAAGGATTGAATGACATTATCGGACCATTGGCCTAGAGTGTAGAATCATTTCAAGTCCAGCCTCGATTGGCGTGCTTTGCGCCAAGGTGATGGTGGCCTGTTACATACAGACTCGGACAACGGAAGCCGCGGAATCCGAACCCCTGCTACTACTATGGCCAGCTGGAAATCCCTCGATTTCTCCTTTACTGAAGATCATATTCTGTGGTAGAAGACATGGCTACGTCAACCTCAAAGCGCGCAGTAAGGATATATGATCCTGATCTCAATGAATACCGGTATACAGAAATTCGCTGACCTGAACTTGAATAGTGCGAACCATGCCGCAACCGCAAAGTCAGCATTAGCTTATACGTTTGTTTTCCAGCGAGCTGATTTAGCGAGACAGATTCGCTGCGACAAATCCTCGCCATGTTCAAACTGTCGCCTGGCTGGCGCGACCTGTATAACACTCAAGCCCGCCTCACGACCAAAGCAAGCACGCGTTTTGATATCCTCGCAATAGTATGGTTCCACGCTATGTGTTCGTTACATCAACTAACTGCGTCACAGCGAGAGCAAGATCGATCTCATTGAAAGAAGACTTGACCGTTTGGGTGATCTTGTGGAATCTTTAGCCGTACAAGCTTCGGCATCGAGTCAGACACGCTCTGTAGAGCATTCCAATGGCCAACAGTCGAATACTGGTATTGCCCCAGACCATGGCCGTGACTCTTCTGTTAGCATGCATCAGAATTACACTTTAGCGGCAACTAGTGACGCGACGGACAAGGCTTCGGTGATAAAAACGCAATCCTCATCGTCCTTATCAGCGCATTCGTCCTTTGCAGTCCGTTTCCTCCACGACGTTGTCGACTCCAAGCCTGAACGAGACGCTAGTGGGGAGGTTGCATGCCTCTTGAGTACTATTTCCCAGATGGTTGACGCATTCAACGCCCAGTCTCTATCACCAAGCTCCCTCTTTCCGTATGCACGGGAGAAACAAAGCTCAAATGGCGCGGAGTGTGCTATGCCTCCAATCGAAGTTGCTGTGAAGATCCTACAAAAGGCACAAGGTACTTGCCTAAGCTCCTAGGCACTCTTTATGACCAGAATGGGCTTCAACTAACCATATAATCTAGCAACCGACCACATAGACCTCCAGATACTCACCGAGTGCTTTGTGCTTTTTCTCGGGCCCCAAACCCTCTCAGAACTATGCCTCAAAGTTTACTTCTCCCAGGGATATTCAGATGCAGAATTTATTATTCTTAATGCAGTCCTATACTGTGAGGTCTTTTCATGCTTTGATACTGTGACAAGGCTAATGATCCGTCAAGTATTCGGAGCATGGCTGCGAGCAATGCAGAAGCAACCGGTCACAAGCATAGATGACGAAGACGGACTCTTGGTGTCGACCTGCCGCGCAAATTTAGAAACCGCTCTTTCGCGGCTGACTCTGTATATGCAACCGAGCCACGAGATGGTTTTCGCTCTTGTTCTTGGCGTAAGTGTATCTATCACCCTCAAAGCGCATGTTTGCCTGACCACACCGTCACCGGTCGAAGGTGATATACGCAATTGATAACGCAAAGGGGACCCTGGCCTCTATTTTAGTGGTTGCTGCATCCCAGGCTGCGCGATCTCTCGGATATCATACCAGGTCCGTCGGGGCGGATGCGTTGACAGGTCAGCCAAACAACAAAGGTCTGCTCTTCTGGACTGTGTACTATCTGGAGAAGACTCTTTCTCTGAGGAACGGTCAGTCCTCAACAATATCGGACAGAAGTGTTACAGTTCCAATGCCGTCCGCCCAAGTAGATACGTCGCCAAACTCATATCTGACGGCATATTCCGGGCAAATGGTGAGCGTTGCCCGTTTGGCCGGGAGGATCTATGAAGAACTCTATTGTCCTGGCTCTCTGGCTCTCCCCGTGGATACACGAGCCCGACGTGCAACAGCACTAGCTCAGGAGTTGCGGGAGCTTTCTGCAGCTTTCAGGAGTACTATGGTATGTTGTTTCATAATCCGGATGAAGAAACTTCAGCTTTCTGATAAGCTCTACAGGAATCGTGGCTTCAATCTGCTCCAGTAGATCAAGTGCAGACCAACAAGTCCACGGCCATGTCTGATGAAGTCCTTCGACTATCCATGCTAACTCTGATATATCGCGCTACGCCGGCACCGGCTGGATCTTTGTCGACCTTTAACGAGGAATGCCTTTCGACGGCCAGAGCCGCCCTGGAACACCACCAGTCCTTTATACTCGAATTTGGTGCATCGGATACTGTACTCTTGTCAGGCCATATTACATGGTACGTCTACATTTTCGGACATGGGCGCTAGGTAGTGCATAACTCACTTCTCCCCAGGTCAATCCTCTTTGTTCCATTTGTTCCTTTTATAGTTCTATTCTGCCACGCCATTGAGACCGGCGCTGTTGAAGACCTAAACCAAATGCGAGCATTCGTCACATCCATCGAGTCCGCGTGCCCCAATTCTCCCGCCATCGCCAAGCATCACCGTCTGTTCCAGGTCTTTTATACCGTTGCCCAGCGCTACCGTGATCTCATGGTGATTCCAGAACCTGCAGGTCTGCAAGGAGAACAGCAACGACTGAGGATGGAAGTGGACGCGCAGCTGAGTGCTTTCGGTCTTCAAACGCAGCTAGCAAGCGCTCCCTATCCCGCTCAGAGTGGGAATAGAGGACCTCCCCTGCCGGATCTGGATATACGCTTACAGGAATCTAGTTCGAGCTTACAGGGAGCCGATGTACCGGATGGGTTCAATCTGGGAGACTGGTTCTCCTTCAGCCAGAATATTGTGGGCTTGTTGGATCGCGATGAGCTGCCTTTTTAGTTACTCTTTGTGGGGTTTCATCTGTATTCAAGTGGTGGGAGTGGCCGAGTGGGCGGCTATAGGGGCCTTATACACAAGGCCGTGGTCGAATCCCACTCCTACTGACAACTCCCACGTCAAATTTTGGCCTTACTATACAAGGCCTCAATATGTACGCTCCCCCGGGGAGCCTCGACATACACAGTACAACGGCCATACGTAGGGATGGTTGTTCATAACAACCCACAGAGAATTCGCGAGTGGCTATCTGGGCAATGGATACTGTTAAGGGAACTTAGACATGGGGAAGGAAACTTTGGACCTGTATCTACATCTATCCTAGCGTCAGCCCGCCTCCATATCTCAAGGGAGGTCGGGAAAGGGTGTAAAAAACCAGCCTTAGTATTCCTGACGCGCTAAGTACTACTACTACTACTACTACTACTACTATCTGTATTCAAGTTGGATTCGATATGTGTCTATGTACAAGTCTCACCTCTATATCAAGTAGACACCAACTCTACCCAGAAAGTTCTCATAGCACCTGCATGCCGTCTCCGAGATCCCACCCTCAGAAAATAACCTTCTCGAATGCCTCTCCCACCCCTCTACTCCCAAGCCAAGCCTCCAAAGCCTGCATGTCCCCGCGATTCGCCCTCTGCCCTCCTCGCTCCCCGAGGGAATCCGTAATCTCCTCCATACCCCCAAACACCCTCTCGACCCCCTCCGTCTCACGATACCGCTCGCTAACCTTCTTCTGGTGCGCGGGGATATCACCCCACGAATGTGTCTTGATAAAGCTCATGTACGAATCGATATCCCTCGACGCCCCCTCAAGACACAACACGCCCGGTTTTCCCGCTAGCACGAAACCCGTTAACCCATAGTCCGGCGCATAGTTGACCATGTCCGAGCGCTTTGCGCGCGTCGAGAGGGAAGGGAAGTAGAACCAGACGCGGACAAGGGGATCATTTATTTCTTGTGCGAGCGTTTGAGCTGAGGTCGAGCCTTGCTCTGGCGCTGATATTGATTCCAGGAAAGCGCCCGCTTCCTCCTGGATATACTCCAGCGCCGCGAAGACATCGTCGCTCGGCAACTCAGACGATAATCTGCCCAGTTCCGCTTTCGACATCCAGTCTGGTTGTCGGAGGGAATAAGTAACTGGAGGCGCTTCGCCTTCATCTGCCTCTTTCTGTTCTGGGAGATGGCACATCGGTATAGACACGTTGACTTGGATCGTCTTCCCGTTGGAGAGCGGGGAGTGCACTGCGAGTAATATGCTGCAGGGGATGGGGATGCGTGGTGGACTTGAAATTGAAGATGGATCTGATTCCGCGGCCTCGCACCACTCTCGCAGTCTCTCGATGCACTCTGCTGTTGAGGCGTCGAGGTCTAGTTCGCCGGGTGAGGGATACATTGCGGTTAGCAGGTCTATTGTTGAGAGCTGCGTGGCCATGAGGTCTGGTGGGAGGGGCGCCATTTCTTTTTTCGTTTTTCAAGTATATGTTCGGTTGTACGGAGTATAGATACCGTAGAGAGTGGACAGGTGAAGAAATTACCTAAGCATCTGGTGTCCCTGCCAAGCCCCGGTGCCGGCGTGGGTACGTGCGGGGAGGGACGGCGAAAGTGCGTGTCCATAGTGGCTCACAGCCCTAGGGAGTCTTGTAGGGCTTTCAAAGCCAGCAGAGAAAAGGCTGCCTTCGTCTTCTTCTTCTGGTAGGGGTGGCAGAGGTCCAGCAGAGCAGTTTCCTGGACTTTGTAGTGGGCCGTGGCGACTTCGCCGCCGGACTCGCGGACTGGATTTCCGCTACCTACCTAACTTCATGACAACCTCACACCTCCGCCCTCAGTAACTTCCCAGCTCACTCTACTGAAACCAATTTTTCAGCCTACCAGAATGTCTACAACAGCAGGTAGACTTCGTGACAGGCTGCATACTCTTTGGGAGGAGGTTGTTAAGGAAGACCTGAAGAAACACCTCTTGAACGACAATGTGGTCCCTTCCGCATTTCTTGACAAATGGCACATCTACCTCGAGCCGCATAATCTCGGCATCCTACGATAAAGCGAAGAACCTTGCACTTAGCCCTCCACTGCTTTTCCAGCCCCGGCGTCCTGCCGATCACGACCATGCGCGGCCGCTCAAGGCAGTCCAAATCATGGGAGGAGCAACTGTACGAGGACGAGGACAACTATGATGATACCGAGAGTGACAACGATGTGGTATTAGACGAGTCGGATCTGCTGCATAGGTATGAGCGGAGGTTTCCGGTAAGTCTATCGCCCGACGTCGACGTCCCTCGTGTCTTTTTTTGAGAGCTAACTCGGCACTATGTACTAGGTCCTGATGGTTTCGTTTGTCGGGCCCCCAAGTGCGCGTATCAACTACGCATGCATGTCCGGTCGCGATATCAAGATATATCAGTCAAGGATGTATAGCTTGGAAGAGCGAAATGATGATTTGATGGAGTTTCTCGCCGGTATACTCCTCAGCAAGCCTCTGAATGAAAGAAGTGGCCAGGGAAAGAAGGGCCACGGCAGGTCTTGATGTACTCATCCTTGCTTTTATGTGATCACTTTCCAATGCCGCTGACGGTTGACATGATCCTGGGATAATTTCGAGTTCCATTCATTACCATTTTCCAGCCCTCTCCGTCCATTGGAAAACTTGCAGTGTGGCCTACGCTAAGAGCAAACATTACCTCCAAACGAGATGGCTTTACCTTATACTCCTCCCAACTCTTGTGCGGGCGGTATTGCTCACGATCGTATTAGAGCAGGCTCATAAAAACCGCGTGGGGCATCATATGCTCAGGTTTAGGGTTCAATTTACCCAGCCAGTTGAACTTGGACGAACACTGCTTCTACCAGACGCCCCTCGCTTACAAGGCGGCCTTGATGTCAAGATCCCTGAAGACTGTTTTTCGGTCCAAAAGTTTCCGGCGCCGTCAGTTGAGTTCGCATCAAGATGTCCCTTGTCTGCGATCCGTCTAGACAGTTTTGCAGGATCGTGATTAACTCTATGAACGTGGCAATGACGATGATAGCGACGAATTTATGGAGGGCGATCATCGAACTCATATCCCCAAGTCTCAGCAGCACGCTGGTCACTCTTGTGAACAGTGGCATGTCAGCAGAGTTAGGGCAAGGTGGTAGTCCAAGTCCAAGGCATTCAGACTTGATCACTTCCAAGTGGACTCTCGACATCGCAGGTCCAAACGCGAGTTCTGTGATTGAGCTTACGTTGTTCTGGCTGCCTCGTGGTGCGTTCTCCCTCTTACTCAATGTCAACGGGACTGCAATCTGAAGCTAATCATGCGAGTGTATGTGCAGCGTTCTATGGAATACAAATTGGCCAGGCGTTTCTTCTAGGATCTGCGAGCCAGAGCCCGGGGAACGACAAATGATCAAGGCCAGGCCAGAGCAATTCATTCACATTATCACTCCTCTCGGTGTACTTCCGCTCTATTACTCAGTTATTCCGTCCAGAACATAAGCTCAGCGGCGCCACAAAGCCAATAAACACATATGCAAGAGCGAAACAACTGGCTCCTTGATCTTGCATGCTCAAGCGTTGAAATGTGACGTCCCAACGGGCCAACGCACGCCCCTCGGCCCAACTCCAGCCCTAATTTGTCACTACTGTGGCTGGCTGCACTTGCTGCACTCTGCAGTTTCTCGCTATCCATCTGACTCAGTGGCGTTGCAATCATGCATACCTTATCCACTGAAAATTCCACCGAGCCCGAATTATTGGGACACTAATCGGACTCGGCTGCCCCGAAAAAAGCAGAAACAATGCGATTATTTGATCCCCGAGGGCCCGAGGGCCTGGCCAACATCGCCTACCAACGAATCATCCGCTGTGTTCTTGACGAACCATTGAGGTATCCACTGATAGCCAGCTGAGCTGAGCTGAGTCTCCACTCTCGATCGTGAAAAATCGCGGATGATGACTCGTGGTTGGAGCTAAATTGTCTCTGAAAAGTTTCTTTTCGGCCTCACCGCACACAAGATGCATAATTACGCATCTCCTGGTATTTGAGCTTGCGCGCTTTCGGGCACGGTTCAGGTCTCGCTTGCTTGGATATAAGATGACCGGTACGCGCTTGGGCGAAGGCGTCGTATCGCAGCTTTCTTCTCTCTTGGAAGCTATACAGCACCAGAACCGGGAGAGAACTTTTCCGCGGCTCATACAGCAAGACTAGAGAATGCCGCCCTCAGAACCTCCAACTGCGCCTTCGACCTCGTTCGCAATCACCGAGCATGTCATCGAATCCTCGCATATTCGAGAATATGCTCGCGCGACCAAACCGAGTCCAGATTGCTTGAAGCTCGTCGTGAAGAGATATACTCCGAAATCGAACCCCGATCCTCGACCGGGAGATCTGACGATCATCGGGACCCACGGGTCCGGGTTTCCCAAGGTCGGTGTCACTTGACTGCTGATTCCTTGTCGTCTTACGCACGTATAGCTGAAGGTAGCGGTTGTGCAACTTGAATAGGAACTCTACGAGCCGATTTGGGAAGAGCTATACTTTACGCTAAGCAGTTATGGAATCCGAATCCGATCAATATGGCTTGCAGACACGGCAAACCAGAACGCGAGCGGGCTGCTGAATGAGAAGGTGTTGGGGGATGATCGTAAGCCTCCTACGGTCCGTGGAAGTCTTATGTATAGATAGGAACCTAATAGCTGCTTTGCGACCCAGCCTCCTGGTTCGATCACTCCCGAGACCTCCTATACATGATCAACCAGTTCAAGAACGACATGCCCCAGCCCATTGTCGGTATCGGACACAGCTACGGCAGTGGACAGCTGTAAGTCATCTTGGATTACCCAGCGTGTGAGCGACTAGGTCTGATCCAAAATGCAGAGCCCTGCTATCACTCATGCACCCGCGCCTCTTTACCTCGCTCATTCTAATCGAGCCCGTCATCGAAAAGGACATCTACACCGGCGTGGGCCCAGAACTCGTTCGATACGCACTCGCCCGGAAAAACGGATGGGCGTCTTACGAAGAAGCAGAGACGCATTTCAAAAAGCTGTTCAAGAAATGGGATGCCCGTGTTCTTGAACTATGGATGAAATACGGCCTTAAGAAAACTCCACCCTCTTCAACATCAAACACGGATACGAACACAGCATCATCCCTAACCCTAAAGACGCACCCATACCAAGAGGTAAACCAGTACCTACGCGCCAACTACGAGCACAAGAAGCCTGCATGCGGCGACGCAGACCACGCCGACATCGTCGGCCCCGACCACACGATCGCCCCCTTTTACCGGGCCGAGCCGCTGCTTCTCTGGAGGATGCTCCCGCATATCCGGCCCTCCGTGCTGTATTTCTTCGGTGGGGCAAGCCCCAGCTCAACGCCTGCAAAACGGAATGAGAAGCTTGAGCGGACGGGGGTTGGGGTTGGCGGGAGTGGCGGGTATAAGATTGGAAGAGTGAAGGAGGTTACGATTGAAGGTGGTACGCATCAGTTGCCGTTTGAGGAAGTGAGCAGGATTGCGAAGGAGTCGGCTGGATGGCTAAGGGGTGAGATTGAACGGTGGAAGGAGGATGATGAGAGAGTCAAGAAGAGCTGGGAGGTTGAGCCGGGCAATCGGGTGAAGGATTGGCATGCGCCGTTGAAGGAGAGCTTGAGGAAGAGTAAGCTGGCCAGGGAGGCGAAATTATGACCTTATATACTGGGTGTTGAGAGTGGGTTAGATTAGATCATATAGATTTCTTGATATCCAAGCAGTCAGGTGCTCGTTCTGGCGGAAGATACAGCAACTTGGTCCCTGTGCCTTGACTAGAATGCAACTAGAGTGCAGCTAGGACATGGCCAACTGGATCTGTACAGGAAGAGGCATGTGACTTTAGTCCGTAGTACTACCTGGCTGCTCTGCAGGAATCAGCTGCTATCTGCTAGAGTCGATATGGGCACAATGCATAGACGACTTTGGCTCCTGGTGCGATCAAACAATAATAGCTTTACCTACTGCAGAACGCCGACTGCGCCGAGCGATAGTTGGCCCTCGGTTAGGGCTTGGTGGGATCTTGGGCCGTGCCAAAGGACCCTTCAGCCCGCCACAAGGCTTATCCCGAGTCATTCCTCAGTTATTCCAACAGCTTTCATGGGTCTAGAATTGGTCTGATGTCTTGCGACGCGGTCCAATCGAAGTGCCGGGCACTGGGTGAGTTCTCAAAGCTACCCAGAGCTCACCCGGAGATCCGATCCCGCATGTAAAAGAACGCGGATGAGGGTCAGCAGCGGAATTTCGATATGTTCGTTAGATCTATACCCAACTGATGCAAGAATGTCAAAACCATATTCGACACTGTCCCAGAAGTCGGGAGTCAAGCATAAAAGCTTCCAAGTCACGGGTCCTCGGTCGTAGTAACAACGCATCACGACAGCAATCAAGCTGCCGAGCTGCCACCTTCCCAGTTCATGGGATCTTATATTCAAATTCCAACTCACCTCAGCATAGACTACCGGAATGAGGTCCATAGCCGTGGCTCTCTCCGTCAAGACCTCTACTGAGCGCCAAAACGATCGAATCGACATTGCTATCCAAGGCTTCACCAGTAGCGCTTACACCACCTTCTCTGCTGCATAATATTCCCCCTTCCGGTCCTCGAGGTGAGTATCATATAGTTGAAACTTGAACATCGTTCTATGATAGTCGTAAGTGCCGTGGCCAGATATCGAACCATGCAGTCGAAGTGTGACCTGCGTTACATGGCCAGACAGCCACTAAATAAGCACCAGCTCCAGGTACTTGATTGTCCAAGGGTATCTGAATCAGCCACTTAGTGGCAGGTGGTAAATAGCTCTCAGCCTCGAGCTTTGGGAGGTTTCCATACAACAACCGAGATATATTCATCGAATCGGTAAGGATTGGCACTCAGGACTTTTGGTTAACCAGTCTTCCTTTCTCTTTTCGTGATCTTTCACGCTTCATACAAGGTCAGTGTCAACTGCAAAAGTGCCGTCGGTTGCGGGACATCTCCTTGCTCCAAAAATGGCTCGGTAACCCTGACCCCTGATCTAGGAAAGACCGAGCCCAGAGTCCTTGACCAGGGCAATGGCCTTCTCCAGAACCTCTCGGTCAGTCATGTATGTCAGCTTCTGCAACGCCTCCTCATACTCAAAGAAGTCGGCTCCGAATTCACCAGTCCCGTGTCCCGCTCCATCCTCTAATCCGACATCAACCGCAGCAACATACCACCAGATAACCTTAACCCCGGAGTCGGGACCCAGCTCCTGGATTGTAAGCATAAAAGGCTCATCCAAGTTCTGGACCGAGCGAACTCTATCCGGGACGTTTTCAGGGTCATCAGGCAGCGGAGCCCTGGTGGACATCATAACAGGCTGAATGTGACATTTATAGCCAGTTTCTTCTTGGGCTTCCCGTAACGCGGCTTCGCGTCGAGACTCGCCGCAATTTCGCCGGCCTTTGGGGAGGAGCCACTCATCGTGCTTCTTGTAGTGGATTAAGCAGACTCGTGGTGGTTTCAGGGATAGGTCAAGGAGAACTGCGCCGCAGCTTTCGACGAGTTGTCCCGATGCATACTGGCTTGTTGGATAGCGTGATGCAGCCATACTTTGTGATTGTGGGTAGTCAATCGAGGATGAGGCTCTGTCGATTCCCCCCGGGCCCCCAAACCGGAAGGAGCGACCCGCCCTTGACACGTGACGGCCCTTTCCGCGCTAACCCTTATCGATAAGGGCCGATGCATGGTTTCGTCACCGGGAGTCTGTAGAGTTTCTTCTCCGAGATTCCATCCAGCATCTGGAATCCCCACGAACAAAGCGCAGTGAAAATGAAGCGCAACCGCTGTACATGACACATTGATACCCCTTATACCAGCAACTCCTGTGTACCTTGCTACCTACAACATATCGACATACTATACCTATACCAATTCCCATCCTACAACCTACCCACCAATCTCCGTCGCAACCATGTTCTCCGTCATACTCCCCGGCCGACCGTGCCTAACAGACATCGTCGCAGTCGACCCGCAACCGAATGGACAATCCACAAAATTCGCGTTCAATTTCCCCCTCTCCCCCTCATTCTCTGAAATAGTCGTCTTCTTCCTCCCCGGCACAGTCCTCCCGCAAGACACAGCGGCCGCAATCTACATCCAATACCCGGGGTCCGAATTTCGATTCATCGGCGCGCTCGCAAACGAGAAGCCGTCCTCGATCATTAAAGCCGCGCCTCCAGCAGGAACACAAAATCAGATGATGGATGAGGGTGTTGTAACGCTGGGGATATCAATTGAGCCTGTGCAGGTTGTTGCGCCGCAGCTTGCGGCGCTGGAAGCTGAAAACGGGAGTGGCTCGAATGGGACGTCGACGGAACTTGTGAAGCAGACGCCGCAGCAGAAAGGAATCACTACGAAGGTGCTTGCGCAGAGGATTGTGGGTAATGCGTTCAACTTCCTGGCCAGCTTTGCGTCGAGTGATCCGGCGAATCGCGGGCAGGAGGTTGTCCCGCTCAAGGCGTTCCATGACTGGTGGACGAAATTCGAGAGAAGGGTTAATGTCGATCCTACGTTCTTGGAAAGGGAGGATCCGAGGGCGAGTGGGTGATTTCTTTGTCAATGAGGTTATTTGGGTGTGGATTTTTTGAGGGTGTTATATGCTTGTGGTTATACCAGCTTGCTAAATCATGCGCATTTGTAATGTATCTAGATACCACTTTTGCTGGCCTGGAAACGTCGGCGTCAGCCTCAGCATCAGCTCGACGCAGAATATAATCTGAATCATGATCTATGTCTGTCTATATGTAACGCTAAAGGACTCATGGCCAAGCCAAGCATCTACTCTAACAAGAACTTCACAAAGGCCACTCCAATCGCAAGTCCATCATGCGGCATCGCGGCTCTAGCCAACGCATCCTCAGCCTGCTCCTTATCGAAGACGCCCGCCGCAGCCCGCAAGTTCACCGCCTCGGAGACAATGTCCTCCTTGAACTCTGGGTGACCCTGCACCGTAATGAACTTGCGCGCCTTGTACATGCCCTGGACTTCGCACCTAGGCGAGCTACCAAGCGGTGTCACACCGTCGGGATACGCAAACACGATATCGCGGTGCATCTGTTGGATTTTCTACAGCCCGTCAGTATCATCATCAACATCTCCATCCTAGCCACCTCCCCATGGGGATTGGAGCATAAGGAGACTCACGAGTGTATCCACCCCAAACAATTCCCTCCCTTTCTCCGTCAAATCAACATCACAGACGGCAATCTCCCACCCCGCACTATTCCGTCCAACCTCAACGCCCAATGCCCGTCCGAGAATCTGGTGTCCAAAGCAAATACCCAATATCTTGACGCGCGGGTGCTCAACCGCCCTCTTAGTGAACTCAACGAGCTTCAGAATCCACGGGTGGTCTTCGAAGGAGTTGTGTTCTGCGTGTGGCCCATTAGCACTCATCCACAACTAAAGATATCATTAAGCAGATAGGTGAAGGATGAACGCACTCGACCCCGTCAACAAAACCGCATCCACATTCTCCAGATCCGGATACTCCTGCGCGGTCACGACGTCGAAGCGCGAGATCTCCAGGACAGAAGACGGATCGACTTCGTTTGGCTTGTGGAGTTCCTGGACGCTGCTGTGCAGGAGCGTCTTGAAGACGCCGACATACCCGCCGTATTTGGCGTTGCTGTTTTCGGGAGGGGTGTCGCATTCCAGGACGGCGATGCGGAGGGTGCGGGGCATTGTGGCGGGTGTGTAGAAGATGGGATCGCGCGGTCCTTTTGAGGGCGAGAAGAGGAAAGTTGTAGAGGTAGAGGGGAGAGGAAATCAAGTCTATGTATTTGGTGACGAGGAATGTTGAGATAAGAGTCGTGGTGAGGGGCGATAAGTAGGTAAGGCGGGGTCCGTGGCTGCGGGCTGCTCGTGGCGTGTCCGGTCGGCTGGTGTCGGTGTGGGGAACTATGGCGACGCCGCCCCTCGGGACTATATAGGGCTCCAGGGGTGTGCATACTATCTCAGGGTCAAATTGGCACATTTTCAGCATAACATATCTCATAGTCTTGCACCTTTGCTGTAAAATCGGTTTACGGATTGGGAATTGGGTCACTGCAGCTTCATTTGGAATGATGAAGCACATATATATCGACGGTATTTTGATTGTAGTCTAACCGACGTTTTATTACAGGTTCTACTCTTCTCTATCACGGTATCCTGAAAATGTACTATGAGATTTATTTGTACATCAATTTTCAATATGTGTGACTATATATAACAATATTGACGCTCAATCTGAATAATGACACTATATACGCAGTCTAGATGCAGCACTGCGGCAAGGTATTTTGATACATCAATAAACCGTAAAGGTAGAGCACTTACGAGTCCACAGTCTCATGCTTTGCGTCCCAGGCGAGGAAGCCGAACTCCAACGTGAAGGGCAAGCATAAGACCTGCGAATACAGCCGCCGATGCAAACGTCAAGCGGAGAGCTCCGGCATACGAATCAATCACTAGAACAAGTTAGCTTTTCTTCATAGACAAGTATTGCGATAGTGCGTACCTTGGCTCTGGTGGAGAGGATCAAGCTCCGCAATAGCTTGGACGGACCTGCGAACAAGCTGAATGACAGCTTCCTTGTCCGGCTGCGTGACTTTCTCCTCAAGCTGGTAGACAAGAGTGTTCTGGAAGATCCAGCTACTCGTCGCCACGCCCATGACAGATCCTAGATTTCTGAAGAGACCTAGTGTTGTCGTGGCCACGGCCTGTTCGTCTGTTTCACTTGTCGCAAGGACAGATACCATCAGCGAGGGGAAAGCAAACCCTTGACCGAGACTCGCGAGAGAGACACAGATCATGGCCACGATGTCAGGGGTATTGACACCCATTGTGGCCGCGGCCAACCCTCCTAGAAGCAGAAATACGTCGCCGATCATGATGGTTGGCTTCAAGCGCTTCGACCAGGTAATCAAGAACCCAGTCGCAACACTAGAGCAAGTCACAGCCAGTGTAGACGCGACTAGTCGGAGACCTGAATCGGTGGGACTCGCGAGTTTGACTGCCTGGAAATATAGCGGGGCATTGAAGATCATGGTGTTAACAGCGATAGACCCAAAGAAGTTTCCAAAGACAAGAACAGCACGGGGGTTCTTGGTGAGGAAGGTAATGGGCATCACTGCTCGTTCCACTCGTTTTTCATATGGGACGAAGATCGCTGCCAGGACGACGGAGGCAACTAGAGACGAGATCACGAGAGGATGAGTCCAGCTATAGACGTTACCGCCGAGATTGAGACCCATGATCAACGCAGTCACAGTAAGAACCAAGAGAGCAGAACCCACGAGGTCGATACTCTTGAGTAGCTGCAAGAAGGTCATTCTGTCCGTTCCCTGGTTCTTCAATCCGAGACCGGAAGGTACTGTCCAGGCGGCAACTAGGAAGTAAACGAAGATGAAGGGCAGTTGTACGAAGAACGCACCTCTCCAGCCCACTTGATCACACAGGTATCCCCCAAATGCCAGACCGAGACAGCCACCTAATCCAAGGCAGAGGTTGATGTAAGATTGGTAGATACCACGATACTCAATGCGGACGAGATCACTGGATAGAATCATACCCATGGAGAAGACACCCCCGGCTCCGAGGCCACAAAATGCGCGCGCTGCGATAAAGCTCCCTATGCTTTGCGCCATAGCACACCATGCGGTGGTAAGGAAAAACACGGCAATGGCAAACAAGTACACAGGCTTTCGTCCAAAAGTGTCTGAAACGCGCCCGAAAAGAGGAAGAAATGCAGTCGATGTCAATAGGAAAGCGGTTGATAGCCAGGAAGCCGAGTTCGATGCATGGAAATGGGAAGTAATGACTGGATGGCTGGATGCCATCAAGGTGGAATCGAAGAATCCAATCACATATCCCAACTGCACACCACCAAAGATGAGCCAGAATCTGGTAGGGGAAACGTTGATAAATCGGGCGGCATATCCAGTAGCCTCACTTTGCGCGCCCCCGGATTCTGAATCTTGTATAGTCTTGCTGTGCGTCTGAGCGGAAAGAACCCGTTCGAGTCCAGTGTCTACTTCGGGTGCTTGAGGGATTGAGCTGACTTTGGACAGGCCAAGGAGGGCAGGGTCCTCGTCGTCAGAGAACTCCGTAGAAGAGGAGGAAGATGCTTCGGCTGGGGTGTAGTCGCTAGCCTTGCCAGAGTATTGGAGGCGCGGGGAGTCATCCCTCAGCAAGGGCGTAGATTCGGTCGCCTCGTCGTTGACGGGCTTGCCAGCTTGAGAAGAAGAGACCGTCATGCTAAATAGAATCAAAACGTGAAGATCACCCAAGCTGGGTTCTGACTTGGGCGGGAGGGGAAATATGGCAGGTGGGAGGAAGCGGGGAGAGCTGATAGCGATAACTTATACGAAGCTGACGCCCGGGGCTGCTCAAAATTTTCAATGGCGACATTGCTGCAGACAGCGCTAATGCAGGCAATAGAGTACTTACTCCAACAGAAGTTGTGTTTAGGTAGATAAACCCAAAGAACACTTGCTTCTATGGCTTAGAAGTTCAGAATATCATTACCTTGGTTCTAAGTTGTCTTCCGGCCAGGTCTGCTATAAAACCCGCTTCGTTGTACAACAGTACAGCCTTAGTACACCCAGCTTGCCCCGTGCTTCGGAGCGTCGCCGCATATCAGAGGACGGGAGTCACTGGACTCGGTCCGGTCTCGGCGCTGGGCGGGGCCTCGGCCATGCCCATTTTAGGCTTAGCGTTTTTCATCTACTTGGCGTTCCTGGACCGAATTCTGCGACTTGTCAGTCTCTTTGTTCATTCAGCGGGAAACAACAGCTCAATCCTGAGATGAAAGACTGACCGCACCTTCTGAACTCGCCTGGTCTGATATAGAATTCAGAGCGTGTGTAACATGAGATGGAAAGCGGCCAGAACCTCACGAGACACATAATAGGCCCGATGCCACGCATTTGCGCCCTTTACTCAGATACCTCTCAGCTACATCTGAATGTTCGATGATTAATCTCAAAGAGAACTCTTGCGCTTGCTGTTATGGCAGGATCCACCTGTCCTCCCCAAGCCTAGAAAGTTGAAGCGACCCTCGGTATGGATCCTGCCGATGCCATCGACGTTTTCGCGTCGGATACGGACGGCGTGCCTCTGAGCATCACGCCTTTGGCTGTGGCCCAGCTGTCCGCCAGCGATGCTGACCGCGAGAGTGACGTCTCGGTCAAGAAACGGAAACGAGTCCGCACGGGCTGTTTCACCTGTCGAGACCGTCATCTGAAATGCGATGAAGCTCTCGGTCAATGCCAGAACTGCAAGAAATCGGGCCGCCTATGCAGAAGAGGCGTTCGTCTCAACTTCGTGGACACTCAGGTGGTTGCGCCCCCGACCTGCGTCACGCCGCCCGCAGGAACTGGTGTAACCTTCCGGGATGACTCGAGAATCATAGCTTCCGAGTACGTCGGTGGTTTTGAGCGGTATCCTCCGCCTGAACAGGATATTCCCCTGGAAGATGACCGTCAAACATCCACTCCGGTACAATCTGGGGCCAACTTGTTCCTCAAAACGCAATACCAGCTCAGTCGACATGTCTCTCTGGAGGAGCCAACGGAAATGTCCCTCATGCAGGTGTTCGTCAACCAGATTGGTCCTTGGATGGATATTGTCGATGAAACGAAGCACGTAAGTGTTGGCATCAAGATCTGTGACCATCAATCTAATCTCATAAGTTTACCCGGATCCTACCTTTGTATGCTCTCGAAGAGTCTCTGTTACGCGCTGTCATTGCAGCCTGTGCGGGGTGCTACGTCTCTCTACACCTTTCAAACGAGGCAAGTGAGCGAGGGCGCTACTACAATACCGCAGCTCTGATGCTCTCTGACTCCGTAGCAAGCTTGCATCGTGATCCGTCCCTGTGCGCAGCAGCGGCACTCATCATCGAAGTTACCGAAATGCTGGTTTTAGGACCAATCGAGAGCGGAGTCCGTATTCGTTCTAGCAACTCAGCAAGATCTTTAATTAGAGAATGTCTCTGGACTACCCGCACACAAGGCCTCGGTGGAGCTTGTTCTTGGGTTAGCATTCTCATGGAATTGCTCGATTGTATAGTGTTTCGGCAGACAATAGTCTGGGATCCTGACTCCTGGGGTATTGATATGAACTTTGGTGTTGAACCATCCATTGCCGGAAATGAGGAATCATGGCTGCGTCGCATTATCTATATTTGCACCAAGGTTTCAGATCTCCGTTCTTCTAATGCGAAAGGCATCAGGAAGTCTACACGTCACGCTGAGGCTCAGCGGTTCCAGCAATGGAGTCTTTACAATGAGTGGTGCGATAGGTGGTTTGCCTCTATCCCAAGGTCGATGCTGCCCATTGGCAACATACAGCCTTGGCAGAGAAACCCCCAGTCTGTTTTTCCTCAGGTGTGGCTTCTTGAGCGCTCCTCTATAGTAGCCCAGATGCTCTACCATATTACTCGGATCATGCTCCTTGAACTCGATCCCCTCCGACAGGACCATCCCTCCGAACTCCAGGAGGAGCAGCAGCGCCATGCTTACAGTATCTGCGGCATTGTATCAAATGACCAAAACAACGGAGTCCATATTTGGTCGGGCCAGCTTCTTTCTGTTGCTGCTGGATACTTGATCGACAGAAAAGCTCAGGAAGAAGTCGTCGCAATCTTGGACCACATGAGACGCACTAGCGGGCTGAGTACTGAACATCTCCGAGGTAAACTCCAGGAGACATGGGGCTGGCACTCACAGGGACATCAGCCGTACTCTACAGTGGCTGATACTGCCATCGACTTCCACCCGTCTGACGTTGGCCACGAATACCCCCAAGTCGGTGTCGCGGACCCCTTCTCTCACTCTCTGGTAGAAAACCACTCGTTTCTAGACCATCATCTAAACTATAATTGAACATATCAATTCTATCACATCTTCTCGTATGGAGAGAAGATTCATCTCCTCTTTGCACTGAAAGAGGACGCAGAAGAGATATATCGAGCTATGTCTGCAATTCAAATGTACCTAAAACTACGTTCCTGAAGCCAGCGTGGTTAAAATTGAAGATATAACCTGGCATCTTGAGGTGGTTGAATCAAAGGAAACAAGTGATAATTGTAGCAGCCTTCTTACCTACCCACCGACGCCAAGACCTGGCACCAACTTCATTCTCACCTTTCTCGCCCCCATACAATCTTCCAACCTCAACCATTCTATTCCCTACATCAAGATATCGTATTGAAATACACGCTCTTTCTACTTTCTTTATCTGAGGTCATTTCAATGAGTACATCTGCACTCCACCCCCCAGCAACACCCACTTTCATCCTCCGCGGCCACGCCGCCCCCATTCACGCACTACAAATATTCAGCCAAAACCTTCGACTTGTGTCTGGCGATGCCGACGGCTGGATCGTCGTCTGGGACCTTATTTTTAAGCGCCCTGTAGCGGTATGGAAGGCGCACGAGGGTGCTGTTCTTGAAGTCAAGGGGTTCAGCCTCGGGGGCGGACGCCTGACTGAGATTTATACGTAGCTATGCCTGTGCCACCAAGACCATGAGATCAACTTTGCTAACTTGAAACCAGCCATGGACGAGACCACAAGCTACGAGTTTGGCGATTCAGAGTACAGAATGAGGAGATCCTCCAGAAAACCCTGCCTGTTGATGCGAAAGACCAAACTAGCCAGACCCAGACCCAGATTCAACCCTGGCTTATTCATTCCCTACCAGTAAACGCGTTGAACTTCTGTGCTTTCTCTATGCTCTCGCTTCCCTCTGAAACAAACGCTCCGCAGGGCAATGATGAAGGACAGAGTGATATCCCACCATCCTCCGCCTTGATCGCTGTTCCGAACGCCCTCGACTCAGGCGCGATCGACCTCTTCCATCTGCCTGGCGAACGAAGGATCTGCACCATCCCGACCGATCCTGCCGTGAAGACAGGAATGGTCATGGCGGTGCAGCTGATTCGGTCTCCGTGCTCAAGGGATCTCTACGTCGCCGCTGCGTTCGAAGACGGCCATGTTATGGTTTCCGCTTGCCGCGGGGTGTTCCGTGACACCGGACTCTTGGTCGACGCCGCTAAGAGCTGGAGATGGGAACGGCTCTACCTTGCCAGACCACATTCGCAGCCTGTTCTGTCCATAGATCTCGTTCCGTCTGGAGAGTACTTTCTCTCTTCGTCTGCTGACGCCGTCTTGGCGAAACACCCTGTCGCTCAAGCTGGAGCCGCAGGCGCCCACGAAACGCCTTTGAAGAGTGTCAATACGAAGCACGCTGGGCAACAAGGTTTAAAGGTTCGATCGGATGGGAAGATCTTTGCTACGGCCGGTTGGGACTCTCGAGTTAGAGTTTATTCGTGCAAATCTATGAAGGAACTGGCTGTTTTGAAGTGGCATAAGGAGGGGTGTTATGCCGTGGCTTTTGCCGATGTTTCATCCATGCCTGCTGATACTACAGTCTCACCAAGTACTACAGAACAGGTGCCCGAGAAGGGAGAAGAAGAAGCCACTGGCAAAACAGCCATCATACAACGTGGCGGCAACGACTTCTCACTAACTCAAATCCAACGCCAACGGAGCCTAAAGGTCCAAAACACACACTGGCTAGCGGCCGGCTCAAAAGATGGAAAGATCTCATTGTGGGATATCTATTGACTCATAAGCGCTATTCTATTTACACATACGAAATAAATAAGCCGACCAGACTATGCAAGGTTGAACTCGCTTGCGCCAGCCATCTGCTCCTTCATCTTGGCCCTCATCTTCTGCGCCGCGAGCGTCGTGTCCGTTGCCCCTGAAGGACCATCATCATCATCCCTTCCACCATACCCAGCAGCCTTCCTCTTTTTCCCACCAGCCGACTTCCTCTCCGCCTTGAAGTCCTTCTTCGTATCCTCCTTCCCAGGCCTCAACCCAGGAACATTAATCTTCCCGGGCCGATCCCGCAACGCGAAACTCTTCGCCAGATGACCCAGATGCAGCTCCTTGATATTGAAGATATGCCGCTCATTCGCAATGTGCGTCGCATACGCCCGGATATGGGACTGGTACGCGCGCCGCGCCATCTCAAGGTACTCCGGGTTCTCGAGCGCCCAGCGCTCCAGCTCCAGCTGCCAGTCTGTCGCTTTCTCGTCCCAGTCTTTACTCTGGGACTCGACGTTGCCGCCGAAGCCGCGCTTGAGGATGTCGTCTGTTGTTGAGCGGGACAGTGCCTTTCCGCCGTCGCGGTATCCGCGCTTCAGGATGTCGACGTAGTTTTCTTCGCAGCCGGGGAGGAGGAAGATGTGTGCGCGGCCGTCACGGCCTAGACGCGCGGTACGTCCGATTCGGTGGAGATGTTCGTCGGCGCTGAAGGCGGGGTCGTATTCGACGACTAGGTCGACGTTGGGAAGATCGAGACCTCGCGATGCGACGTCCGTGCAGATTAGGACGGAGGGGTCACGGTTTTTGGCGAAGGAGGTGAGGGTGGATGTTCGGACGTGCTGGGGCAGGGAACCGTGGAGCTTGTATATCGTTACGGCGTTGGAGGGGTTCGAGAATGCGGTTGCGGGCGCGACTGTGCCGTGGGTTGTAGCTGGTGTAGGCTTCTCTTCCTTCTTATTTTCCTTCTCATCTTCGCTGTCGCTGCCACTATCGCTGGCGTTGTCTTGCTTTTCGCCCTCCAGCTGTTCGGCTAGTTTGCGTGTAAATACCTCGAAATGGAAATTGACTGAATCGGCGCATGATACGAAGACGATCGCCTTCATGACAGAGCCCTTGCGCATAAAGGTTCGCTTCATGAACGCCGTGAGTGTAACAAGTCGTAGCTTCGCCGCAACAATAGCGTATGACTGCTTAAGCTGCGCCGGTACTCTGAACGCCGCATCCTCATCCTTGTCCTCGTTCGTTTCCCCATCCTCATCATCCGGATCCGCCTTGATATGCACAGCATCTTTCAAACTGATCTCTCCCAGCTTCTGCACATTCATCTTCAGCGTCGCGGAACAGAGAATCGTCGCCCTCTTCGCCGGAACACCAGGGATGCGACTCGGCCGCTGCCGCGCATCAAGCTTGCTGATGATCCCCTGTAATTCCTTCTCGAATCCAAGCTCCATCAACCGATCTCCCTCGTCCAGTACCAGCCACCGCACATTGCTCACGTCCAATGCCTGCGTGTTCTCCAGGTGATCCGCTAACCGACCAGGCGTGGCAACAAGGATATTCAAACCCTTCCGTAACCGCGCCTTCTCAGATTTCTTCTTCTCACCACCAATGACTGTTCCCGCCACAATCCAGTGCGCACAGCGCAGCAGCCCTTCCAGCACAATCGAAATCTGCTTGCATAATTCTCGAGTCGGCGCGAGGATAATGGCAAATAATCCGCTGTCCCGGTGGACATTCGTGTCGCCCTTCGCATCGCCCTCGTTTTTCGCGCGCGAGAGCGCCATAATTCGCTGCACGAGCGGGAGTAGATAAGCGAGTGTTTTACCCGAACCCGTCTCCGCCTGGATGAACGCGTCCGCCTCCTCCTTCAGCAGCTGCGATATCGACGCCTTCTGGATGGCAGTGGGGACCTTGAGTTCGAGTTTCGTAAGCAAATGCGCCGCAAGCGTAGGCGATAATCCGAGGTTCGTAAACGTATCTAATCCGTCGATGAGCGGGGCGTTCGTGGGCTTCGCATCCTCCATCGGCTCGTCATTCTGTTCAACGGCATTCCGGGGGCGCGGGTTCTTCGAGAAAAGCGACGACACAATCGATCCTCCCTGTCCCTTCTTCGGACCCTTCGAGTGCCCCTGCCCTTGTCCATCCCGCTCCTGGAATCCCCCGTCCGTCCGCTGTCTCTTCGCAGGCCGAGTGCCGGAAACCTGAATGCGGTTGGGGTTTCGTGGGCCCGACCCTTCCCTATCGCCGCCCTCTCCTCCTTCACCCCCGGCCCTCTTTGGATTTGCTGCCCGACTCTCGGCGATTTTCTTCACGCTCAGCCGGTCGCGCCATGATCCGCCTTTGATTTTCGTCTGTGGTTTTATGCTGACTTCGCTCGGGATGGCGAAGTTCATGAGCATGCCATCGTCCGCCATTTTGAACGAGATTCAAGGCAGAAATAGAGGGGGAAAATGGCCGCGGATGACGGCTATGATTTGCTGTTGGCGCTGGGTCCGTAGGAGATTGATGCGGGAGGGAAATTTTCGCGGGCCGATGTTTCGCCGAGCCCTCGATGTATGCCCTATTTCTTTTTTGGGATGGAATGTATGCTGACCAGGTGAGCGGTAATCGTAATCTCAATTGTATTGGCGTAACTTCTGGATGTGTATCTAGTAGCTGGTAAAGTGCTATCAATACTTTTCATGTAATCTTCGGATTTGATTTTGAATTTCGATATGTGTAGAAATTTTGTCCAACTTTAATAAACGGGTATATATATCTAAGTTTTTGCATGTACATGGCGGTCACCTCCGACTATTCTACACTTAGTTTACAGGCTTCAATATCAAATTATCAATCAAACGAACAGGAACCTTGCCGTCTCCAAGTCCGCAGTCCTCCCCGGAGTTCGTTTTCTCAAGGGGTGCCATCTTGAGGGCGCCGCTGAGAATAGCCCCCTTGGCAGGATCGACGACGTCTAGTTCGTCGAGGGTATCCGGGTCAGCGAGAGAGATGTAGTCGACTTCAAAAAGCGCGCGCTCAGTCTCAGAAAGGGACTGTTGTTCTGATAATACCTGTCGTGTAATTCCGTTGGCAGCGTCCAGAATATCAGCCCGGCTGAGCATGCCGGATTCGTATGAGCCCTCGGCTGCCTTCAAGGCCTTGTAGAGAGCAAGACCAACCGCCCGCCTTCTGCCGCCTAGGTATACATTCCGCGAGCTCATAGCCAAGCCGTCATCTTCGCGAGTGGTGGGACCTATCCGCACGTCGGTGTCAATGTGGAAATCCTTGACCATGCGCTTAATGACGACGGTCTGCTGAACGTCTTTCTGTCCAAAGTATACGCGATCGGCGCCAACAATGTTGAATAGCTTCATGCAGACCGTCGCGACACCTCTGAAAAAGACGGGTCGCGAGGCGCCTTCGAGTTTCTTCGCTAGAGGGGTAATCGTCACGAAGGAGCCATCGCCGTCGACTTCCGATGATGGCGGTAGGGTCGGGTACATTGTTTGCGCTGTTGGTGCAAGAATAGCGGTAATACGCCCACTGCCATTTGTATCGCTAAGTTCGCTGTTCAAGTCCTCTAATTTCGCGACATCGGCGTCCCATGTTCGCGGGTAGCTTGAGAGATCCTCGTTCACGCCGAACTGCGTCGGATTGACGAATATGCTGACGACAACGTCGGTATTTTCGGATGCGGCTTGACGGATTAAAGAGAGATGGCCTTCGTGGAGAGCGCCCATGGTCGGCACGAGGCCGATGGTGCGCTTGGAGAGCAGGAGCTCGCGGCGGAGGGTTCGGAGTGGAGTGACATCGCGGAAGACTTTGAAAGAGTAGTGGCGGAGGGAGGAAGGGCTCGAAGAAGGATATTTAAACAAAGACGCAGTAGCTAGAGAGCATGTTAGACTGTGGTCTGACAAGATAGAAAGGTGCTGGGAGGCGCACTTGACAACTGCCGTGCTTGTCGGAACATGGTGATAGCTAGGTTGGAGACGATCCTCGAGTTCGGTTGGACGCGGAGGAACCAGAGTCTGTCAAATGTTCCGACGAGGTTCAGGTCGTACCAAAGTTATAAATGGCAGGCCATCAAAAATATAGTATGTTGACTCATGAAAAAAATAACATATTGAACACTTGTCGTGCCCACGTTTGCGGCGTTCAAAGCATCCCACAGATGTTGCCTGATTGACACCGCAGAATCCAGGCAAGAAGAATGCGGAGCTTATGTCGTCACGTGCTCCACATCCTCGGCATGTCGGAGCCACGGAGGACAGACAGTCTGGGGCAAACAACGGACCCGGTCGATCACAGCAATTTGTTGGGATTTTAGCTACTGCTGCGGAGAGGGGGTTTCTCGTCCTCCTTGATACCATAACATGGGCCCTTCAACATCCCATGCCCACCGTCAATAACAGTTCCTGAGCTTTCCCCGCCTGGGCTACCTTTTCACGTTCTTTCGCCCGTCCCCGCATCCGCGTCCGAACCACCCCACGCGGCGATGTCGTCGGCGAAGTCACCCGTGGGCGAATCCGCCCCGGATCTCGAAATCGTTGGCGACCAGGTTACGATCCATCCCAGCGGGTATACTGGAGGTCCAGAGCCGCAAGATGGAGGCATTACGGAGCGCAATCTCATCAATAACATGGCGCGGTTCCGCGAGAACCCGTTCGATTTCCTGCGCGAAGTGAGCACGTACATGATGTCGGGCTCTAGCTGGCGCTCCTACGACGATGTCATTGGGCAGCCGATATATTATTCTGGGTTTACAGAGCAGATCAAATCACATATTCTGGCGAGCCCGATCCTGCGGGACAAGGTCAAAGAGCTCGCGGAGGCGCGAGTAGAGGTGGAGGATAAAGAGGGGCTTCTTCAAATCAAGACTGGACAGTTTGCGCGGACTAGAACGCAGAGACGGAATGAGCTGGAGCATAACCTCAACGAGGCGGTGGACCAGATGTTGGATAACATGATTTGCAAGATGGAGAGCAAGCGGTTCATCCGCGGCGCATACTACCTTGCTAGCCAGCTTCTTACCCGAGCCTATCACCAAGGTAAGCTCTCTGGGTCTCTTCTAGTTCGAAATGCTGATGTTCTCAGGCATTCACGTATCTAGCGAGGAGATCCTACGGTTACGAGGTGTTGCGGAGGAAGCCGCAAAAAAGAAGCAGTCCATCGTCTTCTTGCCATGCCACAAGTCGCACGTCGACTATGTCTCGCTTCAGATTATTTGCTACCGGTTAGGAATTGCCTTGCCTGTTGTCGTCGCCGGAGACAACCTGAATATCCCCCTGGTAGGCCCCTTCCTCCAACATGCAGGCGCAATGTGGATTCGACGAAGCTTCGGAAACGATGCACTGTACAACACCGTGGTTCAGGCGTATATCGACACGATCTTACAGAAGGGGTACAACTTCGAGTGTTTTATCGAAGGTGGACGATCCCGAACCGGAAAGCTCCTGTCACCGAAGTTTGGAATCCTCAGCTTCATCGTGGATAGTGTACTGTCCGGCCGTACTGAAGACACCATCATATGCCCTGTCAGTACGCAATACGACAAAGTAATTGAAACTGAGTAAGTTTGTGAACTCATCAAATAAATTTCGCTAACAAGGCCAGGTCGTACATCAGCGAGCTTCTGGGTCAACCCAAGCGCAAGGAGAATCTAGCCGATTTCTTATCTTCGTCGTCTGTTCTGTCTCTCAAGCTGGGCAGGGTAGACGTGCGATTCCATAAGCCATGGAGCTTGAGGGAATACATTACTCAGCACTTATCCAGATTGCCGCAGCAGTTGGAGCTGAAGCAGGGGATCAAACTCGGCCTCGGCAATTCCGAACGGGGCCGGCTTTTGCGATCGCTAGGATACAGAGTCCTATCAGACATCAACAATGTCTCCGTCATGATGCCGACGGCTTTGGTAGGAACTGTTCTTTTGACTCTTCGTGGACGTGGAGTCGGCAAAGCCGAGCTTGTCCGGAGGGTGGAATGGTTATGTGACCGTGTACGAGCCAAAGGAGGACGAGTTGCGCATTTCTATCGATATCCAACAGAGGTGGTTGTGAATCGCGCGCTCGACGTGCTCGGGCCGAAGATTGTGGGCGAGGTCACTGGATTGGTCGAACCGACATACTTTGCTGTAGATCGTTTCCAGCTTTCGTTCTACCGGAATATGACCATCCACCTGTTCATCACCGAGGCGCTCGTATCTGCAGCGATGTACACAAGGGTGAAGCAAGGAGGTGGACCCGCGCATCAGCGGATCTCTTTCGGCGATCTCCTACATCATGTCACTTTTCTTTCTCAGGTATGTTCTCGAGACGTTTACCTCTATGGACCCATTCTGACCAAGATCACCAATAGCTCTTCCGTGGCGAATTCATTTTCCCTCCAGAAGGTCTGACCACAAATTTGGAGAACACCTTGCGGGTCCTCGAAAACGACCAAGTCCTGGAAATCACTAGGGACTCTACCGGCGCACCACTATTCGTTGAGCTCTCAGAAGCCGAGCGCCAGTGTGGACGCGAGAATTATGACTTCTACTGCTTCCTTATCTGGCCATTTATTGAGGCCTCATGGCTAGGAACCGTATCCCTACTAGGTCTAACTCCGCCTCTCAGCGGGCCGAAGGATGTGTGGATTGATCTAAGCAAGGCGCAGAACAACGCACAACTGGTACGCTGCTTCCTCTTCAAACCTTCCTTTCTAACCGTCTGCAGCTCGGCAAAACGCTCTATCACCAAGGAGACCTATCCTACTTCGAAGCGGTCAACAAAGAGGCACTCAAGAACTCCTACGAGCGATTCGCCGAAGAAGGCATTATCATTGTCGCGAAGAGCAAAGAAGCCCGCTCGCCCACCAAAATGAGGCTCGCTTCAGAGTGGACGCCAGAGCGTGACCCAGAGACAGGGAAACTCCTCCCTCAAGGCCGCCTTTGGGACTTCATGGAGCTGATTGCTCAGTCTAGACGCGAAGGGTGAGCTACCAGCAACATCTGTATACGTGCATACAAGCTAACACGGTACAGGAAAAACCGCCGAGATGGGGCAACTGTTTCTTCTCGTGTCCTGACCATGTCCGACAATGTTGGCCGTACGTTGTTCGAGACTGCTGAGAGTCGTGAGCCAACGAATGATGTTGCTTTGTCGACTACAGCGCCGCGAAGGAAGGCGCTTGCGCCTATGGCGAAGTTATAAAATCCTCGGTATCGTTTATCCTAAACCTGCATTTGTTTTTTTGCTTTGCTTATACCCCTCTTTGTTCTCATGCCCATGTATTATATACCTTGCATCAATATCGCATACTCCGTGTACAGTATGGTCGGGGATGATGTCCAGTGGGTTTGTATTGGGATATCTAGTAGTTATCCAATTGCCTATATACAGCATCTATTCAACTCTTTGTCTAGAGCAGGACCCGAGATGAACAGCCTTGCTCCTGACCCCATCTCCAACACCTCCAACAGCCTCCACCACAATCGCACTCACACCCTTCATATCTAGACCTAAGCTCGTGCTAGCCCCAAGCATAATCCGCGTCTCAAATCCATCCTTCACCACGTCGCCCAAGACCATCAATCCCTTTGCGGCCGCGGACTCCAAGCTGGAGCTTGATCCGTAAACCCTCCACCCCTCTACATCCGTCGCCCCATTCCAGCTCACCCAAACAGTAACATTCCGCTCATCGCCTCCGCCCCAACAAGCAGAAACAACAGGCAAACCTTTCGGCCTCCCAATCCACTCCGCTCTATACGCGCGATAAGACGTCCAGTCATACGTACTCGTCGCACTACTCCCGTTCGTCTTCGCCCCGAACCACCCGCGCATAACGAGCCGCCCAGATACATCGTACTCTTCGATCTTCGGGACAGCGCCGTGGCCCGCGAGATAATGGCCCGTTCCGTTTGCGTGCAGGGACTGGTAGTTCCCCTGCGATATAGCGGAGACTGGGTCTTGGGCGTCGTAGGTGCGCGAGAGTAAGGTGGATGTTTTGTTGAAGGGGTACAGGGCGAAGACTAGGCCTGTTGTTAGGCGGCGCGGGAGCGTGATGTCGGTGTTGTCGTTGTTGTGCAGCGAGAGTGTTATTGTTTCGTTGGGCTCGCCGATGGCCGTGTGGCCGTGGATGCGCGCGTCGTGCTGGTAGCAGAATTTCGAGCCCGGGGTTGAGGGGAGGATGTAGGAGCCTCCTTTTTGGCCCTGGGTATTCGTTAATTTTGTCTTCGCTGGGCGAGGGGAAGGGGGTCTCAAGAGCGCACATGGAACAACCAGACCACGTCCCCATTCTTGTCCAGCAAGAAGATACTACACATATACCTCGACGAAACGAGATAGTGATCCCCATATTTAGCGACGGAGTTCAAATGCGGATACTCGTACGGCGCAGAACTATTCCCCCCTGCACCGTTCAGCGGATACTCGACGTACTCCAGCGGCAACTGCGCCTTATGCTCGACAGCACTCCACCGGAACAAGACCTTGTTGGTCTCGATATCAATCTCATAGACCAGTCCATCCTGCACCCACCCGTCTTTCTTCCCACCAACAGGTCTCAAATCCGTCTGCGTGACATTCACAGCCGTAACGATGATCGTGCCGTCCTCGGTAATCGTGCTCTCATGGATATCGATGTACGAGGGGAATGACTCGTTCGTTGCAGTCACGAATTTGTTGCTTTCTGAACTAGGCAATGTAACGCGGTGGATCTCCTCATACGACGCATTTAGGATGCTGATATGCCCGTATCCGAACCCCTTGACATTGTGGCCCTGCCAGAATGTGAGGACCGGCTCGCCGTTTAGCGTTTGCGGCTGGTAGGCGTATGTTTTGCCGACGGGGCCGTGCCAGATCAGATCGCCGTTGTCGGCGTAGATTGCGGGGATGCCGGAGGTACTTGTGGAGGGGGCGAAGAAAAGAAAGCCTGGAGTTGTAGGGCCGGTTGTGGTGATGTTCAAGATGGGTGCGCTTATGTTTGTCGTGTGGAATTTGTGGGTTGGCCACGGGGTGGCGGAGATAGCTGTGGGGAGGAGAGTGAGGAGGGCGAGCTTCATGATGAGCGTGGATTGGGAATGAAATCATTTGGGAATTCTGGGGGAGAGGCGGGCTTTTATGATGTTGATGCTTGGGGATCTGCACTCTGGGCCCCACAGGTACAATCGATCAAGCATCAGATCTGCGGTGGGAAATGATCATGTAGAATTTGAAGATTTTGGAGAGGCAGTGCTTAGATGGGAAGTGGTCTTGTACAGCAGTTCAAACTCATGGAGTGAGGTCTAATAAGACAGAAAAAGAGACATTCAGGCCTCACTTGTGAGAAGAATCTCCATGGCTACCTACTGAGGCCTTCTCCCAACAAGACACTTTTGTTTCATTCAGACTGCATTTATCTCTCAGTCTGTATTAACACAGCCAGCTTCAGCCAAAGCTTCCTCTTAAACTCCTCTCTTCTTCCATACTCTTCCCTCTTACACTCTTCCCTCTTTATCCACTCCCTTTACCCTTAACCTCAATCATTCATTGTTCTTGAACCAACCTGAGCCATCAACCTCCCAATCCAATCAATCTACGTAACTACTCAACTACTTCCCACCAAAGATCAAACCTACCCCTACCAAGCTTCCTACAACTACCTGCCACAATGCGCTGGACAGAAGACGCAGAGAAGATGGTATGCCTTACCTTACCATTTTTACACCTCTGACTCTCAGACCCAACCATGCTGACTCCACCAGCTCTGGCAAACCATCTTTAACACCCAAAGCTTCCACCTCGAGCTCCACAAGATCGCTGAAGGATGGCGTATGTCTTCCCCCCCTCTTTCTCTGAGACTACAACTAACACACTCCAGCCGGCGACGAAAAGCCCACCGCGAAAGCTCTAAAGGAGCACCTGCAAAAGTACCGCAAAGAGCTGGGCTCTGACTGCAAGGTCACCTTTGGAATGACCAGCAAGGCCAGTGCTGGCGAGGGCAGTGTGCCTGTTACTCCCCGCAAGAGAGCCACGCCCAAGAAGGCTGCTGGTGATGGAGCGGTGGTGACCCCGAAGAAACGGGGCCGACAGCCCAAGACTTCTACCCCGGCGAAGAGTGGAAGCGATGACTCCGACGAGAAGGAGGTCAAGATGGAGGATGTTCCTGCTACTGAGGATGCGGATGCCGAGGCTGAAGCTGATGATGAGGAGAGCGAGGACGTTAAGGTCAAGAAGATCAAGACGGAGTTGGATAACTATGAGATCTGATTGTCTGCTCGTTTGGACTGCAGACTTTGGTGTTCACAGGATGCCGTTTTCTTCAATTGAGACTTGGGGTCTCTCTGGCGTTGCGAGTTTGAACATGCCGTTGGCATCTACGGAATTTTCTTTTTTTTTTTTTTCTCATGCTACCTAGATACTTGGGAGCTACGACACATATCACAAGATGATGTGCGCAAATGAAAAGCATTTTTGATTCCATCTTCTTTCATTTGCCAGAGCCTGAGCCAACTTTCATAGTAAACAAGGCGCGTAACTACCTATCACTTCAAGGATTCAATAACCACCTTTTCCCCGAAATGTCCAACGCCCAACCGCCTAAGCCGATATCTCCTATGGAACCTCAATGAATCAATAACTTTTCCGTCCTTGAAAATCCCAAATGCCAACCTCCAAACGCCCCATGCAAACAAACCCCATCCTATTCCCCGTAGAAACTCCCTCACCACCCTAAGCAACCTCATCACTCTCAGACTCCTGCATGGCCTGATCCTCCTCCCACTTCACAGCACCCTCACGATTCTCAGGCTCCTGCATGACCTGATCATCCTCACGATCTCCAGCCTCGTGCATATCATGATCCTCCTCACGCTTCACAGCAACCTCAGCTTCAGCTCCAGTCTCCGCCTCCACCGCCTTAACCTTCTTGCCCCTGGGCGCAGCCGAGCCTCCAGGCTTCGGGCCTGTCTTGCGCTTCTGCGGCGAGACCTGAGGCGAGCTGTCGGGTCCTGCTCTTCCGGCAGTGTCGATGTCGCCAGTAGCATCAGCCGCGTCATTCAAAGCAGCTATGGCGGCGACCGCGGCTCGAGGCTTCCGGCCCCCCTTGCGTTTCTGCGGCGAGACCTGCGGCGTGGTTTCGGCGTCGCCGTTGTCAGCGACATCTCCGTCGGCGTTCGCGCTGCCGCCGCCTTCTGCCTCGGCCATGCGTCTGAGTCGGGCGATGCGGTTGACTATGGCGCCTGGGAGACAGTCTGGAGAAGTAGGAGGATTAGTGCATCGTGCGTAGTGGGAGTCTGGAGGAGGGAGGGAGGGAGAAACTGGTACGTACCCGGACCCATGAACTCAGCGAGCTTCTGGTTATCGAGCTTGAGCTTTGCGTCGCGGAGTTGGTTCAGGACGCCGAGGAAGAGCTGGATGGCAAGGGGCAAGGTTAGTGATGCTATGCTCTGTGTCTGGGGTGGAGTGGGGTGGCTGGGTGTGTAGGTACCCTGGCGTCAGATTCAGCGTTCCAGGTCATGACCATCTTTGCGGTTTGATGTGGCTTTGTGTAAGGAAGGTGTGAGCTTGTTGCTTATATCTGGTGGGTGGGTGTTGGCTTGAAGCAAGACTATGTGATAGATGGCCAAGAGTAGGCAAGAGTGTGGTGTGGTTGGGAGAATGATTTGGAGAAGAGGTGTGTTGATGGTGGAAGAGAAAAGGAAGAGGGAAGAAGGATAAGATCTGAGAGGGAGAGGAGTGGAAAGTGGAGGAGGAAAAAGAGAGGGGTTTAAGCAGCAGCCTAGGGATTGGCGAGTGTGTCTAGGTAGATTGAAAGGTAAGTAAGGCTTTGTTTTAAAAGTGTAGGCGTTGTTATTATTGCAAGGCTAGTTAGTCCAGGCTTTTATTCTTGTTTCTAGTTTCCATTGCCGTGAAATACAGAAAGGTACCACGAGTTGCGCAGTCGGAGCCTTTCCGTGTTGAATGCTCTTCATACTGCTGAGATACCGCGTACTTACGTGATAGCATATGCCAGACCTGCATATTCTCTAGCAGGTTCAGATTGTGTACCGAAACGAACTCCCTTCCTGCCCCGGCGCAACATCAGCACCAGACCGAGACCCAGCCAAGTCCAATTTCCTCTTCTCCTCCTCTTCAAGCCGGCGATTCTCCCGAACCAGAAGCACTCGAAGCCAAACAGCCGAAGCCGCAGCAAGAGTAATCATCCCCGCAGCGATCCCCAGGGCCAAGCGAAAGTAAGGCGAGTCGTTGTTGCGGTAGGTGAACGAGGACCAGATCGAACTGGTATGAGGCACGACAGTCAGGAAGCCATACGCGGCAGCACGTTTAGCGGGCGGCCTAGAGATCGTTGTAGCCAACCAGGCGTTCGCAGTCATGTTCATGCTGTACACGGAGAGCATCAGGAAAAGCGCAACGTATCGTGCTCCAAACGAAGACACCGGCGACATGTAGATGGCGTATCCGGCGACGGCGAGCGGCGCAGGGTAGATCATGTACCAGAAGCGACGGCCCGTGCGGTCGCTGAGGTGGCTGTGGATGCAGCAGTGGATGGCTGTGAAGAAGTAGGGAGGCGCCACGAGCAGGAGCGAAATGACGTGGCTGTATCCTAGGGTTGCTGTCATTGTAGGATAGAAGGCCTGGCTGCCGATTCCGACGATGATGCACAGTTGCATGAAACACAGGAGGTATAGCTTTGGGTCGCGCAGGGCGAGTTTCACGCCGTCCATTGCGGATATACCGGCTTCATCGATGTCGGCCTCTGAGGCATCGAGGGTTAGACGACGGATTGCTGACATGTGCGGTTAGTAAAATCCCACCCAGCCTCGGATTGAGTGACTTGCCAACTTCTTTCATTTCTGGAGTTAGCGCAGTCCAGGTGTGTGGGAAATCCGGGAGGAAGGCGATAAGCACAAGACCTCCACATATGGATACTAAGCCGAGGGTCAGTAGGCTGTCCGCGAGGTTTCCTGAAGGGAATTTGACCTACCTGTGCCTTCTATGATATAAAGCCACCGCCACGCCGAAAGGCCCTTTGCGCCATCTAGGCCGCTCAGAACGCCCGCGGCGATCAGGGGACCGGTAGCAGCGGCCATCAATCCGAAGGATAGACATAGGGATATACGGAGAGAAAGCTCGGTTTTCTTGTACCATTTCTTGGGTCGTCAGAATGACCCATTGTCATAAGCACATGGTTAGGGACTCGTACCGAGAGGTAAAATAGCATTCCAGCATACACGGGAGCCTCTGCTGTGTGTTAGATAGTAGATCAGCCAGAGGATGCCGACTCACCGACAACACCCAACAAGGTCCTGCAGGCCATCATCCCTCCGAAGTTGTTAACCGCAGCTGTGCATGCAGTCACAGTGCCCCAAGCGACAACTGCAAGACCTATGTGCCACGATGGCCGCCCGAAATAGTTCAGCAGCATATTGGATGGCACTCCGAACAGCATGTATCCTACATAGAAGATACTCAATGCAGCCTGGAATTCGGAACCGGACATGTGGAGGTCGCGTTCAAGATGCTGAAGCCGAGCAAAACCATAGTTGCCCCTTTGCATATCAGCTATGCTTCCTGGTAGTTGTGTACGAAGTCCTCACCTGTCTATGACGCTCAGAAAGAAAGCCAGGGCGACCATGGGGAGGATCAGGAGGTCGATCTTGCGAACGAGCTTTCTTTCAATCCTTTTCTCATCCTCGCTTAGGGGTGCCACTGCTCCATCACCACTGCGAACATTGTCGCCGGCAGTCGCGTGCAGAACAGGCTTTGTATCCAAAGTCTCGGCCATTGTGAGTTGCGACGTTGTTCTTGGCTGGTAGTGAGAGTGTGTGTTGAGCCGGCATGTCGATTACTGGAGGACCCGGATAAGCTCCGGTTCAATAGTGATTTTTTTACTGTTGCTGTGTTACACACAAGGATTGTTTCAAAGCTTAACGAACACACGGGACTGCTGCTTTTCGGTCACTGCCCACGGAGTTTAGGGGGCCCCTTGCTTCTTCTACATTGGTGCCAATCAGGCTGCTTATACTATGCAGGTAATCACCAGACTGGCTTACTGGACTTGGCTCACCTTGACGCTAGCAAATAGAACATCATCTTCGGGACTGCAGGAATGCAAGTCCTTGCCTCTCCATGTCATCTTCGTGAGTCTGAGATACCGAGTAGAAATGCTGAGTTAGCGTACTGGACAGAATGGATCGGACTCTCTAAGTTACTTAAATTCACCGCTAGTCGTTGAGGAAGGTCCTCAGTCCAAGGGTCTGGAAAGGTGTCGAGTAGAGGATCGTTGACGTCTCGGCAATGAGACCTTTTCTCATTGCTTTGTCCAGATATCGGAGGATTTTTGGAAGGGCTCGGACAGAGTTGGCCGCCGTGAATCTGGAAGGGCATGTCGCACGCGAGCCATTGTCCTTCATGGCGCAATCCAGATATTACAGGAGTCCATCTTCTAAGTATCCAGCAAAATTTGCCAATTGGATTGGTAGGCCATTGTTGACGGCGGTGGTAATGGGTGTTCACGACCGATGATGTTGGAAGATGATTTCGTGATGTGAGGTCGAAGCGTTACGTCGCTGTCGAGCTGGCGTATCCTTGAATGACCATCAAATAAACTTTACCTCGTCTGTTGAACAGGGCCATCGCAGAATCGCCAAAGGCATCAAACATGTCTTTACACCTCAGGGGGACCTAGAATCAGAAGCTGATGCGCAGATACTTCAAAAGCAAGTTGATCTGCGCGTTTCACGGAACAAAAGCAATGGGTTCGAGTTCCGACAGATTAACTGGAATCAGCTGGCGAATCGAAGGTAGCTGCTGCCCGGAAACCAGAAGGGTGAGACAAGATATGCGGGCCACGAGCCAATAGCCAAGAGATCGCCTTGGCCTTGAGATAGACATCTTGTTCTTCTGTAACCGCTTGGCGAGTTGCTGCATCTTCCCCGGCCGCAGTGGTTCGCAGGCAACAAACAACAGCATCCATGCCTTCGGTACGATTTCCTCGTGTTTGGACAATGCTAGCTGGCTCCATAAACTCAGGCTCAAGTTCCTGGCAGGTCCAGGCCTGGCAGCCCAGAGTCTGATCCTGCTGGTAGGCTCCTTTTCTTTGACTCCTTTCCTAGTCGGAATGTCTTTTGAAACAAAGTAAACATGGTCGATGTACTAGAAACTCTGGCCAATCGCAACAGCCCAGACCACTATCTCTCGCCAATTACAAGGCTGCATCGAGGACCTCGATTTATCGCGGTCGATGATATCAAGCAGCCCCACGATCTGGCACTAAACCCCAGATGGTTGTGTTTTCCCGGGGTTGCGGACCAACGAAAGGACTCGAGACTGTCATTGGGGCATCCGAGCAGCTTTATCTTATCAGGTCCATGGGGCTCCTTGATCAGGTACCTTGGCAATGCCAATATCAAAGCTCCTGATAACAGTTTGCTTGCTCGCACGCAGTGTTCTTATCGGCGATGACCCATCCTTGATACTTAACGGGTTAAAATATATGCAGAGGTGGACTCTTGGCTATAAAGATAACAACTCTTCCGCATTCTTGGCTCGCAAATAGTTGCGAAAGAGGGGCGACGATTATCGAAAGGGATCCCGGTCATCAGAGAACGATGGAGCCTTCTGGGCAAGGTTAAATTGCGGGCGAGTCCTTGTCGCGCAGGTCCCCAGTGAGCAGAAGAATCGCCTCCCAGCGTCACCAGCCGACGACCCGGTCCGCCTCATCTATAATTTTCGCGAGCCACGTTGATAGCACTGTCACCATGTCCACGGTAAGCCCATTCCCTCGACAACCTGATCTGCCAGGGCAGCCAGCTAACACTGCGGTTCATCAGCCCGAGTATGATCCCTCCATCCCTGATGGCGGAGACACCACGCAACTTGATGTGAACGCGCCGTTTGTTGGATTCGAGTTCCACTCGGTTTATATCGCCGCCTGTACCTTTATCGTTTATCTTATTCTTCCGGGGATCGGGCTTCTGTACAGCGGCTTGACGAGAAGAAAGTCTGCGATGACCTTCTTGTTCCAAGCGTTCTTAGTGCTGGCAGTGTGGGTCATGGCCTAGGTGGTCGAAACGCAATCGGAGTCAGAGGCTAATCCAAATCAGTACCACATTCCAATGGATGTTCTGGGGATATTCGCTCACCTACTCGAGAGATGGCGGTCCCTACATCGGGACGTTGAAGAACTTTGGGCTCATAGATGCCCTGGCAGCACCATCCCCTGGCTCTGCCGTACTCCCTGAAATCTTGTTCTGCCTGTACCAGCTCTTGTTCGGTTCCTGCACGGTGAGTTGTGTGCTGATCGAGACTGAACCATACTGACCACTACAGGTGATGATCCTGGTCGGCGGTGCGTTTGAACGGGGAGGTATCTTGGCGTCTCTTATTTTCGCCTTCGTCTGGGAGACCATTGTATACTGCCCTCTCGCAAGATGGACCTGGAGCAGCCATGGTTGGTTGTACAACCTTCCATCCATCGATTTCGCTGGAGGTGGTCCCGTCCATATTGCCTCGGGCTGCGGCGCGCTGGCGTACGCAGTTGTCCTCGGAAAGCGCAAAGGGTACCCGGATGCTTCCCTGAAACGGCCTCACAACACGACGTTGGTCTTTCTCGGTACCGTCTTAATCTGGACTGGCTGGCTCGGATTCAATGTATGCCTTGGCAGCTTTTCCTTGTTTATCATCTGGATCTAACCTGATACAGGGCGGTTCGACCCTCAACGCCAGCGTCCGCAGTTACATGGCCGTCATGAACACCAACATTGCAGGTTCCACGGGTATCCTGGGTTGGGTCCTGGTCGACATGATCCGAAACAAGGGCAAATTCTCCATGGTCGGAGCTTGCGAGGGTGCGATCGCTGGCCTTGTCGGTATTACCCCCTGTGCTGGGTGTGTGACAGTCTGGCTGGGTGCCCTTATTGGATTCCTGACCGGTATTGTCTGCTCGGCGTGCAAGAACCTCAACGAGTGGATCCGCGTCGACGAGGGAATGGACGTCTTTAAGCTCCACGGAGTCGGTGGCATGGTCGGCTCATTTTTGACCGGCATTTTCGCCGATCAGTACATTTCGGCCTTGGACGGCGGAACTCTCATTCCAGGAGCGATCAATGGCGAGGGTGTCCAGGTTGGCAAGCAGCTTGCCGAAATCTGCGCTATTTCCGCCTACTCGTTCGGCGTGACCTGGGTCATTCTCATGGTCATGAAGTACATTCCATTCCTGGGGCTGCGGGCGAATGAGGATGCCGAGATGGTTGGTCTGGACCGCTCATTCTTCGTGGACGAGCAGATCGGGGACTATTCCATGCTGGAAGGGATCAGCAGCTCGCCTCTGATAGGAGTGTCGAAAACATCATCGAGCGAGGTGCAGCCGGCGGAGACCGAGACTAAGACCGCGTAGGTTTTTATGACTTCTTGGATTCATGTGGTGTTGTTTGTCAAATAACATGTAATTGGTAATCCGTGGTTTGGTCAACCAAGAATGATGCATCATGTAGCCATCTGCAAGGACAGCTATAACCCCAGGGCCCTGAAGATCCCTGTGCGTGCGTCTGGTCTGGACCACGTATTCATTGCATTATATGCATTAATTCCGGTCTGATCGTTAGCTTGGCAAGACATCGGGTCCACTGCCGGACTGTGCACCAATGAAACACAATCCCTTTGCACGCCATCCCAGGAAGCTTGCGTCATCTACTCTATTAATATCAAGGGTCTGCCGTCGACAGCGAACGTCTGGAGGGAGAAGAAGGGGAATTGGATCTCTCACGTTTGGAATCTTGAGTGCACTCCTTGACTCTATCTTATTCCTGCATTTTCCTGCTTTGCGCATCTCAATTGCTCTGTGTCTGGACGGTCAAAGTGCCAGAGCTAAGACTCCGTAAGCGGTTTAGCGGCTTGGTGCTGCGGGCTGTCGCGTCCACTGCAACAGTCGCCATCATCCGCTCCCGTTATCGAAACGTTCCACTGTGCCATTTTCTGCCCCAAGTCTAGCCTCACCAGTCACCACCCTCCTCCCTTTTCTCCCTTTCCCCCACCCTCATCTCCCTTCCTGTCGTTTCAGCTGTCCCGCCCCCCGTCTCGTCTTCTTCGCTCGCGAAGCCATTCGTTTCTTCGACACTATTTCACCTCCTACTCGAGCGAAACCGCCACCCTCCAACCGTTCTTAGTACACGGACCTTCTGTCGCTATCAGGAACCCCGGATTTAGAGCGCCCCTCCGCAAGATCGGAATTCCTAGGCCTCTCCTCGCTTCCCGCGGTTGGCCTTCAGTGGCCATGCGAGTGATCTCGACCCTTTCCTGAGAACTGCAGATTTAGCTGGGATTTCCGCCCCCATGGGTAAATGTATGTCTTCTCCGTCGCGTTCCTGTCCGAGCCGATCTAACGAGTTGTTCTTCATAGGGCACTACGGTATCGTCCTAGATGCGGGATCATCTGTGAGCTTACTCTTCGGCCACTTGAAGCTCTTCCGCTAACACGGCGCAGGGGACCCGAGTTCATGTTTATCGGTGGTTGGACAATGCGATCGCGCTCAAAGAATCCGGCAAACATAACCTCAAGTCGCTTCCGGAAATCAAAACAAAGGCGGATTGGGTGAAGAAGATACATCCTGGTATGCTGGGGAGTGCCTCTACTGTGGTTTCAAAATCTGACAACGAGTGGTAGGAGTTTCTACATTCGCTGATCGACCGGAGGAAATTGGCCCTGAGCACCTCGCCGAACTTCTCGATTTCGCCCGCGAGATTGTTCCCGATGACGCAATCAAGGAGACGCCGATTTTCATGCTAGCCACTGCTGGGATGCGACTGGTGCCGGATGTGAAGCAGAAACTTTTGCTAGATCACGTCTGCTCTTACGCCCGCGAAAATTACGACTTCGCGCTCCCCGACTGCGACGTGCATATACAGGTCATTCCCGGCGTCACTGAAGGGTTGTACGGCTGGGTTGCCACGAACTATCTGCTCGGAAGCTTCGACTCGCCTGGTAACCACGATCATGGGAAAGACCACCATACCTACGGATTTCTCGACATGGGCGGAGCCTCTGCTCAAATTGCATTCGCCCCAAACGCGACCGAAAGCGAAAAGCATGCGAACGATCTGACTTTACTTCGACTGCGCAACATCGACGGATCTACTCAGGAACATCGAGTGTTTGTCACGTCATGGCTCGAATTTGGAGTACGGGAAGCCCGCCGGCGTTACTTGAGCGCTCTGCAAACTGCGCTTGGGGCCGATAATGTCAAGGAATTCCCCGACCCCTGTCTCCCGGCTGGACTCCGAACGACACTCGATGGGAAACCTCTGGAAGGAGCTGAGACGGAGCAATACCTTTTGGGAACCGGAAAGTTTGATGAGTGCCTGCGAGGGACATATCCGCTACTCGACAAGGACGCTCCATGCGAGGACCAACCTTGCCTACTCCACGGCATCCACGTACCGGCGATTGACTTCGACGTCAACCATTTTGTCGGCATCAGCGAGTACTGGCATACCACGCACGAAGTGTTTGAAATGGGACATACGGATAAGGCATACGACTTCAATACCTATCAACACCGCGTCGAGGAGTTTTGCTCACAGGATTGGGAGTCAATCGAGCGAGGTATTTCCGAACACAAGTGGGGAAAGAAACTCGATCAAGAAAAGGCCTACGAAGTTTGTTTCAAGGCGTCTTGGATTATCAATGTCTTGCACGACGGCATTGGCGTTCCACGAGTCGGCTTAGAACCCATGTCGACTTCTGGTGTCAACGGCACCAAAGAAGTTCTGGAACATGGGAAGCACAAGGGCTATCTAGACGCTTTCCAAGCCGTCAACAAAATAGATTCTACCGAAGTCAGCTGGACCCTAGGCAAGATGGTTCTTTATGCTGCATCTCAGGTTCCCGTGGAGTCCGCTGAAGCGCTGCCTGTTGGCTTTGGCAGCAACGTTGCCGGCGTTCCCAGTGATTTCCAGTACCCTAGCACCGGATTATTGCCGAATCTGGAGCCTCTTCATGGCGATTCATGGGAGGATGCGCTTTTTGAAGGCGGCTCGTCGCGCAGGATCCCAGGAATTATTCTCTTTGTTCTCATTGTCTTTCTAGCCCTGTTCTTCTTATGCGGCCGCACTCGGCGATTAAAGGTCTACCACAAGATCAACAACCTTTTCAGCTGTGGGCGCCCGGGCGGTTCGCGTTTGATCCAGCAACGGAAGCGCAAAGCATCCGCTCCTATCAAACCCTCGTTCTTCGGCCAAAGTACCCCGTCATATGAGCGTATCCTTGAAGAAGGGGCGCAGGACATTGAGCTTGCGGGCTCAGATTCCAGCCGCTCATCATATGACTACGTCTCGGATACCGATACCGCAGCCTTTCTGCCCCCGAAACGGACGCCTAGCTGGGGCCAGGGCAGTCCCGCACGCCTTCATTTCAACCAAGATAACTCATCCTCTGCAACGGTTGGACTCGGAATCAGCGCCCCGCCAGGAATCTCTACAATCGATAGAAGTGGCCTGGTCGTGAGGACGGAAAGCCGGGACCATCTGACCCCGATTGCATTGGGGCCGACAACGAACGGGCGCCGGTCCAGAGCACCCAGTCCATCGCGGTCCCACTCTCATAGGTCGCCCAGCGCGACACCACTACACGATTAATGTTAATGTTTGATATTGAGCAGTACTAGCATACCATCTGGCGTTCCCGGCATTGCTGAACATTTACCGCCACACAGAATGTTGTGGCTGGCGTTGATTTGCTTCATTATCCTATCCTCATGTACCCAGGCATCCACCATACATACCATATTGGCGCTCTTGATTTTCTGATCTCTTGGACTTGCACATTCTGGGACGCTGTGATGCCATGTCCATAGCAGTCATTATGTAAAGAATCATCCGCTCTATGCATGAGTCTAAGGCAACTGTTTATCACAATGAATTGAGCCATTGCTACATGTGTTTACGTGTCTATAACCAAGGATGGTACTAGAGTGGCCGAGCAGATAGTTATGCACTTTGACTAACGCTAAATTCTCAACCCATAATTGAATGCAGAATTGTCGGCGACGTCTCCGGGTCTGCGTGTCGGACGTGTCGGACGGTTGGCGGCGTCGGAGTCGTCGGCCGCTCCCACGATAAGTTTAAATATCTCCTACTCCGTGGTTTATAATGAATCAAACGCAGGTGGTCTAGATTTCAACTCGAAAGTAAATATACCTCAATTTGGCACGTGATAAATGTCCACCGCCCGGCAGAATATTCCAAGCTCTCCAGAAATCGACGCGAAGTCCGCTGCGAATTCAGACGAACCACAATTGCACCTCACATCTGCCTCGTTTAACTAGATTTGCTTGGCTTTCCCTCGTTACAACTTACCGTACATGATACTGTCATAAATCGCCATCATGCGCCTTACAGTCGAGCTGATCCAAAACTCCCTCTCCTACATCAACCCGCTCAAGGATCGCGAGCTAGATCTTCGAGGTGCGTTCCACACACAGTGCCTGAAAAGGACAGATACTACACTTTTGCATGAGCTGGATTGATATCGACCTTTGTCGTTGGAGTCGTTTAGGGCACAAGATCCCCGCTATTGAGAATTTGGGTATTGCAAAGGTACGCCGTTCGGCATTTTATCTCCGGCTGGGACGTCGATGTTAACGTTTAGGGCGACAGGACCAAGATGCGATCGATTTCACAGATAACGACATCTCATCGCTCGGCAACTTCCCGTTTTTCCCACGCCTGCGAACGCTTCTCCTCGCCAGGAACCGAGTCAGGCAGATTCAGTCGAACATTGCGAACTCCGTTCCGAGCTTGTCGACGCTTGTCTTGACGGCGAACAACATTGCCGAGCTGGCGGATTTGGATCCCCTGCGGAATCTGACGAAACTGACGCATTTGACTTTGTTGGAGAACCCGGTTACGAGGAAGGAGGTGAGCGGCCTTCTACGGCTACCTACTGCTATCTGCGGAGTTCTTGAGCAGTGAACTAACAAATCTGCGTGACAGTACTACCGCCTCTGGATAATCTGGCGCATCCCCAGCATCCGTTTCCTCGACTACCAGAAAGTAAAAGACGCCGAGCGCGCCAAGGCAGCAGAACTCTTCGGCACAGCGAAGGAGCCATCCGCACTCGCATCGAAGATCCTCGGCGTGAAATCACGTACCTTTGACGTTCCCTCCGGCGGCGCCGCAGACCAAGCGCCGTCCGAGAAGGGCCTGCGGGTGAAGTTGACCGATGCCGAGAGAAAGCGGATTGAGAAGATGATCAGGGAGGCGAAGAGTCTGCAGGAGATCACACGGTTGGAGAGGGAGCTCAATGAAGGGCGGATACCGGGGGGTGCGCTTGATGGGGGGGACGATGTTCAGATGCAGATGTGATGTGATGTGCTTCGAGAAGTGGTCGTCCACGGGGTAGACTTGATACCCTGTCCTTCTAGCTGTGGTGTGGGCTTCTGTCCGCGCTGGGTTTCGGATGTTGTACTATCTTGTTCTTGCTTGTTTATGGCGTTGAGTGATCTGGCATATCTTATGGTAGAACTTTACAATCTGCATTTATGGTTGTGATACCATCTTAGATCATGCCCAGTCATCTGGGCTTTGATGATTGATCCCTGTGAGCGGGAATACTGAATGAAAACGTAATTTATATCTTGAGCTGCTTGGAGGAGCGTTCGTCGTTGTGGGAGGTTGGCGAAGATAAATATATGTTCCCCAATCTCTTGCCTTGCTGGATAAACGTCAAGATGGCGATCAACATTTTGCTTGTTTCTGCTGAAGTCCTTATTGTTACATCTTATTTTATTCCTATTGAGGATGTATCTATCACCATCTATCTTTTACTAAACAACATATCCATGGCGTATGTTTATAGCAAGTCGATTAGGCAGGTCAACCGGTACGGTATCGATAAGATAAGCTCGACGTCATCTTCAAATCAGCGGGGGATCTTACGATACTTTCAACGTCAAGTCGACGCCAATTCCTCAGAAAACCAATCGAACAAGCTACGAAAGGTCTGCAAATATTCCAAAGAAGCTATACATACTCAGCTGATATCCTTTTGCAGTCAAGATATCCAGCATCGGCATATCTCACATAACCCTTCCACCCCGCACCGAACACCGCAGAACTTCACCATCCCCCAAAAATGGCACCCGCAGCAGCCCCCTGGCGCTCCCTCTTCCTGTCAAGCCTCGAAAAAAGCAAATCGTCCTCCTTTTCCCTAGCCTCAATAGCACATACATCCACCAACAAACCCGTCCCGCGCGCCCGCACCGTCGAATTCCGCGGCTTCTTCCCCAAGCCCGCCTCAACACTCCACCACTCCGGCATCGACGCGCTGAAGAACCAAGGCATCGGCCTGAACCCGGATATCTACGAGAGCGACCTCTTCTCCGTGACCACAGACGCGCGTATGAAGAAGATGGGGCAGCTGACGGAGTCGGACGAGGCCGTTGAGGGCGTGTTTTGGTTCGAGGAGGTCTCGGCGCAGTGGAGGGTTCGTGGGAGGGCGCTTGCCGTTGGGGATCCGGCGAATGGTGCGGATGAGATGGAGGCTAGGGAGAGGGTGCAGAAGGTCCTCAGGGTTAAGGGGGATGCGAATGCGAATGCCGAGGGGGATGTCAAGGAGTGGGAGTGGGATAGGCAGGTTGCGACGTATTTTGCCAATCACAGTCCTGTTATGAGAGGTCCGTTTCTGTCTGCTCGATGTTCGGGGTTGTGATGCTGATTTTCTGCTATAGGGACCTTTAAGAGTCCGCCTCCTGGCACGCCGCGCTCTGAGGCGCCGTCTGACCCGCGCCTTAAGCTGAATCAAAAGGTCGAAGATCTCAAGGATGAGGTTGCGAGGGCGAACTTCCGCGTTCTGCTCATTTTCCCGGAGGAGATGGAGAGGCTGGACTTTTCGAACCCGGACGATGTGCGGAGGACGAACTGGGCGCTTGTGGATGGCGAGAAGGGTGAGTGGAAGGAGACGGAGTTATGGCCTTGATTTGGCCGGGGTTAGGATGTGCTCCTGTTAGTTGTTGAGTCCCGGTTGCGCTTTCCTACTTTGTGTTTATGTACCGGGACTGCCGATTTCTTGAATCGTACGCTCTTGCAAGTTGTATCAACCTTTCCACCCATCACCCATCATTCCACGATATCGCCCAGTATCGTCAGAGCATTTATCCATTACTGAGATCTTTGGCTATTACTCATTCTTTCTTGAACGCCATTCATTCCCCAACAGCCACGCATTCCGACCGGATCAAGTCCACGATGGCCAGTGTAGCAACTGGTGCGGGAGGCAGCGGCGGCGGCGGCGGCGGCGGCGATTCACCAGGAGGGGATAAAGGGAAGGGAAAACTGGACAAAGTCGACACCGGCAACTCGGGCAGTGGGAAGAAGAAGCGTTCGAGAAAGCAAAAGGGTAAAGCGAAAATGCAATCGATCAAGGGTAAAGAGAAATTGGAATCGATGAGCGACGCAATCACCAGCTCCGGGACCGCCAGTGCAGGACTATCCAGCGGGGCCTTAGGTGGTGAGTCTTCCTTTTACAGCTACGAGAACGAAGCCAAAAACATGACTTACTCGGTTTCCCCAGTGCCAGCAACCAGTCCCGCTACGACGAGTCCCGCCGCAGGCTCAGTCCCCGTGGCGAGTGTCCTTAATTGTAGGATCAAACCCAGATTGCATCTCCGGCTGTAATTGAGCGTCCTCCAGGGCCAGGCTAACTTGGTATGTCTATAGCCGTGACAGAAACCCTGCAGAACCAGTGTCTTGCATCAACACCATCGAGTGGAAATTCTGGCAGCAATACGCCTGGTACTAGTTCCTTAAAGAGAAAGTCTGAAGAGCCGCAAGTCGCAAGAAAGCTGGTTGTTTATCCCCCTTTCACCACAGTTTTCGTTCCGTGAGCTGATTGTGGACAGAAAAATCCTGCGGACCTTGAGCACCAAGGGACAAGTCCCAGATCAGACCGCGCAGCTCGCCGAAGCGCCCAAGTAGCATCGTCCAGTCAGGAAACCGAACAGCAAGAACCGTCAACCGCACAGCAAGAACCGTCAACCGCGGAACAAATGGCACGGTCAGGACTGCCGAAGGGGCCTTGGGTAGTGCCGCCTCCGCCCCCTCGCGACCAGGGCCGAAAACTGAAACGAATGCCAACGGAAACAGGAAGCGCAAGTATAGGAGGCGCGAACAAGGGACCTGGAGAGAGTTCATCGTCAAGCAAACCAAAATCCTCGAGGTCACCGCAGACTGCAACGTCATCGGGAACGGTCCAGGGCCAAGTACTAAAGAAAGACGATTCGAGTTCCGAAGGCGACAGTATACTGAAGGGCTTCCCCCTTAGGCAATCACCACCGGACCAGGTAAACAAGACTCGGCCGATGAAACGGGATAGCGATGATGAGGATGGGCCTGGTGCTGGTGCTCCGCCAATTGCCGCCTAGAAGGTGCTGGGAGCCTTAGGTATACGGTAGCCATCTGAGTTTGAGGCTGGACTCACCGGCTGCTCGTCGGCACATGTTGAAGTTGGCCAGATGTTACGAGAATAGAGGTATACGCAGCTGTAAAGTCACCCTATATTTTAGCGGAAGAGCGGGCGAATGTCTGCAGGACAATGGAACTATTCTTTACAACACTTTCAGTTGTATACCTTGTAGTGCAAACTGCAATGCAGTGACCCCGGGATCTGTCGGGGATATGCAGGCGCAATGACTTGTAAGACGCGGACAGCAACCAAACCGTTACAGAGACATGTCTCTAGTACCACGGTGGAACTGATAAAAAAAGAAGTCGAGCGCAGACTTCCGGAAGCACTGCAGCCGTCTGGTGACTGTCGTGCATGGGGATACTCGGACAAACCGAGATAAGGCCATTGCAACCGTGTGCTCCGGCATATTCTCAACCAGCTCCAGAGAATGAAACCTACGAGTACTCAGTCGACGTCACAGCCCTCCTGCCGAGCCGGAGATTGGCGAAATCTCCTGTCAATCACTGGTATACGGTTTCATCGAAAGAGCCGAAAGTCGAAACAAGGAAAATGCGCCGCCACGAGTCTGATCTACCAGCCTACTCCGTACTCCGTAGTACACTCAGGCCTCCCGCGTGGCGGCGGCACATTGCGAGCACCGAGGCACGCAATCAATACTCCGACCAGATCTAGAGAATAGTACTCCGTAGTGGGGAGCGGATAGAGTAGACTACTGCCCGATCAAGCAGTCGACCTTGACTTTGACTTCTGTCACTCGGTGCCTCCCGCCGCCCGCGTGGATAGTGGGTTCAGACGAGAACACTCAACTCAAGATTCAGCCATGACGAGCTGGGGACCGGAGACCCAGACTGGCATGGGCCATGGCCAAGGCGAGCTGGCCCTTCTCCAATGAAGGCCCTGACTCGTGCGAGACGGATGCTAATGCCGGTCGACCGTTACGTGTCATGACTCCTTTGGGGAAGAGTAAGACGAGGCTGAATGACACTGGCTGGCAGGTGCTGTCAACGGAGAGCTCCGACCATTGGCGTCATGTCATGTCATGTCAGACTCACCGCGGTGCTGTGCTATGACTCGTGGTGCCCCAGGATTCGGGGTTTAATATATCGACACTAGAAACGGTTAGCCTGGCTCATGGCAGGGCCTGGGATTCGGATAGATTAGAATGATTTCATTTTCATGATATTGAGATTGAGGGGCCTTCTAGAAGGTCGACGTGCAATTAATATAATCTCGTTTAGCTCTGCATTTGCCTATTTGATCTTCGGCCGGTCCGATTTTGCCTCGTGGCATTATAGTTAGTGTTGGTGTTAGTGTCCACTGCCTAGCCTGCTGCTAGACGCATCGATTTGAAAGCCCGTGATGCAATGATGGTTACAACCTTACTTTGTTCTCTGAATCCCCGTTGTGATCTTGGGTTGCGCATCGCACGTTGCACGTTGCACCACGGGTGATACATATATAGCGTTGTTGCAGAGCGTGGCAGGTTGACGTTGGCGACGCTTGTCCGAAAGGATGGAGTCGCAAGCGAAGGATTGATCGTCTCCCCCGCCTTCTTGAGTCTGTCGTTGCCATTGCTGGACTGAGACTCCCACGAGCCGAGACTAGACACAGAGCGACAGGATGATCCTGGGTCTGCCTCCCACGCTGAGACGTCCTGAACCCCTAGAACGACATGATGCATGCAGCCAACTCACCGCCGTTTGGGCAGGGATACTGGCAGGAATGGCATTGTCGTGAACTCCCATTGATTAAATTGACGTTGGAGCAGTTGCAGTGGCACAGATATTGAACTCTGAACTAGGATGATATTAATCCTCCTGCAGCAAAAGCAAGCAAGCAGCAACAGCAGCAGCAGCAGCAGCAAGCACCCAGCCCCCCATGTCTGCCTGAGCCCTCAGGTTCATGTTCCAATGTCACAGGTAATTCCCCGAATAGGAAGGAAACTGTAAGGAAACTGTATACATGTCCCATAACATCCCGGTACGAGTAGCAGGGGAGCCCGGGCCCGCCCGGCCAACCGGAGGTGGAGAGCGGCTTTGACGGCGGGCTGGATACGGCTAGCGCGGTAAGACACGGTATCGGACCCACGGGGCTGACGGGGTCTTCAATCCCTCACTGACACTGACACTGAACCGGGATCAATTCCAAATCGCCTGCTTGTTTGGTCTCTACCTTGCTTCATTCTAAATTCTCCCGGCTTCTCTCTTTTCTTTTTTGTTGTCGCTCGCACTTTCTTTTTCTACTTTACACTACTTCCTTACTCAACGACCTTCCTTTCAACATTCGTCTCCGTTTCTGATCGACTCCCGCCTCCTGTCCCATGGAACTGGCCTAGGGTGCCGCCTGTCACCCAACACCAGCTCACTCCTTTCACTCCACCGCATACGTCTTCGAGCTGATGATACCACGAGTCTGCCTACGACGAAACGACCCCCACCTTCCTATATACTGAGACACAAATACCGTCGAGAAGAGTATGCCCACACACATGGACGCCCTGGGCGCCTTCACCTACCTCGCCGACAACCTCCCCTCCTGGATCTCCCGACTCGCCGACCTCACAGCTCACACCTCCGCCAAACACGCCGAGTTCGCCGACGCATACAAGAAGCACTCGACCCCCTCCAAGCCGCGCCGCCGCCGCAACAGCTCCGTCTGCTCGATCCAGACCGACTCGCTCACCGGAAGCCGCAGCCGCAGTCGCAGCCACAGCAAGGGCGTGAAACGCCGACGGGGGAGCGACGACGGCTCGCCGGACTCACGCGACGCGGACGGCGCCGCGATCGTCAGTACGCGACACAGCCTGATTATACACTACGATGGATACACGCAGAAGACGCTGGAGGAGATGGTGCGGAATATTGGGACTGCGCGGAATAACCTAAGGAAGGGGAAGATTGCGCAGATACCGCTGGGTCTGGGTGCGGGGAGGAGGTCGTTGCAGCCTCGGAGTGCCGCCCGCGCTTTGCTTCCGGCGGTCGACTCGGATATACCCGAGGGGGATCTACTGGCTAGTATAAGGGCGACAAGGAACAGAGGCCCGCCTACGCCGCAGGTCGCGGCGAGACAGTCGCCGTTTGACCTTGCGGATAAGAATCTGGAGCTTGCTCATAGCTTCTGCGAGACGGCGGCGTACCATTTTCTGAGGGCGGGAGGTTGTGCGTCGGAACTCGAGAGCGTGAAACAGCGGTTTACGGTCCTGCTAAAGCTTGCTACGGAGGAGGTCCAGCGGTTACAAGAGGAGAAAAAGGAACAAGCCGGCAAGGAGGGAATGGTGGGAAAGGAGGCGGAGCCCAAGGATACGGCTACGGTTACAGTTACAGAAACGACGGTGTCGCTGAAGCGACCAGCGTCGAGCGAGGGGCCGATCGAGGTCGACGATGAGCAGGCCTCGGTGGAATCGATTGATCTGACGGCGTTCCGGGTAGGTCGGTTTCGGCGATGATCTCGCCTTGCTTTGGTCACATTCGACAAATTGCATTGAGGCCACGGTCTCACACCTATCATTATCATCTCATTGGGTTTTTGGTTCTGGGTCTTGGGTCTTGTTATTGGGTTCAGCCATCATTGCCAGTCATAGCGGGGTCTTTCGTTTCTTCCACATCCGAGCGTGTCCTGTCCTGTCTTAGGTTCCTGACTGAGCGTGGCGTTGGCGGAGTTTCGGCATTCATCTCATTACGGTCGTCGCATTTACGGATCGTATCTATCTATCTAGTGGTTGGCAGGGTATATAGCCAGTACCACGGCATCTATGCAAAACAKCATATCAAATCATATCATATCATAATTCACTCCATGTCCTATCCTCTTCTCTTCGTTATTCCCCCTTCACCTTCTGAGATTGTTGAAAGCCAAGCCTATGAATCTGATAGATCACCCAGGACTAGGAGCAGCGTATCGCGTGTGCCTAGCCCGGTGGATCCCCGCTGCACCGCCTATTCGCCATGCAGTCATGCACCTTAAAGCCCGGCGATGGTCCCCGAGGACCCCGGGCTCCATTTTCAATTCTTCGGCGTGGGACTGGGCGGGGCCGAGGGTGGGGATGCTGGGTGCTCACTGCTGGATCCCGGCGCCGCTGTATTTTATTTTTCTTTGCTTTTTCTTGCGCTACTCTGTAAGATTTAGATTGAGATTGAGGTTGAGGTTGAGACTGCATGCATGGTTGACGAGTCGATTCGCATCGAGATCTCGGGGCTGTTCGGTTGGGCTTGAGCTCGATGATTGGATGATGCATTGTACTGTATTGATGCGGTTGAGAGGTCTGGTCTGGTCTGGTCTTGTCTTGTCTTGAATATAACCTAAGAGGGGTGTAGATATCAGATGGAAGGTTGTACTCTTGTTCGGTGTCCTTTATGTCTGGTTCGGCTGGAATTGGTAGGATGGATATGGATGGACCTGTACATCGCCGAAAGAGGCAGGCATACGTGTTCGGCGGGCGGACGTGGTTGTGGTTGTGGTCGTGGTTGCACTTGAGCCCAGCCCTAGGTCGATCCATGACGGCGGGGGTTCTTTGTCTGCTCTGCTAAGTAGGTTCTTCCTTTTTTGGCTTCGTGTACATGTCTGGTTACACGGGACTGACTCTTCAGGTAGGGCTTTGTACCCTTTTGCCTGTTGCCTGCATATCCTTCACTCTCCATGCTATGCTAGGGCATACGGTTCAACTAGAGTGGTTTCCACGCTGTGGGCGATGGCTCATTGCTTAGTTTAGAGTAATTGAGAGCAGGACTGGGTCCATAGGTAGCATACCCCGGATAAACGCAGAACATCCTAATGCTGTGAACCATACGGTCCATACCTAGCATAGCTGGACTACAGAAAAGGAAAGTGGGTGGACACTCCGGCTCCAGGGCTCCAGAGCTAAGCTACGCTACATTATACATACTCCATAGAAGAGGGCAAGTAGATAAACGTAAACATAACCTTCACAATGTGCATTGTGCGAAGCTTTGACCACCAGGCCGAAGGTCGAGAGCGAATGGACTATGGAGACTGTGGTATACTCTGTATACCTCCTCCGTATGCACGTCACTACGCCCGGGCCAGCTGGAGCTGGAGGGAGCGTTGGCTGCCCCAATCTCCCATAATATCCTATCTTCAAAGCTTGTCGGCTAACAACTGTACAGTAGATCCGCGTCAGTGAGGCCCTATCCGACATTACGCATGTAGGTACCCCGTCACCTGTGCACCTGTAGCCCCATTGAATCAGGCAGCCCTGTACTGAAATCCACGGGACGGCCCGTGGCCGCGTAGACCGGATAGTATGACAGGCCTGCTTGATCATGTGCCGAGCAGAGGGTATACGGGTATACCTTGGGGTTTATCCTACGTACATAACGGCTTCGAAGTATTTATGAACTTAGGGCTGTCAGCTTATTATACGTGGACCCTTCCATCATAGCTACGGTAGTCGCTTGTCTGAGATTCTGATGCGATAGATATGGATATACATTTTTGGCGGGGGCTTGATCGTCTCGGGAACCGGAGCTGCGTAATCTCTGCCAATTGCACTGGCTCTGTCGCTAGTGCCGCTGTGACGATTAGCCGGGCGTTTATTCTATGTTCTGGGAAAGTATATTCTTGGGAGAAGACATTGTAGGAGAATAATTGTTAGGTTTTGTAGTTCCACCACGGTTCATCTCATCTCACCCCCAGCACATCTCCAGTTAGTGAACGGAGATCTCGTGGCCCCGGAAATATCAGGGTCCAAGAGCAGATATCATGATGTATGTACCCTGCCATCATAATCTTGGAATCGTATGATCAAGTACGAGCGCTTAGCGAAGGATCACATCGACAATGTCATTCCTTGTTTTCCCGACATTTGTATACAGGCACTCAGGCACTGAAGCTCACCCATAAGACCGCAAAGCGATATCGTTCGCTGCTTGGGCGCTATTAGGCGCCCAAGTGCCTCAGGCCACGCGATGCCGTGGCGTGACTCCAAGTATAAACTGGCTGCTACTGTCTTGCCCGACTCGACTCCGGGGGTTCGTCTATTATTTTGGATGAACACCACGCGAAAGTGGATCAAACCCTTTCCATCCAAGACTGATACATTTAAATAGCGATTCAATCAGCATTGAGGCTTATTCACACCGACAGTGTTGTAGCCCCCAAACTGGATAGCGCAGCCGCAGCCCAGCCCAGCCTCCCCATTTCCATCCCATGACGTCCCGCTGCATCAGTTGCACAAATGTCCAGTTTCTGGAACAGACAGCTGAACGGCACGGTCTCGGTCAATTTCACCTACAACATGCCGAAGCCGATCCTGCAGAAAAGCAAAACCGACCCGGTCCATGCGGATGGCGATGTCGATGGGATCGAGCCTGGGGACTTGGAGCCTGAAGATCGTCCCAGTGCAGAAGCCCCGACCCCGCCAAGGATCATCCTCGTTGAACCGCATGATCAGAGCGAGGCAGATGGCTCCCTTGCGCCGGAACAGACGGCTGTTATAGTGAGTTGCGAAAATAGAGACAGGTCTCGACTAACTTATCGCTAGAAACCATCGCCTGAACATGTTCTCAAGAACAACCTTTTGCACAAATTCGCGGCTTCAACACCCCCGGCAAAGGAAGCAAAGGAGAAACTGCTCGTCGCGGCGGAGACATTGATCGCCAATGGTGCTAGTCTTGAGTGCACCGATGACAGCGGGCGGACGCCCCTCCACAGGGCCTGCGCCAGCGGAACAAGAGACATGATCGCGCTCCTCCTCCGCCATGGCCCCAAGTTGAAGGAAGCATGCGATAACCGTGGGAATACACCGCTGCATGTGATCTGTGGCGAGCGAAAGGGATCTGGGCTTGACTTAGCCCTCGCTGTTTGTTTGCTTGTCGACGCAAAGGTCAACCTCAACAGTGTGAACGAGGACGGAGTAACTGCCCTGCACCTCATCGCTGAGCGAGCAGAGGAGGACTGGACCGGGGTGGTGGAGTTTCTGCTGCAGAAGGGGGCAGAGGTTGGGTTGAGAGATAAGTCGGGGAAGACTGCTCTACACAAGGCAGTGGTTGCCGGGTCCGCTGAGCTGGTCGAAATGCTGATCCAGAATGGGGCAACGGTTGACGAAGTCGATGATCTCGGACACTCGGCGCTGCATTTGTGTGTGGTCAGTGAGAGCTTGGAGGCCATGGAGGTCCTGCTCCGGTGCGACGCAGATGTGAACCTGCGGGATGGACGTGGTCATACGGTACTCCATCTAGCCGCTCAGTACGGATGGACCGACGCTGTCGAACCGCTGTTGGAAAGTGGCGCCGACGTCACTATCAAAGATGAAGATGGGTTGACGCCGATGCAGGTGGCCAAGGAGGAAGGAGCTGAAGGGGTGGCGGAGTTGCTTCGCCTGCGAGATGGGTCTTCTAGCAAGCAGAGCTCTAAGCCTCCTTCTGTGCATTATGTACGACCGGCTGATGGTGAACATGAATTGGCTACCCAGCACACTGCGGAGAAGAAAGGCAAAGGGAGAGATGAAGAGGATAAGTCCAGCGAGTGGTCGCAAGATGAGAGGACAGACGACATACGAAGAATGGGGAGGGAAAGGGTAAACAGCAGGGAGAAAGAGAGAAAGGACAGCGATAGTGACTGGTCGGAAGATGATATGGAAGACAGAACAAGGGGCAGAAGGAGAGATAGAGTCGATGACCATGTACATGATTCAGAAGACAGCACTGATGAAGAGGAGGACAAGATGGAAGAATCAACCCAAACACCAAATAACGAGACGACTGAAACGACTAACGACACATCTAACGACGAAACGAAGGAAACATCCAGCGAACACATGATTGAGAGAACAACGACAGGCAACGAACTAACGATTAGGGACGCGATGACTATGGAAGGAACGACCAATGAAGTCAACGGTGACATTGACCAGAATATCTCCATTCAAGCCCACCACAACCTCTGGGCAGGGGTCCAGCGTGACAACGGCGATGGCTTTATCCTCGCCAGCTACGACAACCACGATATCAGCTTCGACGCAAAGCTCGAGTCCATCCGGCCGATCCTCCACGAAGGCAAAGACATGCACGAGATCCAGGTCAAGCTCAACTTCATGAGACCGTACTCAATGGACCACCGCATACGGTATGCAAGGGTGGACGTCAATCTAAGTGCCGGTGGTGGAGATGCCCCCAACATCCGCGCAATAATGCCCCAGGCAGACCGAATGGAGGTCTCTGAGCAGGAAATCACATCAGGCAAGACGTTTACCGTTGGCGCATCTGGAAGCGGCGGGCCATCGAATGTCAACATCAGCATGGAGGGTTCGAAGAGCAAGAAGTCCACATTCAAGGGTGTCCGCATTATCCACGGGGCGATTCGAGATAGAATGCATGCGTCATGGAGGTTATACGAAGAACCCGGCAGCCGAAGCGGCCTACCTGAAATTGTCCGACTGCTACTACTCGTCCACTGCGAGGCAGAATTCAACGTCCAGCTCGCGCTCTCCGTCAAAGCATGCCATTTCCTCACCTTTGGCATTCCCCGCACATTGACAGCTCCAAAGGGTGCATCCTATACCGTCCCCAAATTGAACATCATCACGGCATACGAGCACAACTCTCGATTACGGCAAATGCTCGATGTCGCAGACCGCGCCGCAACCACAATTGAGGAAACCCACAGACTTGAAGAACTGTTTGCCCGCGCCATGCGGGTGCACAAGAAACGCCATCTGATTATGGGCGCCGGCAGTGACGAGGCCCATCTCCACGAGTGGAATGAGATACTCGACGACGCGAGGACCAGCGACTTCACGACACTACGGTATAAACTGCTGGAGATGGAGGAGGCGGATAAACTGAAGTTAGAACTAGAGAGACGGAAGGAGAAGGAGAGGGAAGTCAAACGGGAGCTCGAGCGCTTGAAAGATATCAGGAGGGAGGAAGAGAGATTCCTGGAACGCGACAGACCGTCGAGCTGGACGGAACCGAGAAGAGAGAGGGAAAGAGACAGGCCCTTCTGGCCTGGCCGCGACTCTTACCAGAGTGACTCGGGCTCGCCCCCACCCCCGAGGCCCCGTGCTAGGCCTCGAGCCTCTAGTGTCTACTATGACGATTCCCCAGAGGTGTTTATGCGTCGTCACCGGAGGGCTGCAACGCGGGACTATGGGTATGATGAGCGTGCCATACTCCGGGGGCGTGACCACGCTCCCATCACGCGCAATCCCCTGGACAACTTTACAGCTGTTGGTCCGGGGTATCATGTCTCGCGGTTGGCTTGAGTGCGCGAGATGGCACTGTATATCTTGTTTCGGGGTACGGTTGGACAGCACTATCCTATAGTCTACTACATCGTATATAGCCAAGACCTTCGAGAACTGAACATGTACCATTCGGCAAAGACGTGAGGATCTCCATGCTATAAGCTTAACGTCGAATGCCGCGCCCATCGCCGACGTCCCCATCTCCAGTTCCAACAATGCAATCCCGACGATCCACCGGGCCAGCTTCCCCAACCACACCATATCAAGTCCATATTTCTCTCTCCAGTATCGAATTGATACAACCGACCCCTCACCACATTGACTCCATCCAAACCCCCGAGCTCTGTACCTCCCCTCTCAAAACCATAACCTACCATTGAGACAGCCAAGCGGCGACGGGCCTTCCACGCCGATATCCCGCTCGAGACGGCATCACCCTGGACCGTACGCGTAGCCCAGCTTGCAGTATCTGATATCATCCGAGCTGATGACAATCACAGCACATTCTAATCTCTCCTCCGGAGGGAAGAGCATCCGGAAGTTGGAGGTGCTACGGCTTGGGTACATCCGAGCCCTACTCTACTGCACACAGGACCTCAAGTTCCAAGATGGACTGCACGCAGTACATACCTCGAGATCGCAGCCCGCATCACAATCCGTCCAAGCTATATCGAAGTTCAACTGCCTAGCGGATGTACGTAGACGACACAATCCCGACCTCTGCGACGCAGACCCAAACAGCCCGCCCATCGACACACACCACCCAGCGGTCCGAACGCACCCCGTGACGGGTCTAAAAGTGCTGTACCTACTCCGGACTACGGTTTCCGGCGAAAAGCGTAAGTCGCCTAAGTTGCTTGGCAATCATAGATGGCTAATGAGTCCCCCGCATATCTGATCCTTCCAGTGAGAGCTGCAATGGGCGGAAAGAGAGGCTGAAGAGGAGAATGACGAACAAGATGGGGACATGGTGCCGTTGAGTGCAGACTCCTGCGTAGCTGCTGGGATTTGTGCTTCAGGTTGCTTATTTGAAACCTCACGCAAGTCGCCATAAAGAGGATAGACGGCAATCTGGCTTTTTAGATTCATTCAAGGCTATGACATGAAGCATGCAACACCCGCTATTCTTTGTCTCTAGCCAGCAATGGAAACCAATATGTTTGGCACTTAGACTGCGTTTGCGTGCCAGACAGGTAGGTAGCCCTTCCCTTCTTCCAAATTCTCTAATCCACACTCTCTAGGCATCTAACGAACACCCTCACTCTCACCAGAATGTCCCAGCCCAGCAAGTCAATCGCCACATCCCCCGGAACCGCCCTGGAATTCAAATCCTACGACGAAGACCAGGCCTATCTTGCCAGTGAGAATCCAGAGCCGCACAGCCGCTCATCAACAGTCATCTACTACGACTACAACCGCTCCGCAACGTCGCCGAGGACCTCAAAATGGTGGGTGAAGGTCACGTTCCGGGGATACGTCTACGGGCAGAAGGTCCCAATCCACCAACGGCAGAGAGAGCTGGAGAACTTCGTGCAGTGTATTGACTTCAGCTCGATCCCTCTGCTCGATGATACCGTCACGGAAGTCCTTCTCGACGACCCGAGCACAACCTCGTTATCAGAAAAGACTGAGGCTGAAGAACGGGTCACGGTCACCGGTGCTGTGCTCAAAATGCACGCTGGGCATAAACTCAACCCAAACAATCCTTTTGCACCCGTTGCTGCATCACTGCGGTATACGACGCGCGAGGACCCAGCGAGGGTGATATACCCATCCCTCGACGAGTTCGCTTCCTTCCAGCGCATCCGGTCCGAGATCCTAGTTGACCGCACCGAGATCAACGACCATGTCTTCCGCGTGCGACATGGGCCACGTAACAAGCCGTACATCCTCAAGACCGTAAACCGCGCATTCTACAAGACGCACGATACAGAGGCCATGCGCAACGAACTCGGAACCCTTGCGCGCTTCCGCAATGCACCGAATCTCGTCCAAGCCGCTGGCGTCGTTGTCTCGCAGAACCCGTACCAGACGTTGAGAACAGCAGACCAGCCGACACAGGACGTCATCATCGGAGTCCTGCTGGAGTTCTACCCAGGCGGCTCGTTGAGAACTATCATCCAGCAAGACCCCGGATTGAATGGATATCCGTGGCAACGGTGGGCGCTCCAAGTGACAACTGCTCTGCACGGGATCCACCTCGCGGGAAAGACGCACATGGACATCAAGACAGCGAATGTTTTCCTGGACGCTGATGGGGATGCAGTGCTGATTGGGATTGGCGGCAATGGCTGGGTGACGCCCGGGTGGACGGCGCCGGAGCTGAGGGATACGATTTCAGGTGGCTGGGATCATTTGCCGTTTGAGGCGAGACGGTTGAATGACTCGTGGGCGTTGGGCAAACTCCTACTACAGATTACGGGGTACGTTGACAATTGCGATGCTGAGAAGGTGGTGAGTGATGTTGGCAGAGCGCTTATGGGGGACAGTGTGTACTGGGCGCGGATGAGTTTACCGGATGCTATAAAGAAACTGGAGGCTGCTGGGATAGGGAAGCAGTGAATACTAGGTTGCCATGTTGAATATGATAACCCCACCCATCCTGGCTGGGTTGCGCGCAGTTGAAAAGACGTGGTACTTGTTTGAGAGTTAGGGCTAGGCGGTCCCGCTGCCCTGCAACGGTTTCGCATACTTCGAAAGATTTATGGATAGTATTAAACAACTGCCATATTACCTGGACATTTTATGTAGAATTTCTGGTTAGATTAAGACCCTTGATTTTGATTATCTGTATCAAGCACCCTGCCTCAAACAATATATGAACAGGTATATATCATGGATTAGACATAGACATCGCATCACTGTAGCACGGTTTAGTCCAACGTTACATTTAACCGTCTTCCACCAAATATTCGCATTCAGATCAGAAGCATGTAACCTAAGCAAGGTTATAGTAGATCTCAATATATTCAATCTCCATATACGCAGCCGCCCCAACAGCCATGTCGCCAGTCCAAAGGGGACCACCGTCTCCCCACTACAGCCAATTAGCAAGCACCCTCAAAGAATATAGTCCAAGGAGACAAAAACAAACATACCATATTCAAAATAACCGTACTCGGCTCCCTCGGAATCCCATACGTCTTCGTATGCGCCAACTGCCCATCCAGATACCAGGAGCTCAAGTCCGGCGTCCAATCCAGCCGATGCGTATGCCACTCGTCCCAGCTTGCGCCATCCAGCATCGTCGCCGCAACCGACGCGCCGGGGATCTCGTTCCCGTCGGCGTCGAGCCCGGGCTGGTTCGTGTAGCGGATGGTGGTTTTGGGGTCCTGCGTCAGCACCTCGATGTCGCTTTCGTTCTCGTTGTTGAAGTAGGTGAACACGCCGGCGCAGGCGCCGGGGTCGCCGCGCACGCGGAATCGCACGTTTATGCTGGCGTGCAGGATGTTGGAGAGCTTTGTGTCGATTTCGCCGCTTGAGATGAAGTCCGTGTTGCGGGTTGCGCGGAGGGTGAGGTGGCTGAGGCCGGAGGAGGGGTCGCGTTCTGTGGGGGTTAGTGGATTTGCACTTTTTCGTCTGTTGCATGGGGAACGGCGAGGGACTCACGGATGTAGACGTTGCCGTTGCTGTATTGCTTCCTGTAGGGAGCGTTGGGGCCTGCGGGCGACCCCCAGGTCTCGATTCCCCAGTCATTGGTGAAGAGGGCATCAGTCAGGTATCCCTCTTGCACAGTGGCCGCCGATGACTCTGCATCGTTGTTGATCCTTGCAGGCTCAGTTGTCGGAGCATCTAGATTCCGGAAGTCGTGGAACATGTAATAATTGTAGACATACTGGCTGCTAGCCGGCGTAGCAGCCGCGAAGGCAAGAAGGACAGAGGCCTTCATAAAGGAAATCATGGCAATGTCTCTGCTCTGTGTTGCGTGACGGGAGAAAAAGTCGAGGGCTGAGGAGCTGAGGCGCCTATTTATACCTGTGGAGGCTGTGCTGATGGGTTGATTATTCCCCGACGGTCGTCTTGGCTCAGGGACGAGTCAGGGCAATGGCGCACTAAACTAGTTCCAGACTGTAGAAAGTGGGCGGCTGAAGCAGCCCAGCCAGTAGACTGCAAAGGCCCCCAAAAAGCCCAGCCCTAAGAGTTGGTAGCGCCAACACCCTGCCTTAGCGCTCTTCTTGACTGGATGCCGTGGCTTGCCAAGCTCTTCATGCCCTGAATATCCTGTTCAGCTGCAGACCCTTGGCGGCATCATCCGCTCCCTCCTCCACCCACTTCCCTGCCGGACTCTTGTTGGAGATTCTAGCCCCTTTCTGCCCTGAGGCTGCCTCCATGTACGAAACCCTCCACCGATGCTTCCACTAAGGCATAATGCAGTCTTTATGATATCACATAATCGTGGGCAGAGACAGAACAAATCTTGAAAAATAAACAACACGACGAAAATATCCATACTTAGTTAGTTATGATTAGATTGAAGTTACTACAGACTCGACATGGGTTTTTGATCTAATAAATGCCATAACCCACAGCAGGATTCCCACTTCTGAATGTGGTTCATCTCCTTTTTCTGAGAACCTGTGCTTTGTTATTTCGCCTGCCCTCCATTAGGTACCTGAACCGCACGCTAACTCTCCCCTATAAGGATTCCTAATGTAGCCATCATAGTAGTTCTAGTCATCGCCGCCGTCGTCATTGAAACAGGGGTTTTATGGAAGGCTGGACATTTTTCTCCCGACTCTGGGACCCTCATATTGTAGCAAATACAGCTGGTTATTGAAGGAATGTTGATGTTAAGCTCGGAGATGCTCGTGGTTTGATGATATTCACTGAATCTAGGCTAATGGAAACGTCGTAGATGGTGAAATATACGTGCTTGAGGAGCCAAGGATGAGAGCCTTGTTCATCAAGTAGGGAAGTCTCGTCCTTTACGTGAAGAGGGCCCTTAAACAGCTCATCCTCACCTGACCCAAAAGTTCAATGCAACTGGGTATAACTTCCTGGTGTGTCAGTGGTAGGGCTGCGCCCTTTTAGGTGTCTGGCATGTGCTCCCCAGGTTAGAAGTGCAGGTGGATCAAAAGCAAGTCCTACCTAAAGACCCGTGCTTTCTCCGACCCTCCACACATCCCAAGTGTGGATAGGAGAAGGAAAAAGGCAGATTCTGGCCCGTAGCGGCCGGATCCATGAATGGCGCGGTCCAATGTAAAAATGCGGTCGGGGCCGTTCCCGTCATTGCCAATCTACTCCGGTCCAGTTCCACGGATCGTTGAGCAGAAGGTTGCGAGCCGCAACTCTAAATCAATGTCTCAAGACACACACCAATCAGACGTCATAGGAGATGCAGGATTGCAACAAATCGCCAAAATCCACTTTGAGGACCTTAACCAGTACCGACGTGCCGTTGAACAGGCCCGGGTTAACTCTGATACCTCCAGCTGGATGCTGAGGTCGAAACCCTAATCACCGACATCTGTAGGCCTTTCTCTACTTTATAACGGCGAAGCCGGCGCCCAGACTTGGCTGCTGGTATGCCCCATTTTCCGGGGTATTGTACTCAGGATACGGCCATCTGGAGTATGCATATGCTACATCTAGAATACAGAAGATCTACCTCCACCCTTCGCATGCATCTACAGCCATTACATAACAGTCGGCCTTACACTCTTGACAAGACGCTCACCGACCCGTCTAACAATCGCAAGCTTTACGAGCCTCGCCTGGATCAAGAGCCCTCATCCACGTCATTGGGGCCTGCAATGGGCAATGGAGTTCCGGTTTCGCAGCTTCGGAAACACGAACGGCAGATGCTAGCCCTAACTGCAGTACGGAGTACGGAGTAGATTGGTATATAGTTAGGTCGCCGGGTGGTTGTTGCTGAGAAAGAGGACAGAACAAGGATTGACCCCAAATAATCAGGATTAAATTCGAGACTGTAGGAGTCAGCTAGATATAGTTATGGAAACAAGAGTGAATGCTCAATACAAGACGTTTTGGCTAAAACATAACGCAAGCGTTTATAATTAGAAAGACTAGACAAGGGAGCAGCCCCAAGCTCTACTATGATATATTTTTGCTACTCACCTCATCAGCATCAGGTTGTGGAAAATGTCATGACTCGTGAAATATGCCACGATAATCGCTGAGGCTCCTCCTATACAATGTCTGAGCACAATGGAAAGAACACCAAGAAGTTCAACCTTGTCAAACATGGGCAATAAAAGCGTGCAGAAATCCAACAAGGGCGCTATAGCTTCTTGGTTGAGCAAAATCTGATGAGTTCCAGGGTTGATGGTGGCTGTGGTAAATGTTATTGAACGTGCATAATCCTGTTCATACGCCCAACCCACTACGGTTATAAAATAGATACAGGAGATCCGGCGGTGGCCGAGAAGGACGATGCGATCCTTGTGGAGTCAAGCGAGGCGAGGTGTCTCATAGCAAGGGTCCATGTGGCTTTCTTGCAGCATTAACTGGCGGGTGGCAGATCTCACCCTGCATGGCGTTACATCGGATGGTTGCCGGACCCCTATTGGTTCGTGCAGGGACAAGTGAGCTGTCTCAGCCATAATTTGGAGATCGATCTCGGCATGATATCCCCAGGTTCGATCCTGACGGTCAGGGCCTTCCTTTGACATCAGCCAAGTCATGATGTTCTTGGCGGCATCGTGTCTAGGGCTATGCACGAGCATTCGTCGAGGTCTCCTCCTGCCAAGCTCTTTCCTCCAATTCTCCAAATGGCAGCATCTGCGCCCTCGGTGAAACATCGTGGCCAGAGGTCGGCGTGAGCATGGTTGCGAACGCCGTGAACACGTCTGCCGGAAACCTCCCACTCACTTTAATCGACGGATACGGTGCAAACGGCTTCACCGGTTACATCTATGAGGGCTATGAGTACTCGGACCAGGCACTCTTCGTTGGGATTGATCCCGGGCTTGGTGACGACGACTATCCGTCTGGCTGCGCGCTCATGATGCAGTACCAGAGACAGACGTTTCTGCTGCAATGGACTTCATCCGAGGAAGAAACGGGGACCGAGAACTCCAATTCCAACTCCAGGGATGACAGTTTCCAGAATACGACATCCTGCACCGGTCTTCTCGACCTCTGTAGCCAGTCGGTCATTATTGAGATAATCCGTAGCTTCAGGGACGACTCGAACAACACGTCCAACAGCACCAGCGGGTCCAAGTCCGAGTCCGGGGACAGATGTTCACATCTTACGCAACACGTCAACGGCCAACTCCGCGGTAACGAATTCAGCTGAGGGCAAAGCTCGTGGATTGCCAACTTCATGAACGTCACCGGCGGGCCCTTGCCTGACGGAAACGCCAACAATGCGAGTGACGAGAGGCTAGGAAACGACCAATGCAGCCCTGTTCTGCCACAAAGTGACTGGAATCTGTACAAGGTTGCGGATATGCGCCTCTTTTACTTTGTAAATGCGCCCGATGACAAGAGTGTGAACGAGTTTTACAGTCCCGTCTTTGGTGGTCGCGCGGGCTTCACCCCTGTAATGACCGTTCTTTACACAGATGGTGGACAGAACGACAATGAGAACGGCACCGACGCTGATCCTGAAGTGCAATTTACTTGCATGAAGACCTTCCACCGTGACGGAGAGCCGCGCCAAGAGCCGTTTGGAAGCGGCGCTGTTGCTCGACCAAGGGGCTCTCTGTCTTTCTCGGGGACTCTTCTGGTTCTTGTTTCTATCCCTTTTGGTTTGTAGGTAGATGCAGGCTATTCATTGTGTTGATACTCACTTCGACTCAAGTAAGCTATTCTGTTCCCGGGCAGGGCCCAGGAGGACGAATAGCAATACTAGTTTCTTAGCTAGACGGCTTTGATGCTGCGGCATCGGTGGTCTCCAAGCGTAGCAAAGATGGACTCATTGACGAACAACATGGTCGGCTATTGATGTCCTACCGTAGACAACAACTCCTGTTCATATAGTCAGCTAGTATTCAGGCATCAAACAGCCGAAGTACATACTAGCGTTCTCTGCATCTCTTTTCTCTGTCCGCTCCAACCGACTTCTGCGAGATTTAGTTTCCGTAATTGCTTATTACGAACGTACTGGCCACTATAGTTAGCATTGACAGGGAAGATGAGAAAGAGTCCCAACAGTCGCACCTCTTCGATGCTATCTTTCACGATATACCGCGTCACATAGACAGTTTTCTGCTGCCCGAGTCGAAGCACGCGGCCTATAGCCTGGTCTTCGATAGATGGGTTCCACTGCGGCTCGATGATGTGTACTCGGTTTGCCATCGTCAGGTTTAACCTGCGTGTTACGTTAGCAAACCTTAGAGGCACGGCAAGGGGAAGAGTAATACCCAACAGCGCCGGTTCCCAGAGTCATCAGCAGGACATTGTTCTGGGTCTTCTCGAATGATGCAATAATAGCATCTCGCTTCTTGGGTGGCACGGAGCCATCGATCTGCAAGACCGGAATACCTCGACTCTCAAGAAGGCACGCGACAATGTGTAGCGTTCTCGTCCATGACGAAAAGACAATACTGCGCGGTTAGCTTGGTAAATTGGCGTTGTATTGGGCTTATCGCTCACATCTTATCGGTCCGACACTGCACTGATATGTCACTCATCAAGCACGAAAGCTTTTCTGACTGGCCAAGGTTGGCGATGTTCGAGGCGGTTGGTTTAAATCGGTCCTGATTGTTTGTTTTCTCCCGCTTGCCGCTTTTGCCGCATATCGGACATTGTTGTTTCTTGGGCCGCTTTGTGAAAATCTTGTTGATAGGCGCTGTTTGGTTCTCGTTACATTGGCCGAAGCAATCGAGGCACAGTAGATGATGGCACTGGGTAAAAACACCATAGTCCTGATGGGTGGGATCGTCGATGGACAAGATATCACAAGAGCACACTGCGCATTTCGCCTCATCCGATTGCTGTAACAACGCAAATCTCTCTTCCTGTGAGGTAGCATCCTCTCCGTATGCTTCCCATGCGCGATAAAACGTTCCAAGAGTGCATAGGAGCCTTAGTTTGAGAATCATCTTGAAAACCGCGCGACGTGCATCAGCTGGTCTGCCTTCCGATACAGCGGTTTCAACCGTCAGATTGACTTGCTCAATAATGCGAGAGTATTCGGATGTTTCAACCAAGGACAGTTTAACTTCATGTATAGTTCTCTCGGGCTCTGGAAGTTTCAGCAGTTCCTTGGTGCGTCTTAGACAAATCGAGCGTAACAGGATCTTGAGGTTGGTAAGACCAACTGCTTGTCCTTTTTCGACCGGCGTCGTAATGTGCTGCCGGAAGTAGGGATTGCTATCGAGCTGCGAGATTCTCAAGAATCGAACCAAGCTGCCGAGGTCTTGCAAAGAGTTCTGGATGGGGGTGCCGGTGAGACACCATCTAAGCTGGGCGGGTAAACTGGCGACTGCTCTAAACTGCGCTGTACTCGAATCCCGGATATTATGAGCTGAGACCGGAACAAATCAGTTCACCGCAATGCAGTTGACAAAAATTAAAGGATATGGTACCTTCGTCAAGTACTACGCGAAACCACTGGACAGCATGAAGACGGCTCGCACCGGCCCGAAATTCAGCAGAGACAGTGGCGTAGGTTGATAGTACGATCTCACATGCCGCGAAATTACTACTACCGTGTGCACGGTTTGATCCATGGTACTTCATGATCCGGATAGAATGCGCAGCAAGGTGGCTGTACTGCGGTCAGCGCTGCAATTACAGAACGAGAATCGGAGGCACTCACCTTGCGATCTCACGTTTCCATTGGCTGATGATTGCTGAAGAGTTGGAATCAGCAGCAAAACACCTTGAAACTGGAGTTATTGGGAGCGCCGAGTCTCACTACTTACTTTCTGATGGTACGATAACGAGCGTAGCTCCAACTTTCGACAAGGAAGTAGACGGCTCCGAGGTCGCCCATAGCCTTGCAAGGCCCAAGCTTCCGACAATCGCAGAAAGAATAGTCAACGTCTTTCCTAGTCCCATCTGGTCCGCCAGAATTCCCCCGGCCTTGTCCTGGGGTTGAGAGATATTCCTAGCGCCGGTGATCTTATGTTCATAACTGCAAACTGTCAGGGCCCAATACACCTGCGGGATATGGGACACTGACTACTTTGTCTTTCCCTTGGTGACAGTATGCCATAGCGCGAAGGATGTCGAGGGTTGCCAACCCTCTCGTTGAGCGATAAAATCGACCCCGGTTCGTTGATGACTAGATCGCTCGGTCAGGGCTTTGTGACGCATTCAGCAGATGAGGCATTGGTACCTTAGTAGTCTCTGGGTCACCCTTTTGTCAATTTGAGCGGCGCCTAGCAGTGTGGACTGGTCAAGAGTGTCGAGGAAAGACGACGCTTCTGCAACGATATTGAGACTCTGTCCGCCATTCGAGCAAGACTGAATTTGCAGGACCTCCGTCGATTGTCCTAGATCCCAAACATGAGGGTTGTCGTACACTCTGCCTTGAATGTTGTACCGGGGAACCTGAAGGTAGAAGCCGTAATGTGACAAGATCGATCCTATTTCATCCCTGTGGACCGAGGGCCCAGATATCACTATCTCCACGTTGAAGTCAACGGCCTTCCCGCTACTCATCCATGTTGATATTGCTCCGGCTAACTCCTTGCCCTCCACAAGTAGATCGTATTCAATTCTGCAGAGCTTATCCAGACCGTGGATTGTTTGCGTAACTCTGGTATTTAAGACGGCAATATCAACCCCCGATGAGAACTGAAGAGCCAAGTGATTGTCCCGTTGTACCATTGTGAGTCGTACCATCTCCTCGCCTGAACCATCGCGGGCAACTCGGGACGTGCTCTCCGCGATTCTCGCATCGTCCTTCAATCGAGCTTTCACTTCGCATAACTATTGTAAATCATGAAATCGTTAGTGAAATGTAACGCAAGGTATCAAACGCGCAGATCGTATTACCATTCCGAAGCAAGCGTCTTCGGGCTCTGCGGTGATGCCGCCTGCAGCACCATCCCCTTGTGCCCGTTCGTAACGGCCCACGGTCGATAAAGGCGGTTCATTCGACGGCTCGTCAACATACCGGTCCGAAGGACTGTTGGCAGTGCCAGTACTGGGAATGAAAGGGGATAAGATGAAAGGAGACGATAGAGGACTGGGGGAGGGGCTGTTGTGCGGAGAAGAGAAGAGCCGCGGCGGCCTGAGGCTCGTGGTTGCCTCAAACCGTTTGGACCGATCCCTCTCCTCCCTCTCTTCGCTTCCATCTTCAGCCTCCCAGATCGTCCGCTTTGGCGATTTATCGTTCATTTTGAACCGTGATCGGGTTCTTGGAGCAAGATGAAGCTACGAGTGCGCCGAAGAGAGGCTCAGTGTTGTCTAATTTCTTTTCTTTTTCCTCTGCGCCACATTTGCAGGGGTTGCCAACGAGACAGCCTTGCGAGTTGCCTATCCAGGTGAGGCTATGCGCAGGATAAGACACAAAACGAGGCCTTTCCCGCTTCTTCCACGATTCCTCCTTCGCGATGTGAGCATCGTCAGCACCATCAATCAACCAACTAAACAACCTCTTATATAACATCCTGGAACACCTAGACCGGCCGCCAGTCATTCATCAGATCCCTCACGAAAATGGCGTCAGGTGCAACGACTATCGATGAATCAGCCTTCCGCCAAGCGTTGGATAAATTCCGATTGAAGATAACTCCGGATGAAGCGCTGGACTTTCAGCTCACAACGGTTGATGATTTGAAGAGCGCCATCAAAGACCTCCAAGCCGAGCAGATGGCGGAACGAAAAATGAGGAACCTCAGGCGTGTCCAGAACTTTGTGCTGGCAATGGAGCAGTTTGAGCAGATTATTTCAGTATATTTGAACGCGTCAGAGTTTGTGGGTTTCGTCTGGGTGAGATCGTGACCCATTTTTGGCGCTCAGAAGCGTGATTTGACGCAACCGCTAAACATATATTTGATAGGGCCCTATGAAATTCATCTTATTGGTCAGGCCAGTGCGTGGAAGGATGCACGTCGAATTGCTAATTATCGATAGGTCGCCAGTTCGTATGCTGCCGCGCTTGATGCCGTACTCGGAATGTACGAAACAATAGGATTGAATCTTCCTCAACTTGAGCAGTACCAAAGCCTCTTTCAAGCTAATCCGCACATGCGAACAATCCTCCATCTGATCTATGCCGATATTCTCCGGTTCCACAGAAAGGCGCTCAAGTTTTTTAAGCAACGAGGTACGTATTGCTATCTACAGGAAGCGTCGATCAACTAACGTGTTGCTAGTATGGAAGCAGGTCTTTCAAGCCACTTGGAAGACATTGAGTGTGAGGTTCTCCCGCATAACCGACAGCTTCCTGCTGCACAAATCATTGCTGGAAAGTCAGGCAAACCTTATCCAGTTCGCGGAATATCGAAAATTTGTGTCTGAAGAGAAGGAGAATCATCGGCGACGCAAGGACGACGATGACCGGAGAAAGCAAGTTGCTGTGCGCGACTGGCTGCAGCCGGCCAACACTTCGGGCGATCAAGAGAAGCACTCTGAACAGCGTTTGCACCATCCTGAATCGGGTAAATGGATATTGAGCAATATCCACATCCGAGCATGGTCCGATCCGAATGTCACTTCAACTCCACTGCTTTGGCTGACTGGTATACCCGGAGCCGGTAGGACAACCTCTCTGCCCCGCTTGTTCAACGGTGATTCTAACGGGTCTCGTAGGGAAAACGATTCTCGCCTCGCTCCTAATTCAAAAGTTGCGAACGCGGACCCCTACGACATGCGTTATTTTCTTCTATTTCAAGCACGGTGATCCGGAAAGAAATTCCTTTCTCTCCATGGCGCGAAGCCTTTTGGGACAGCTCTTGAGATATAACAAAACCTTGCTATCACATCTCCACGAAAAGGCTACAGATAGCGAAACTAGCACGCTCAAGTCTGTTTCAGAAGCTCAGGATTTGCTAGCTCTCGCGCTCAGAAGCGTCAAGGGAGTGTACATAGTTCTGGATGGTATCGACGAATGCGTAGCGGAACAGAGCAGGAAGGTTATCTCATGGGCAAGACAAGAGACCGAGTTGATCAATAATGACTCGGGGGATGCACGCTGCTTCTTTATCAGTCAGGATGACCAAACCTGCAACAAGATACTGAGGGACATTCCGACCATCAAGATTTCTCAAGAAGACAACTTGAGCGATATTCGAGCGTACTGCGATGCTCTTAGTCAGTCATGGACCAAGAAGTTTGACATTCCAGCAACAAAGCAAAAGGAGATCGTGGAGGCTATTGTGCGTAACGCGTCCGGTGAGTGGGTTCTATGACGAGTATTCGCACGCAGGGTCGCTAACTGTTGTAATAGGAATGTTTCTCTTCGCAAAGCTAGTCATGCACAATGTTGGGAGCAGGATATCGAAAGAGGATTTTCTTAAAGAAACAAGCTCGAAGGTGCTCCCTCAAGGTTTGAACGAAGCGTACGGTATCTCCTTCTTACAACGGTCTCAGGCATAGCTAATCACTAGATCCCCTCAGTTATGGTCGGATAGTATCAGGCGTCTTGAAAGACCAAGACGAAAGCCGAGCCAAGTACGCAAGAAAAGTGCTTGGCTGGCTGGTGTGCGGAAAACGATCACTCAAGTGGCACGAGATCCAGGGCGCCATCTCTACCGACATTGACACCAGAACAATCGACTTCGAAAATCGGAAGCTCTCGGTGGACTCCAAGCAATTATTTGGCTCTCTGGTAGAGATCCAAGATGGAGGCGAGGTCGAGCTCGTTCACACCACCGCCAAGTTCTACCTTCTAGATAGTGGCCAAGTGGCTGAGAGCAAAGAAGCATATGGTATGTGTCGGCTGTGCTTGGTTTATCTTAGCCACCCTTGTGTCGACCACCAGCTAAGCGGCGAGTCACTGAACAAGTACGTCTTGCAAGGATACTACGGATTCCTCGATTATGCTGTTGCATATTGGGTGAGCCATTTGGAAAGTTGCCTTGCACACACCAAGGACTATGATGATCGCTCGTTTGAGTCTCTTGGCCGTGACTTGCAGCTGTTTCTCGATCGACATTTTCAAGAAGGGTGTCGATATCCAGTATCGACTAAGACTCAGATCAAGCTAAGACCTTTCAAGAAGGAAACATATTATGACAGGCTGGCCCTGGCATTCGAGTACTGGCAACAAGAGACTACAATCATTACCACAAAGTCAGACGGTCGCCCGGTCCTCGATTTACAGGCAGCAATCAACGCGATTCGCTCCGAGCTTGAATCATTGTGGTCTGACCAAAAACTTCCACGACAAATCTACGGCGGAAGTATATTCAAATGCAGTCGCCTGTATTGCAACTTTTTTTTCGAAGGGTTTGGTGGGCCAACCGAAAGGGACCTTCATATCAAAGAACATGAACGCTCATATACTTGTCAATTCCCCAACTGCCCCGCGTCCCAGATGGGTTATGTGAGCAGAAAGGATCTGGACCGGCATCTTTCAAACTCCCATCACATCCCTGAGCTGACCGCTGAGTTTCCCATATTCCAGGACCCTTCATCCATTGACATCATGCATGCCTGTAAAACTGGCAATTTGGCTATGGTCGAAAGGTGGGCGGCACAATTCAGACCCTCTGAACTAGCCGAGAAAGCTGGATTAATGGAAGAATCAATCAAATCCGCAATGGGTTTAGCTGTCGCAAACGAACACTTCTCTGTTGTCAAGTTACTCTTGGAGCAGACTTCAAGCCCTGCTGATTACTTGCCCAATGTCATTCGGTTAGCTTGTTCCCTCAATAGGAACTCAATCCTGAGATCAGTCCTCGACATGAATATCGAGACAAAGCCGGTAAAAGGCCTCGAGAAACGGCTGGGGCATTGTGTGCACAAACTTCTACGTCGATACGAGGATACACTGGCGCGAGACCTATTGAAGTATCTGGTCAGCAATGAAATCACTCCTCGGTTTAGCTGGCTGGAAACGGCAACCAAAGTCGGATGTTTAACGACTATAGGATATTTATTCGATACCTGCGGCAACTATTTTCCAGACAAGGGTAGTATCTGTATTAAAGACGCTGCAAAGTTTGGCAAATTAGAGGTTTGTCGCCTGTTGATTCACCACGAGTCCTCAAGGCTCAGCATCGGAGACATCAAGAGGGCCTTAGAAGCAGCTGCGGCGAATGGCGAAGAAAGAATCATGGATCTATTACTGCAGGACCTTCCAGAGCATGAACAAAATGGCACTTGGTTTCAAACTGCACAGCTGCGCAAGGCAGCAATTGAAGGGGCAGAGGAGACAGTGGCGAACCTCCTTAGCGATCAGGAACTTCAACTTAACATTGTTGACCGGGAAAAGCGCACACCCTTATATCTTGCAGTGGCAAACAGACACACTGGAATAGTTTCATTGCTAGTCTCATCCGGCCGCGATATAGGGATCAACGTCGAGTGCGACCAGACTTTCCGGGAACGCCGCTCAATTCATCTAAAAACCGCGTTATGTTATTCGGCTTTCCATGGTTATATCGACATAGCGAAAATTCTGCTCCAATGCGAGGGCATTGATATAACATTCCGGGGCACATCTAGGCTCCATTGTTTAAAGGCCATGAATGCGTTTGAGACTGCGCGGGAAGCTGGCCATCATGATATAGTCGATCTGTTCACTCAAATCGAGGAAATATCACAGCAAGTTGAGCAGGGCTATATAGAAGGGGCGATCACCGAACCTGAGGATTCTTCTGAGCCACCTGCAAAACCCGACTTGTCCGGTTTTGGACACTCTACGAACGCGTTGGAGGACTCTCATAATCCGGGAAAAGTCAATTTCGAATATCTGCCATCTACAACCAATATCGATGGCCGGAGCGGAGGTTGGGCCCAAGGAAATGGCCATAGTTATGCCGTCGACACAGATATCAAACCCTTTGGCAGCGAGGATGGTGGCTTTCCCAAGCCAACCCCAATTCCTGACCTGTTCGCATCCAGTCTCGATTTCAGCGCGTTGGAGCATCCAGACCCTCTGGAAAATTTCGATTTCGATACGTTCCTAGACACGTATGTAGACACGGCAGGATCTGGCTTTCAACCAGGCGAAACAAAGGCTGAAGATAGAAGGACCAGGCTAGAGCGTATGGATGGTTTACTTTAGGTATGTAAAGCCCCAACAGTTCTTCCAGGATCAGCCTTAAAACCTTTCTAACCAGCATTTCGCCAAGCTCTCCGCGTTTTGTGACCCGTATATATCATGAGCTTGTTGCTGTGCTTTCCTCAGCCCGTAAACAAGCGCAGTCAGTTGCTGCTGCTTGAGGTGCCCAGGCGCAGGAGTGGACAGTTGCAGCCAGAAGCATTGGATACGAGCTAGATAGTGAAATAGTGTTCAGAGACCTTGACATCCAGCATCACGCCATACCCTCTACAAAACATGTTGATCCTATAGCAGCAAATAATATATAGACTTCTCTCGGTGATAATGAATTTATATACGTTATTCTGACACTATGTTAGCAGCAATGTGAGGGCTACATACCCAACGCGAGACCAATTGTAAGGTAGGCGGGAAGCGTAGGATTTGCAAAATCACTGAACCTTCTCTGTGTTTACTTCATTGCGGTCCCCGTTGGTGTAGCGAAATGGCGAAAGTCTTTCCAAGCTCGAGCTCGTCGAGAAAGCAATGGGGCAAGCTGCCTGTAGCGGGCGACTCCCCATTCCTCAATGATCAAGGCCTCGGCCCTCCAGGGATGCTCGGTACGGTAAGCCGAGCCGCGGCATGCCGAATCATCCCGTGCAACGGTGCAACGTCGGCACGGGCATCGGAATCGGAACTGCCCTCCTCCTGCCTATACCACCATGAAGAGCGTAGTAGGTATCTGCAAACTTCCCTGTAAGCCAGGGGTCATGGCGTGTGGAAGTACTGCTGGCATGCTGCCCGCCGATGTACGAGGTACTTTCACGGTGATTGGACTCGGTCCGACCCTTTAGTTATTGTCCGAGGGGCGATGGTCAACCGATGGTATGGCTCCCGGATCTCAATTCTCCAGCAGCGCGGATCGTCTGTTTGCTGGGGATGTCTGCGCGCGTAGAGTCCCGCCTTCGGTCGAAGGCTTTTCATTAGACTGTCGTCGACATCGAGTCAGAAGCTGCAGATGTAACCCAGCGACAAGGTATATCAGGCGATTCCTCCACGTGATTGGGCTCATTAATTGGAGCGGTGATTGGTATTTCATGGCTGGGTCTGGGGCCAGAATTCTGGGTTTAAACGTCGCTTGATGAACTCACTTACATACTGAGGATACTCGCTTGGTCGTTACTTCCGATAGCTTGCTGGTTCCATCAGGCTCAAGGCTGGAAGAACCGGTTACAGACCTTACGATCTTGTCACAGGATCTGATTAATACAATTTAAGGCTTCTCATCGGGCTTCGGGGCTCGGATAAGTCGGGTGTTGTTTAGCTCGGGTTCTATCGGAATATATTTACATTAGTATTAAGCTACATCTAGCCCTAACTCAATTCACCCTATGTGCTCAGGAACCTTAGGCGCTGCAGCTATTGAAATTACTACACCCAATGCGCGTGCTGACCGGAGGTCGGAGTTTAGATGGTGGTCCACCCTGATGAGCCGAACAAAAGGCTTGATGAGTGGAGACAAGCCATCCATGGATGCTGGGTATTTAACTCTGCGGGCCCCAGTGGCAAGGAGACCTTCTGTTCACAACTCACTATCCCTTTCAGTCTTTAAAGCCTTGCTACCATACCTTGTAAGGTATCATACCATGCAGTCTTTCAAGCTTCCGCTGCCTAATGGCGCCACAGTCGCTGGAATCCACAATATTCCCCCGGTTGCTTCATCTCCCCACTACCGTCCGCTGATCGTCGGTCTTCACGGCGGCAGCTACGATTGTCATTACTTCGATGCGAATGAAGAGTACACCGCCGCTAAACAGAGCACCGCACTCGGCGTCCCCTTCGTCGCCATCGACCGTCCCTGCTACGGCGGAACGACCTCATTCCTCCCTGTCCCGGAGGACACCGACTTCACGAGTGAAACCGGCCGCTGGCTCCATGAGCATATCCTTCCAGCTCTGTGGACTGAGTTCGGCGTGTCGAATAGCTGCAACTGCATCGTCGTCTTAGCGCACAGCCTCGGCGTAATGGGCGCAACGTTCGCGGCTGCCTTGCACGCCCAGGATAAAACCCCCGCATATCCGTTAGGAGGCATCATCGCCTCTGGCCTAGGAGATCAGTTCCTTTCTGGTGGCGAGGAAGCCCCAATCCGCAAACCAGACGTGCCACCCTATCACACCCTGTTCCCGCTCGACGTCAAAGACCAAATGATGTTCCGTCCTGGGACCGTCGACCCAGAGATTCTAGCATGCAGCGAGAGTCTGAATGTCCCGAGTCCCCTTGCGGATGCGGAGTCTCTTAGCAGTGTCTGGGCTCCTAAATGGCGAGAATGGGCGTCGCATATAACAGCCCCAGTGAAGTTTGCTCTCATGGAGCAGGATTGCTTCTTCGTTGGGACGGAAGAGCATGTTAGGAGCTGTGTCGGGGCGTTTGTGAAGAGCTCCAGGGTCGATGGGAGTTTTGTTAGGGGAGCGCCGCATTGTTTGGAGCTGAGCTATTGGGCGCCGGGGTGGTATGCGAGTTGTTTTGGGTTTGCGTTGGAGTGCGCTGCTTCTTTTGCTGTGCGTACCTAGCGGAGATATTGGCCTATCCTGAGCCCTTGCACGAGGTCTTGAAATGACTTGTGGTTACTCAGACAGCACTACACACTATTCACTTGAATTAGCTGTAGGATCTATATCGGAACCCGTACGGAGTTAACTAATTTCTGACTGGCTAAGTGGGCCTATGAGATTCCAGAACCGTGGATGGTCAGGCCCATACCCCCGGGACGCTCCGCCGTATCTCCACTTGGCACTAACCCTAAGTCCTACGGCCATGCAGGGGAATAGATAATATTTGCTGTTGAGTATGTCCAGAAATCTTGAGGGTGAAAGCTTTCTAACTCTTCAAGGATCTGATCTAAGACCTTGCTAATATCGTTTTCATGTATGGTAGCCCCAAATTCCAAATCCCACTCGGGAAGAAATACCTATTACATGTCCACGAACGACAACCCAACCTGAGCTCCAACTGCTAACACCACCACAACAGCGCGCCCGATCTTGGTAATTAATGGCTGTTTGTCAAAGACCGTGAAGCGGACTGTATATTCACCAGGGCTCATCTGAGTGAGTACCTTGGAGAACACGGAAAGGCTGAGATCACTCATGGTGATCAGCTTGAGCGGTCGGAAGGCCGAACGAGACGTGCTCGAGGTACGCGCATGGTAAAGGTTTTCCTGCAGCATAGTGAGATTAGACACATAGATTTATGCGCGGGAGATTTCCCGGGCCACAGCAACTCGTGACTCACCTCCGGGGACGGAACTATTTCGGCTCTTACATCCAGCAACCCAAGAGCGGCAAGGGCTTTTTCCTTGTGGTTTAGGTCATGCTTGGCCGCCTTCCAGAGGCCCTGCACTACATCGCCCTTGGCATGGTTTGTAACATGGATGGTGGACTGTGTCACATTCCCGCCGCGATGCTCGAGTTGCACGGCCCAGGTATATTTCTTGGCCCTTGGGGATTGCAAGGCTGGGTTGGCATTTCCGGCCATGACTAATAACGGATGACAAGGCTGAATAATACCAAAGAAATAAAATCAGATAAAGCGGAGTAGGAGACGATTTCTCGTATCTTTTTCATTCACCGGGCTCACTACCAATATTTAAGCCATGTTTCAATGGGCCTGGCCATCCTCGTGAATCTGAACCCAGTGCGATGGGAAATGAGAAACACGGCCATTGTCAATTTACAGGTCTAGTCTATGCGTTGGCCTGGATCTCTTGATGCCCTTCAACTCACTGCCTCACCCAATCCCCACCCTATCTAGATGGTGGGTTGTTATTTGTGGAAAGGAGTGCTAAAAGGTCCTCACTAGTGAAGTAGCAAGAGATCCCTTATTTAAATGGTAAGAAAAGGCCAACCTAAGCATTGGGTTGCTGAAAGAATGGTCCTCAGCCATCATCCATGTGGAGCCAAAGGGTTATTGCGCCATCCCCCACAAATCATGTTCACAGTTCACCCATGTCGCACAGCATCGCTACATCAAATTACCTGCAGCCTCGCCAGTGGTCTATCCTTAACCAATGTGTCATATTCCCGTCTCAAAGCATTGTTCAGCTAGGCTGAAACATATTGGTCCTCTGGCCAACCGGTGTTTGCAAAGGTAAGGACAGAGTAAGATTGGTGTAACCTTGGAACCTTCGGGAGAAAACGGTCCTCGCACGTCCAACAGAGCATTTGGACGACACCAGTAGTTGCGAATTGAGGCCGAGGGGGCTAATATTTCCTGCCCAAAGAACAGCGAATGCGGACAGACAGAGACCATCTTCGTTTGACCTTAAGTGCAGGGTTTGTATAGTCGGGATCGCCTTCTTAACATACCCAGCTATAGTAGGTAGAAGGAGTGGCCCTCAACTCAGCCGCACCAGGCACACCAGCCTAGCCTGTCACACGAGGAAACTGAATTGTCGTCGAGGCAGCCAGTCCTTCAGACTCTCTTTAGCATTGGTTGGGTGCCAAATTAGTACTGCCTAAGGGCAAACAATGCCCAACTCTCCTTCCAGGAAATGTAAGTCAAAGAGACACCTTTACAACTCTTAGCAATCTAGGGGTACCTTTAAATAAGGGCTCTAGATACTTTAAAACTATTATAAATATATATTTTTACTATTTTAATTTTATTTTTAACTTTTTTTTTCTTTTTTTATTACTCCCCGCGGTGTAATAACTAAAATTAAGGTATATATTTTTAACTAACTTATAAGTATTAACTTAGCTAACTTCACATGGTTATAAAACCCTTTATTTTTTTTAACCTTTATATTATAAAAAGGTAAAAAAAAAAGGGCCCTAGCAAGCCTATTTTTTTTTTTTATTATTAAAAATAATAATATATTAACTTTTTAGCCTAGCCTAGCTATAAAGGCTTTTTATAATTAGCTTAATAAATAAAAGCGCTAGGTATAAATTAAATATAAAGTTTTTATAAGCTTTATAATTATTATTAATAACTTTATAGCTAGGTAAAAAACTTAAAATTAAAAAGCCTTTACCTATAATATTTATAATAAGTTTATATACTTTATTTCCCTAAAGGGCTATATTAATACTAATAATATTAATTATATCCCCTTATATATATATAGTTAACTTATTATTATAATAACTTTTAGCAAGATTATTACCTAGGGGGAAATAAGTTTAACCCCTAAAAACTTAAGAGCTTAACCCACCCCTTTTAAAATAAGTTTTTTTACCTTAACTAACGCCACCTTGGGCAAGGCGCCCTTAATTATTAAGTTAAGTATTTTAGTAGCCTAATTAACACGCAGTAGCTTTACTATAACCTTAATTATATATAATAATTATAAAATACTAATTACCTTTTTTAATAATAAGCTAATAATATACTTAAAGGTATATATTATTTAGCAAGCCCTTATTAAATATATACTAGGACTAATTATAACCATAGCTATTTTTAAAATTAATATTACTTATATAAGCTAGGTTATTATTTTTAATAACCTTTTTACTAAAAACCTTTTAATAAATAATAAAATAATTAGTATAATATACCATACCCTAGGCGCCATTAATATATATATTTTTTAAAAATAATATAATTATATAGTATAAGGGGTGCCTAGTACTATTAAAGTATATAATAATAATAAAATAAATATTATTAAGCTAATTTAAAATAAAATTATTACCTAAATAAAACTAAAGCTAGTTAAGCTTGCTTTTTTAAGGCATGGGCCTAATTTTAGCACTAGGTAAATTACCTAGGTAGTATTTTTTTTAAAATAGCCTAAGGCCTTTACTTTATTTAATTAAAGTAAGTACTACTAGCTTATTAAAAAATATTAACTAGTTTCTTAGTATAACCCTAGTTACTAAAAATATTACTACCTAGTATAATATAACCATGTAATATACTATATATAATATAGTATAATAATTATAAACTACCTAGGTTTTATTAGCCCTAATTATAAAAACCCTGCATGCTATATAAATTACTTAAGTTTATAATTAATAAGGTATAATAACTACCTAATAGCCCCCAGGCGTAAAAATAAAACTTTAGTTTATTTATTTAAAAAAAAACTTAATAACATACGCTATTATAACACTTACTAGTACTAAAATATATATGCTTAAGTTAATATTAATACCTAGCTTTAGGCTAAAACTAAATAATTACTACCTTAAAAAAATCCTTAAAAGCATGCTATAAAAAAACTTAAGGTAAATAAATAAGGCTTTATAATAATTATTAATTATTATACCCCATGGTTTAATACTTTTATTAAAAATTAAAATTTTAGGTAATTTTTTATTAAATTAATTTAACCTGTCCTAGCTAACACGGGCACGCCTTTTTTACTTTAAATAATAAAGGTTAATATAAAATCCCTTTTTAAGCTTTAATAATAAAGTATTAAAAAAGAAATTATAATAATTACTATTATAATAATACCTAGTAATAGCAAGATTTTATTATTTATTAAGTAAATATAAATAAATTTATACTTAGCTATATTATAATTTTATAACTAGCCTATAAATAAGGCTATAATATTACTTATATTTAGGAGCCCTAGACCGCCGCAAGCATAAAAACCTAAAATTATTTAATATATAAGTATTATATATTAGTAAACACCTAAAATAACCACAAGAACTAGCTAAAAAAGCGCCCTAAAATACTTACTTATATTTATAAAGGGGAAGCACTACACGCTAAGTAATATTACCTAGTATAAAGCTAAAATATATTATAGCTTATAATAAATAGTATTAAAGTTTTAAATATATATTAGGAACTAACTATTTATAAAATAATTAACTACCTAGTTATATTAATTCCTACCTTAAACTATATAATAGGCAGGGATCTTAATATTATATATAATATTTTTAAGCCTAAAATAAATAACCTGCACCACGGCGGCAAGATTATTAAATAAGCTAGTAATAATAATATTAGTTATATTAATAAACTAGGTATAGCCACGCATAAAGCTAGCTATATTTTTAACTTAACTTTTTTAAATATTTTATTTACCCGCATGCTAGTAATATTTAAACTATATTATAATTTTAATTATTAAACCCTGGTTATTATAATACCAGGGCGTGAAAAAAAGGCGTTAAAATAATATTATTATAATATATTAAATTATAAGCTAAAGCACTTGGCTAAACTTATAAAAAATAAAATAATATTTTTTTTTTAGCCTAGGGAACTTAGGAACGCGAAGGCACTAAATTAATATACTAAATTTTTTAATAATATTATTATAAAAGTTATATAAATAATTAATAAATACCTTAACCTAGGGAGCCATAACGCCCCCTAGTAATTAATTAAATATATAAAAAATTACTAAGCCTGGGTAATAAACCCTACCTTAAAATAAAAAAAATAGTTTCTAGCTATAGTTTGTAAAACCAAGCACGTGTACTAAATTAAAATAATTAATAGTATTAAAAATAACTAAAAGTTATATTAAATAATAATATAGTATAAGCTAAAACCCAGGCTTAAGACTCCCTTATTATTAATAAATAATAAAATAATTAAAAACACACGGGAAAAGGCTAATATCCTATAAAAAATAATACTAAAGTATTTTAGTATAAATAATAATTTAAATTTTAATCCCCTAGTACTAAAGCACTAGTAGGATAATAAGTATTTTTACTAGCTAAAAAAAAACTTATTAAAAAAGGTTAAAAAAAATATTATTAATATAAGTAGTACCTTTCCCGGGGTGGACTAGGTAATAATTTATATTTTAAAGGCTTATTAAAAATATATTAAGCAGGTTATATATAAGCTATATAATTAATACTTATAGCTAAAATATTTTTTTTTATTATAAAAGCTTATAAAAGTAGTAATATTTTTAAAAAATAATAAAAAAAATAAGTTTTTATTATAATTTTAGCGCCCTATAGCACTACTTTTAATATTAAAAAAAAAACTTAAATAAATTATAGCACGCTGTATTGCTTTTATTATACTAGTATAAAAGGTACTAAGCTTATAATAATATAATATTTTATTTAAGCGCTTGGCTATAAACTTAATAGCCTTTTTTACTTATAATATAAAAATAATGCTTTTATAAAACCAAAAAGTTATTATAATTATTATAAATATTTTAGGTACTTTTAATATTATTTTACTATAATACCTGCTTTAATAAATAATAAAGTAAGACTGGCCTTGCGCGCTCCTAGCCTTAATTATAAGTTTTTTTAATAAATAAAGTATAAAAATACGCCTAAAATTTACTATAATAATAATATACCTAGTATATTATAACATGTTATAAGGCTTGCCTTTTTTTTAGTATTATTTTTATTATATATAGCTAAATTATTATTAGTAAACCTAATCCTGCGCTTTAATTATATAAATAATTTTTACCTTAGCCACGCGAGTAATTTTTTTTATATAAATTATAAGCTTTTAGTAAAAAATATTTATAATATACTAGCTTAAAAAAATTAAAATAAGGTAGCCTTTATACCTAA